GATCAGGCTCTGCCCTAGGGTAAATGGTTCAAATGGTAAATGGCGGCGATCGCCCATTTATATGGAGTAGATGTGGGTGGCTGGAAGGGGTGAGAAAGGAGATCGCTATCTGTCCCTCGTACATATGGAAGCGAGGCGGACCAGCGCTTTGCAGGATGCTTGAAATTGCGATCTAGATCGCAAGTGCACAACAACAGCCATGATCATACCGTGCATGAACTGAAGCAGGAACAGGAACAGGAACAAAGCAGGGAAACGAGGAGCAGGCGGATCGGGTTCGCAGCTCCATCTCCATATGGATTACCCTTTTTTGCGTTCTCCCCACCTGCTGGCCCGTGCCTGCACGACTAAGTTTGTACAAAGTGCCATTTTGACAGATCCCAGAGAAGAAAATCCTTCCCAAGAGGCTGGGGCATTCGTGTTGAACTGGCCGGATCTAACTTTCTTAGCCGCGATCCTTTCCATCGGGATGTGTTCGGTCTGGTGCTCTTTTTAGTTGAGACTTGACCGGAGGTCCGTTCTCTTAGAAGAACTGATTCACTAAAATTCGCCGGCGGTTTGAGGCTGATCCTGTGGAAATGGCTTCTTGGCAAAGTAATCAAGGACTTTTTGGACCCCGTCCAGCCACCGTAGAGATCAGTTTGAACTTTAGGAAGGCATCATGATCCTAGTAACATGGCTGGGTCGATTGGCTCAGAGAACTGGATCATAAGCTCGTATCTGTCCGAGTGCCATCGATCATAAGGAAGCTTGATCGGGGTTTGGTTGATGACGCTCCCGCACATCTCTTGCGGGATTTGCACTCGGACTTGGTGGATAGAATGTGGATAATGGCCAGCGCAACGGTTGCCACAATAATAATGAGAGAAAGGAATCTGTCTTGCAGTCGTCCACATCGTCTCCATTTTCGGAAACGCCCGTCCGGGAGCGCACAGGTGAACCGTGGAGCATAGCCGTGGAGAAATAGAGGAGACAACTAGGTGGGCTGGATTCTCGTGGCAATGCAAGTATACATACAGTTTCGAGGAGACCAAGGAATGACTTCGAACAGGTGGCAAGACAGGTTTCCGTGTACTCCGCGTACTTTTTTCTCCCCTAAAACCTCCTCTTGCACACATCTTCTTAGATCTCCGATCGGATTGACAAAGGGTACCTGAGTGAAGCCGACGCACAGCTCGACCCACTGCGATTATGCATTCACCTTGCATAGAAGGCAACTTGGGATCCTGGTAATGGGGAATCCCGGTGCCTGAGCTCGAGCACCGATCACTACGCATCCTGTAGGAACGCGCAACGATAGGAAATCCAAGCAAAGCATGCGGACGTAATCTGTTGCCCCTGTGTCTGTGCCTATATCCGCACCTGTACGATCGATGGCGACCTCCACGGGACTGCAAGTATCTCGGGGAAGTATGAGAGCTAGATGTGTCAGATGCGGCGAATTTGAGTTCCGAAGCAGACGTGGCCCAGAATAGTACTTTCTCGTCTCTCATATGCGCCCAGACGTCGCTAGAGCTGTATGGTACCTGCAGTCCTTGCAGATTTTCCCATTCCCCGTCCCCTGGTGGTGATGGCCAACGCATCCAGGGACCACTTGCCGGTCCCGGCGTTCACCAGTCGGGGATTTGATTCGGGGTTCTATCCCCTTCTCGTGTCCGGACCACTTGCAGGTGCTGGTGGGATTGTTCTTTCTGGGAAAGACCCTCGTTTTTGTTTTTCCCTCTCTATCTTTGATTTCGGAGCTAACGAATGTACTTTGTTTGTGTGTGGCCCGCAGTGTATGTCATTACAAGCATCTACGATCCACAAGGGATTGATTCATAGATGAGAAATTGTCATCTCCCCTTACCCTTGCTGCGGTCTTCCCAATCGATAATATGTCGAGCTAGCAATTATTTGGGCCCATCATTGCTATTGTGTTGGCTAGTATCGTGTGTGAAGTTATACTTTCATTGATGGTGCTGTTGTGGCATTGTACAAGCAGACGGTAAGGTACTGCCATGTTACTACGAGTTAAATGAGAACAAACTCTTTAAGTCAGTGATCACGAAAGGCACGTCTACATTGGACCTAGCACGGGTTCACACTTATGCTTGCCACCGGATGTAGTATGTATGTACGTGGATGCGGAACAGGATTCCCGGGGTCAAAAGCACGTACATAAGTCTACTGTATGTACCCATGGTTGCAGGTTCCAGAGAAGAGACAAGAGGGGCCCAGACCAAAGAAAAAGGAAACAGAACGAGAGAGATCGGATCTTCGACTGAAGAACCCGATCGAAATATCCACACGCAATGAATGCGTCTGGTACTCCAGTGTGGCAATGTACGAATCTACAGTAGGAATCGGAAGGAGGAGGGGAGCGTACAGTAGTGGAGAGAGTTACGTATGTACGTATTTGCGTAGTCAAAGTCTGCTTCTCAGAGGCCCAGCGTGCGAAAGAACCTGGATGGATCTTGCATTTGCATGAACTGGTACTTTTGAAACGCTTTGTTCTTGGCAGATCTAGACCCCATCGCGGGATGGAGATCGGAAGCTGCATTGCAGACATATTTTCCTCCTGAGTAAATATCCCTATTGAGATAGCTCTGAGATAGGGAAGATGTTTATTCCTCTCAATGTTTCTCCATAGTGATTCTATGCCTGTTGTATGGACGGGGATAGAAGTCCCCCTATCTCTACGGATCCCCCCACTCTGTTCTGTGAAGGTTGAAACTTGACAGGTCTAGCGGGGCAGCGGCTGAGTCAACTACTGGATACTATTGGGAATAACTGGCGTGAGGAGGCCAGCTGAGGCCAGCCATTGGCCCGGGGTTTGACAGTGACACTGTGGAGGCGAAAAAAAAAGAATGCAAAGTCCGAATAGCACTGGCCCTTGCAACTTAGAGCCGCACGGCCCGATGCTGTGCCAATTGAGTACGCTAATCGGACAATCCTATCGAAATAGAGAGGGGAATAGGTTCATCCCCAGCACGATCGATCTCACGATGCTGGAGCAGGAACAGGAAACCATGGGAAGAGGCAAGAACTCAAAATCGGACCCAGAGATCAGGTTCGGACTGTGATCTTTGATCTGGAAAGTCAAACACAGCCATTTTGCCAGCGACGTGCCTGTCGGATTGTCCGGAGTGCATATCCTGGTGGAGGGATTGACTGCACGTCACTGGAAATGGCAAGCAGGGAGACGCAAGAACTGGCAGATCTCTCTCTTACATCGAATAGACGGGTACGGGGAAGACTCGGAAGGCTTTCTCTGAGTTTGGGATTTTCCTTTTCTTTTCCCCCTCTAAATTTACCTTTTCCCTCAATTCCATAGTGGTTCGGACCTGGGCCAGATCCCCCGATTGAGCCTGCAGCCAGTCCTGCGTGCTGGCTGCAAACTGCTCTTAGGCGCAGCCGCGGGTCCCTTACGAAGGTACCGGTCTTATGCAGGTATCGCAAATTGGCCCGGTGGGGTTTGCACTAGATGAAACACAGAGATGGTGGTGGCGAAGAGAGGAGGAAATGTGAGCGAGAAAGAGAAAAGGAGGGGTGTCATGATTCTACCTAGGTTCGACGAAACCCAGGTATACTCGTTGGCATACGAGAAACGATGAAAGATCAGCCCTAAAACAGAGCGTTCTTGTCCGACTCGATGTTTGTTTCACCCCAAGCTTCCATCAGAAATCCAAAAGGACTTTCTTTTTGTGAGTTCAGGAGAACGTGGGGACTAGTGTGCCGCTAAATGGAGCTCTGGGTCCACGACACATTCAAAATATGACAGCTCCGATCCCAAGTGTCCCGGTCCTTGCAATGACCCACCGCGAGAGTTTAGCGAAGACGCAGCACGGGATGGCCAGCATAGATGGACCTATGGCAGTGCTATGGCAGGGATGTGCCTTTGGCAAAAGGTCGAATTTATCGAAACAGCGGGTCTTGTCATTAGGGGGAAGATGAGGAACGTGCAACTCATGACGGATAGGGTTCGACCCCATTGCGACTATTGTTTCTTGCTCTGACTCGTCCAGACCCTTTAACACGCCAACGTCCGTGTGCTAGTTTGATCCTATTCCAAATACCACTGATCGTCATGATTCGATGACTGACAGAAAACGTACGTATCCTGGTCGCTGGGTCTCGCGCCGTCCCAGCTTGCTGGGTTTCCTCGAGCGATCATTTTGTTTTTTGTTTTGTTTTTTGTTTTTTCTCTCCCTTTTTCTTTTTTCTTTTGGCCCTGTCTCCCTGGAGATTTAACGAGATTAAACAATTGACGGCGGCACATCCTTGTCTACTAACGCTCATTGATTATTGAATAAATACGCCATTGTTTCCCCGGTCGATCAGTATCCCCGGCGAGGCCGATTTCATATTTCAAATTATCGCCTAGCAATAAGCGAGCGCTGAAGTACGAGATTGCTCTTATTAGGTTGTATCTAGTGAGCTTTTCCCCGCCGCTCGTCAGAGAAGTGACCTCCTCGCATGTCTCACTATGGCACTCCTGTTGGTCCTTGCTTTATTCTATTAGCTTTACCTTGAACCTTTTAATTATCTAAGGACCTCCTTGAGGGATGATGCGCAGGAAGGGAGCCCCTTCCCCCTTGACGCTCTCCGCACGACCATGGCAGGTTCTCCTGAATATCGATGCAGGAAGTCGAGCGTCTGATAAGCGAAGGAGCCTGAGATGCTGCAGCGAGCGTTTCAAAATGTATTCAGAGCGCATTGGAAAGGGGAGATTCGATCTGGAATATGCATGCAACGTGAATCCGTTGGGGAATTTGCTTGTTGATTCGGCGGTTCCTTTTTCCAACAGTCTAGAAGCAGGTACCATCGCTCGATACCTACATACAAAATTCTCTAGGAATAGATACCTCCCGTAGAGGAGTGTAAACAGTCACATCCACATGGAGAACCCGGAGGATTCTACCCGTTCTCTATGCACGGAGAAACTGGGCGATGCCATTAATTGGCGACTATTGATGCAAGGGCCACTCGGCGCTGGCCCTAAGTACCACTAACACACAATGTCAAAGTTCCCCGTGTCGATCGGCAATACCAGCACTCTGGTGACAAATCAGGGACCATGGATCTCTTGGATCCTCGTCCTGAACCTGCCTCTCGGGCACGATCGTGGCGGCGTGATTCGCCGATCGCCTCGTTTGTGACGACGAGGTTCGTTCGTGGAAGATGTGACAGATATCAGAGTTCCTCTTTGGATATCTTTTTTTTTTTTTCTTTTTTGGAAAAAAAAATGAATTGATTTCAGAAAAAACCCTTTCGAATTCGAATCTAATTAATCAAATTTCTATTTTCCATCTCCCTCTCCACACAGCGATCTGTGAGCCCGCAGCTCCGGGAGACCAGACTCGCTTCCCCGTCCTGCGTTCTGGCCGTGGGTCACTCTGTATGACATCCGCTTCTACCATGATCGGCCCTGATCGTTCATCGCTCCCCCCTCCTGGGTCCGGAGCAGAAGGAGAGATCCGAGCACTTGCTGTTTGATAGATGCACTGGCCAAAAGTACTCGCCCCTCTCCATCATCAACATATAAACATCTTCCCCAGCCCCGTATCCCTGGGTTCATTGTCTCACTCATTGCTTTCGCCTCGTGGATTCCGAATCCCTTCGCCTCTTTGTCAATAACACCCTTGTTCACACGTTTTTATCTTGTGCATATTCAATTGTCATCGTGTTTTACGTCGGCCTCTCTGTTGATAATCGACCCCGTGTGTGAATACGTCAGGGAATCCCTTCAATCGATTGTTTTTGGTTCTCGTATATAGATTTCGCTGGCTTTTGACTCGACTCCCTCGCTTCCTTGCACATATCCACATACCAACATATCACGCCTTCAATCTTGACGACTTAACACGATGTACGAAGAAATGGGTTCCATGACTGATGGCATTCACCGCCGCTGCTCTCTTCCGTGAGTATCGCTATATCTATAACAAGCTGGTTCACTTCGCCCCTAACTTGGAACTAGTTCTTTGAAATCTACCAACTCTACCATGTCCAACCCCGCCCTCGGCGAGGACCGTCGCCTGCCTCCTCTGCCTCGCATGGAGCCATTGCCTCGTGGGCCTTTCAACCCCTTCCAGGCCAAGGAAGCATTTGCTCCCAGTACCCCCGGTGCCCAGGAATCCTTTCAATTCAAGTCCTCATGGCCTAATGGCGAGCAAATCGCAGCTCCTCCCTCCCCGGCCAACTCTGCCGAGAGCTCCTGGCAAGAGTCCTTCGCGGCCCAAAAGGGTGTATCCACCGAATGGCCCAATGATCTCTCTCAAAACGAGATCATGACTTTGATTGCCCCTCAGAACAACAATCGCAAGGCACCCCTGCAGCAGCTCTGTGGCCGGAAGCGCAAGGGTAGCACTATCTCTCCCGACCCCGAAGACCAGCGTGAAAAGCACCGCATCGCTGAGGGTAACCGCCGCAAGAACCTGAGCCAACTGCACCGCGAGCTTGATAGCCGCATCCACGACTTCTTCCTGGAGCGTGCGGGCTGGAACCCTTCCAAGAGCCTACCTCAGTCCAAGGAACACATTGTACAAGGTGCTGTCTACCTGATTGATTTCATGCTGGCCATCATTGTGCACCTCATCCGCCAAGAGCAAGTCTCCCCCCAACTTTCGGAGAAGCTGCAGCCCCAGGTCCGTTGCATGCAACTGCAGCAACTGGTCTCCAACCTCCAACAACAGAACCAAACAACACAGCAACAGCTGCGCGCTGCTAAGGCCGAGAACGAGCTTCTCGCAGACCGCAACCGAGCCCTCGAATTCCAACTCAAGTCCTACGAGCAGATGTTCCGCTCTCCCAAGGCCGAAAATACATCTCCCACGTCGCTCGTCGACGTCCCCGAGCACAAGCGCCAAAAGAAGGCCCTCCCCGGACTGCGAGTCTTCTGTGATGAGATCGCCGCCGCAAATGTCCCCGAGGCTGTACACACCCCAGCCCAAAGCCACTTTGGTCATCACGACGGTCTCCCTAGCGCCACCTCGCAGACCTTCAGCAGCTCATACCTCAACTCCACGCCACCAACGACCGGCCCATCGTCTCCTGCTTTCTTCCCCTCGCAATCATCATCGTTTGCCTTCCCTGCCTCGCGTCGCCAGTCCTTGCTTGCGTCACCATGAGCTACCAATAACTCCGCAGCAAATGATGCACGCCGACCATTGAAACCTTGACGCCTTCACGACCCTCATAGCCTCTTCTGCTTCATCTTCTTCTCCACTTCCTACTCATCCCTTCCCATCCCTTCTTTTCTCTCGCTCTCGATTTCCCCCGCACCAGAGCGATCATCCCTTGCAGACGGCCGTGTCGATATACTTTTTGCTCTCTTACCCCTGCGTCTTCTTGACGAATAGTTTGCTCGCGAATCCTCCGTCTTCCCCGGCTGCGTTGCCCCTTAGCGTCTGCATTGTAACATTATTTGGACTTGAACCGTGGGAGACGCGATGCTTTGGTCCTATTTCAAGTTGTCTGTCATCTCATTTCGTTTTTTAGCTTCTTCTGTTCGGGTGGTTTCTCTTTTATTTCGTTTGTTCGGTTTTTTATCTTTCTTCTGTCATCTCCAAAATGGGTGGGCTTGTTTTCTTTTCTTTTCTCTTCTTGTTCGATCTCTTCCCTATGTTGCCTCTCTGTTTATCGGCGCTTTTATGATATGGACATATATGATCTGGTGGGGTTTATTCTTTGGAACTTTTCCTATGTTTGGGATTCATGTTAATAGTTACGATTATCAATTATACATTCTATGACACCAACTGCGTCTCTTTACTCGACTACAGTAGTAGAAGTAGTTAGTTTCATGAGCATCGGAGGTGGTGATTACTACTTGTTACTAACTCGAATGACGTCTTCCTCTTAAAGCTACTATATATCTAGTCAGCCGCAATGCCATTCCATTTCATTCCCCCTTTTCCTTTTTCCCCTTGGCAATAGTTTCTCCGGCTTGTCTTTCCATTTATATACCAACCATCAGCCTTATAACAACTCTTTTTTTACCTCTCCGGCCATCCAGTTGTGTGTGGGTAGACATTTATATTTCTAGATGATTAGAACGATGATACCCGTAGCGTTGTGGAGCAATCCAGATGGCCCGTGGAGACGATGCAGGCAGACAGTAAAAGGTGAAGAATTTTCACCGGGATCTGAGTGTTTCACGACTTGGCAGAATTACTGTGTGACTGCATTGTACATTGTACCTGCATATTGAACAATGTAGCTAGTAAATATCATCCAGATCCAACCCCCATTTTTTGTCTACTGGATGCATACAAATAGACACCTCACGCAGCAGGCGTCCACCGGCGGGTCGAGACTGTTTCACCGATCTCCGCTTGTCTTACTTGGATGGGGGGATTTCCCCATTGATTCCCCATTGACTGGAGAAATTGGAGGTCGATCATTTGTGTCTGTGCTATATAATTCTTTTATTACTAGCTGGTAGACGGGGACTCCTAAACACGAGATATCGAGTCTTGCGTGTAGCTTGAGGTTGAAACTTGGCGATGTGTCAGGACTCCACCAGGCCAAATTAGTTAGGGTATATGTGTTATTTACTAGAATCCCAGGATATTGACTACTAGTATGTAGTAATTCAAAGTTTGCTACTGAGTATAGGAGAATGATGGTTAGTGTTGAGGTAGTATACTACTACTACGAGTATATACTCGAGTAGTAATACCCGGCAGTACAAGAATACAGGAATACGGGCTATAAATAACCGCAGGCCCTTTTTGGGTCTGGCCAAGGCTGTACTCCCAGTACTCCCAGTACTCCCAGCACTATGTAGGAGTATGGAGGTGATATCCTTGATATTTTGCTGGAGTTAGTTAATATATCTACAATTGTAATAACTAATCCTAGATATCTAAACTAGCTACAAGTATACTTTACATACCCAGTTATAAGTACTATTGCAGCCCTGGTACCTCCTGTCAGGCTTGGCGGCTCCGGCGATCCCGTCCGCCTCCAAAGTCCACTGGCACCTCCTCTTCTTATTTCTCTCCTCCCTTATCATCACAAGGTTCGCAACTCCACCACCTTCTCCGCGGTTACCCTCCCTTTGAGGCCTCATTCGTTCGGTCAGGGGTTTATTTTCATTCGGTGCGCCCAGCGACAACCGACCCCCGGCATCGACGCCGACGCCGACGCCGTCGAGGCTCCTGAGAATTCCCCCCCCCCCGAGAAATCCACCACCCTCCATCTCTCCTCTCATATCCATCATGTTGTTGCCAAAGGGTGGAGTCAACTGGAAATCCGCCAGGTCGCGTCTCCCGCCATGGCGCGCAGTCTTGGTCCTCCTCACAAGGACTCGCTTCCTCGTCTCGTTGGCCGTCACCGGTCTCATCATCCTGTTGTGGCGCGGTGTCAGCAAATCTGCCTCTGAGATGCAAAAGTATGCAGAACACCCTCCTCAATGTCCCTGACCGACCTAATCTGGCCCTGGTCTATCGTCCAATGTACTCATCTCTTCTCGCATCTAGTTTCTACTGCTATGGCTCCTCGAAATCCCCTATGGAGATGTCCCTCAACGAGATGGTTGAGTGGAACGCCCATTCCCAAACCCCTGTCCTCTTCAACCACCACGAAGTCTACGAAGTCAACAGTTCCTCCATCAGCGAGGTCGACCTGAACCCCATCAAATCATCCATCAAGGCCGTCAACAACCGTGAACGTGTTCTCATCCTGACCCCTCTCCGCGACGCCGCCCCCTACCTCACCAAGTACTTCGAACTCCTCTACCAGCTGACCTACCCCCACGAGCTGATTGATCTGGCCTTCCTCGTCGGTGACTGCAAGGATGACACCCTGGCTGTTCTCGCTTCGGAACTGGATCGCATTCAGCATCACACCGATGAGAAGATTCCTTTCCGCAGTGCGACCGTTGTCAAGAAGGACTTTGGTGCTGATGTAGAGATGAGCGTCGAGGAGCGACACTCATTTGCAGCACAGGGTCCTCGCCGTAAGGCTATCGGCCGTGCTCGCAACTATCTCCTCTACTCGGCTCTGAAGGCCGATCACTCCTGGGTCTACTGGCGTGATGTCGATATCACGGACTGCCCTGAGCGGATCCTTGAAGACTTCATGGCCCACGACAAGGATATCCTTGTGCCGAGTAAGTCGTTTCCCGAGAGTCAGCCTCTGGGAAAATGAAGCTAATCAGATTTTGATAGATATCTGGTTCCACCGCTACCGTGATGGCCGTGACGTCGAGGGTCGTTGTATGTTATCCCCCCCACCCCGGATGATCTTTCTCCACGCCATTTTCCACTTTCTAACTTGTTATATTAGTCGACTACAACTCCTGGATCGACTCCGAAAAGGCCCAACGCCTCCGTACAACTCTCGACCCCAATGTCGTTCTCGCTGAAGGTTACAAGGAGTACGATACCGGCCGCACATACCTGGTTAGCATGGGTGACTGGCGCAAGAACAAGGACGAGGAGGTCGAGCTTGACGGCATTGGTGGCGTCAACATCCTCGTCAAGGCCGACGTTCACCGATCCGGCATCAACTTCCCCTCGTACGCCTTCGAGAACCAGGCCGAGACAGAGGGATTCGCCAAGATGGCTAAGCGTGCCGGCTACCAAGTGATCGGACTGCCCAACTACGTTGTGTGGCACATCGACACGGATGAGAAGCCGGGCAACCTAGGCAATCGCAAGGCGTACTAAGCTGGCTTGATATTCTGGTTGCTCGCCCGCCCGTCAATCCCCTTACGAACCCCCGGGAAGAAAGGCCGGCGCGCTCCAGGGCTAAAAGTTGATCTTTGAACTGCCCTCCCATCTAAACCGCCGCCCATCAATCATCCCTCCCGTTTCACTTCGAGCCGGACTATAAGGGGGTGCCAAGATTTGAGAGATCGAGCAAGTGGCATTCCCCTGCGGTATTCGAAACAACCCACTTTTCTTTCTTTCTTTTTTCTCAATTTTCCACTTGTGATTGTCATCTTCCTTCTTGGGGGAATGAATGCATTCACGACGGAAGCCTAATGATGTTCCATAATCTACTATTCTTCGTGTCGTGCTTCTAGGGGACTGTGTGTCAGTGTGTATTGTTGTGTTTATCCATGGCGCTATGGGGGAAAATGCTGTTTGGCAGGATTGCAGGTCTATAGAGTTCGCCGATTCTCGAGGCCTTGATATACTAAATTTGTGCCGTTTGCCCATCATTCATTTCCACCTTTCCTCTGATTCCAGATTGATTTCTGGGGTGGAGAGTACTGTTCTAGGGACCATCCTGTTGATGGGGTTGGATACTGTACCCCGTCCTCGTGTTTTTCATTACTTGTTCTTGTCAACTCCGTTAGGGATCGAGAACCGGACCATTATTCTCATGTCATTTGAATTCTAGCCCGTTGTCCAATTTGTTTCTTGTTCTCTCATTCGCCGACTCGGCATTTGCCCGAGTTGAGCGAGGAGGGAATATTCAATATTCCCGATTGAAGGGTGATAAGAGCAAAATCTCCACGCTATGAGAGAATAGAGAATCAACTGCTTTTTTATATTCAACATCCCCACGAATCACCAAGTTACTACATTGTATAGGTATAGTTACTTTACTCCGTACTAGAACTACAAATCATCCGCCAGTAACCGTCAAACGCGGGCCGGGCAGAATCCCGAATCCAATCCAATCCAATCCAACGCGTTCCAACCCTCGTAATAATTGATACCTTCACCTAAACAACCCATTGGTCAACCCGAGTACCAGATCCAAAGTTCCCACTGTATACCTAGGTACCACAGTCCCACAATCCCAGTCCCAATTTCATCTACATTCAAATTGTCCCGCAATGCTTCCACTCGCACGCCTCCCCGCTTTCCCCCACCCCCGACTCGGACACCCCCAACTTTTCCTTCGCGCCAGATCTTCCCCCTCCATCTCACTCTCTTCTACTGCTGCTACGCGTTTTACTCGTTTCCCTCTTCAATCACCCCTACGCACCATGTCGACCGCACCCAAGAAGGAATTCCTCTGCATTCTGCCGGATAAGCCCGGTGCCCAGGCTAAGCGTCTGGAGGTTCGCCCGTGAGTGACAGCTGGCCTCATGGCCTTGAGATATGATGGCACTTTGATAAGTGGTACCACTGCACGGGTAGCTAACGAGGTTTCTGTTTAATTGAAGATTGCATCTAGAGGGTGTCAAGCCTCTTGTTGCGGGGGGCTCGATTGTTGCTGGTGGTATGTCTCTCTCTCTCTCTCTCTCTCTTCATCTCTCTCTTCATATCCTTCCACTCTCTACTTTTTATACCATACTCACTCAATCCTGATCTATGTAGGCGCCATGCTAAATGCTCACCCCGCCGAGGGCGAGACTCCCTCGTTCAAGGGTAGTATGATGCTGGCACAGGCCGAGAACGAGGAGGAGGTCCGCAAGATCCTCGAGAACGATATCTATGTCCGTTCGGGTGTGTGGGATATGGAGAAGGCGCAGATTATTCCTGTAAGTGGTATATCTAGTTCTTTTCTTTGAGGCTCTCTTTGCATCTGGCTAATGGGGATATGGGCTTAGTTCAAGTCTGCTGTGCGTCAGCAGTTGTAAGCCTAGTAATGGCTATATGAGCGCTAATGCTTTGCTTTGCTTTGCTTTGCATTTATAGCGAAGATGGGATCTGGCATACTTGTATAAAATACTAGTGTTTCTGATCCACTGCATTAATTGGGTAAATTACTGAGTAAACTATCATTGTCTTCTAGTTTGTATTTGTATTCGTGATTGGAGGAGTGGCAGTGGGGCGGTAGACAGCCTGAGCTTATCGGCCATCACCATCTCATCTCATCTCATCTCATCTCATCTCCATCATTACCACCCACCTTCATCCCCCACCTCCCACCTCCCTCCACCATGCCACCGGAATCCACCTCATCCAAGGGTGGAGGCATGATGTCTCTATACGCCAATCTCCTTGATCCCTCCGCCGAGTCCGCCCCGGGCACCATCTCCCGCGCTCCCGTGGTCTTCAAGCAGTCCGACGACGCGCAACCCGACGAGTCTGCTGCAAAGAAGCAGCAGTTCAATCCTGGTACTTTTGAGTTTGTTCCATTATTGCACGACAAGCAGTCATTGCTCACTTTCTCCGCCGCACAGCCTCTCTTCGATTCCAACCAACCATAAAACGACCTCAACTCGCCAACCAGAAGCCCAAAGCTAAACCCGCCCTCCCCAAAGCGACTGCACCACCAGCTGTTCAAGATCCAACCCATACTGCTACATCTATATCTGCACCTGCATCTGCACCTGCACCTGCACCTACTGGAAAAACTACACTTGCCGACTGGGCCGCTATAGAAGATGACGACTTTGGATATTATATGGGCGAGAAGCGGCAACGAGGCGGTCGAAAGAAGCGCAAGAAGAACAACAACACCCGCGAGGAGCGATCCATCCCGCAAAACTGGGATGATATTTACGACCCCTCACGACCAAATAACTACGAAGCATACCGCCATAGCGACGAGAAGATCCTTGAAGTTCGAGAGTGGAAAGATCGCCTATATGCCCATCGCATGAGGCGGTCGCCGAGCATGGACTCGGATAGCGATTATGAACGCCCAGTCAACCGTATGCACTCCATGCTCTCTTTTATATGAAACGAGTATTGATATACTGACAAAAATTTACAGGCAACTTCGCGCCGCCCAGCAGCTTTGCGCCACCGCCAAACCTCAATGATATCCCTCCTCCCCCTCCACCACCCGCGTCAATCCCCGACGATGCCTCTGGCGACGATGCTTTTGCACGCCGTGCGCGTATGGGTCAGCCTTCCAGCAATGATGCCCCCATACCCGATAATTATCACTCCCAACCCCCGCCTCCACCAGAAGAACCTCCTGCTCCTCCACCTCCAAACGACCCTACCGGCGAAGACGCATATATGCGCCGACAACAACAGACCCAACCTCCACCGCCACCTCCATCACTCCCACCTTCACGCTCGACAGATAATTTCCAACCCGCCTCTGCAACTATATCCCGAGCGCCAGTCCGCTACACACTTCCCCCCGCACCAGCCGATATCCCAGCTTCAGAAGCGGAACTCGAACAAGTCATCGCATCAGAAGAAGCCCCCGAGAACGAAGCCGAAGCCGAAGCCGAAAACTCAAGCAACGAGAGCACCGCGCCCCGCTCCCTACGCCCGGGCCAGAAGGGCTTCGCAGAGCGCCTTCTCTCAAAATACGGTTGGACAAAGGGTTCCGGTCTGGGCGCGGATGGATCAGGTATCGCGAAACCTTTGCAAGTCAAGGTTGAGAAGCGGAAGAAAAGGCCTGATTCTGAGGGCGGGGGATTTGTTACGCCTTCTGGACGGGGTACGATTATTGGGGGGAAGAGGAAGGGGGGTGAGGATCCGGGGAAATTTGGATCTATGAGTGAGGTTATTGTTTTGAGGGGGATGCTTGATGGGATGGATTTGGATACGGAGTTGAGTGGGGAAGGTGGTGGATTGATGCAGGAGATTGGGGAAGAATGTTCTGAGAAGGTCAGTTTGAAGTTCCTTTTTGGCACTTTTTGGATCTTGATACTGACTCAACCTACAGTATGGAAGTGTAGAACGCGTCTACGTCGCCAGAGATGTCGGAACCCCAGTTCCAGTATTTGTCAAATTCACCAGCCCATTATCTGCTCTACGGGTAAGTGACATGCATTGGAAATTCATCAAGCCAGAGATTATCCCAAGTCTTTTGCTAACAAAACCTACCTACCTTTCTAGGCTGTCAATGCCCTCGAAGGACGAATCTTCAACGGAAACGCGATCACCGCGCGATACTTTGACCCGGAGAAATTTGCGCAGGGTATTTATGTAGAGTAATCTGCTTGTGCTATGTTTATAAAGATTTACAGCTGCCAGTGCTCTCCTATTTGGAGTTTCATCGGAGTAAAAATGATGTAGCTAATCAAGGAGACATTCGACTCACATGGTCCGCAGAGCTACATTCTAGACAAGACAATGAGAACTTAGAAGCAATAGGCTCCAGTAGCTTAATAAATGTAAGATTTGGAGCTAGTAGTCTTAAACTTACTAATAACACTAATATAGCTAGATCACTCTATGGTTTATCGCCGGACTAAGAGTGGTTATGGTTATTCCTATGTGTCTTTAGGGTGCATAACCAGCTGTACTAGTAGAACCTTAGGGTGCCCAGACCTAGCACTGACGATTTTTTCTTCTTGTGAAAGTATAGGACATCCATTATTCTGCTTGTCCTATTTTTCACTGTCACCTTTGCAAATAATTATTGGCAAACTTGGACCTGCCAAGCTTAGCCACTCCAGAAGGAGCTGGGAAAGAGTCCAACTCACTAGAAAGTGACACTATCAAAATGCTGCCAATCAAAATCATCGAGCCCGACTATTCTACTTCCAGTTTCCCAATCAATTTCAGCCGAGATTTGCCTCTGCTCTCTTCTGACCCTGCTGCTAGCCACAGGGATATTTGAGCGCATGCGCCTGCTGCCCTCTCTAGCTGGCTCACGAGCCCTACGGACCGGGACCGGGATAAATGATCGATGGTTAGTACTAGTGGGTCCATGCTCTTGAAGAGAATCGGAATTTGAGACCCAGACATCCTTCTCCTCCTCCTCTAAAACTCTCGGATCCGAGTCCCTACTAATGGTACTCTCAGACGTGTTATCTGATGCTCGAGACCGTTCATCATCATACATCTCGCAGTCTGGAAAGTGGAAATCATCACTCCCAGTGATAGACTGGGCAGCGAAACTGGATGCTAAGGGCATAGGTATCCAATACCAGATATAGCTTTCTTTCAAATGGTCCCAGTCATATCCGTCTGCTTGTGTGTCTGAGTTTCCTTCTTCAAATTCTACAACCCCCGGCGTTGTTGCTGGTGCTAGATACCGGCGACGGCGACGGCCGCGGTAGGGCCTTCGTTTCTCTTTGCAGATAAGACATGTCGAATATAATGGGACCGGCCACTGCTCTTGCTCGTGTGGAAGACATTCGAAGCCGCTTACCCTGGCGTAATGGCAAAGGTCTGGGATGCTGGAGTTGCGAATTGCTGTCATGCAGATGATGCATTGCCAGTAGATGTTTTTGCACATTTTGAGATGGTTAGTGCCAATTCTAGAGAAAAAAAAGGTAGTGATAGAAGCTCGAGGATGCTTGAGCCCTCCAACAGTTCCCGTTGATGAATTTGGGGGTACTAATAGCAATGAAAGCTCCGAGTCTTCGACCTGAGGAGAGTATTCGAATACCAAGAAGCCCGGGGGCCAGGTTTGCCCACCAGTGCTCCGGCACCTGCCAGGTAGGTAAGCCTCAATTTGTATTCAGGTGTATTCCCTGCGACGAAGGCTTGGCAAAGACGTTCCAAAGGTGATTCCAAGGTTGTATTTTGGAGGAACTTGAACTTGCGATCTAGCCTGGGGCACGGCAGGCTACTTATATCTTCAAAGGTGCGTTGAAGGCCCGTCTTTGATTGAATTACTAGGGGTAAATAACTGGACACCTTTCTTTATTTAAATGGACTGTTTTGGAATATTCTTTGAGAAAGGTCACTCGACATTGTCCTTGACAATGGGCTATTATAAGATTTACAAGGATCAGCTTGGGTTGAGAGCCGGGATGATTGAGCCAGTCCTACGGGGGATCCTTGAATAGCTCAAGTTAGATGAGTGGAAGCTACCAGTAGAGAAACCGAACAATTTGATACATACAGTATCACACAAATATTCATATGTCCCCTTTTCTTTTCTCTGGATATCCCCATCAGCCTCATAGTTACCGCTTACTAAGCCGCGGGGCCCGGCGTGTTGCCATCAAAGACGCAGAAGTGCGTTTGCACTTCACTTCACCTCACTCACCTCCCCCCTACCTCCCTCTCTCTCGAACTTATTACTCCATATCTGAAATTACTCATCGTCCCGACCTCCGGCGACCTTTCAACTTCATTGCTGTCACTCTGGTGAAGCACCAGTCTTTTCCCGTTTTCGACCCACCCAACCACTCAAGATGTCTCTTTGCCTGAATCGCCTCCAAGAGGAGCGGTAAGTGATCACCCCAGAGCCAGCGCAATGCCAATGGAGCTACCTACTCGGAGGCGGAGACGAATACGGAGACAGAGGCTGATAGACCGGTTCATACAGCAAGCAGTGGCGTCGCGACCACCCCTTCGGCTTTGTAGCCAAGCCCAAGCGCACTGAGCAAGGCACACTGGATCTCAAGCTCTGGTCATGCGCCGTCCCTGGAAAAAAGGACACCCTGTGGGATGGAGGCGTGTTCAAGCTGGATGTAATCTTCCCGGACGGTGAGTTTCACCGCGCATCCGCGCATCGCATCGCATTCCTCGCGACGATCCGACATACTGACGCAGGCGATCTTCGCGCTTCCTTCCAGAATACCCTACCAAGCCACCAAAATGTACGTATTGAGATCTGGATTCTTCAGCACGACGAGTTGTCGGCCTGCGCTTGCGCAGGTATTAGAGCAGTTGACCCTCACGGCGGAGGGATGTCTTGATCAGATTTATGTATGGCTGCTGACCTTACCTTCTCTTGTCGCAGGCAAATTTACTCCTCCACTGTTCCACCCGAATGTCTACCCATCCGGCACCGTCTGTCTGTCCATTCTCAACGAAGAAGAGGCCTGGCGACCTGCCATTACGATTAAGCAGATCCTCCTCGGCATTCAGGATCTTCTCAATGATCCCAACCCCGAATCCCCCGCGCAGGCCGAAGCATACAACATGTTCAAGAAGGACCGACCAGGTTATGAGCGCAAGGTGCGACAGGTTGTCCGTGAGAACCCGCCCATGTAGGTGGGTGGGTTCTGAGTTGGGTATTTCTTATTCCGGGATTGGATTGGATTGGGATTTGGGGGGGATGGCCCCGGGGTGAGGGCCACTGCATGAATTCTAGCATCTCTCTTAGCACTGAACAAGCGGGCGCAATGGAACTACACTACACACTACTATAGTACTAAATAGTACTACACTAGTATTCTAGTAATACTCTAGTACCACCCTACCCTATACTGTAGAGTAACCAATGGGGATCCTCTTATCTTATCGGTGACTCAAAGACTGCCGACATCGCCCCCGCCGAACACCAAAAAACCTTGGCTTCACATTCTTTCTTCTCACTCATCTCTTATTGTTTCGTCAATCGCTCAATATGTGTGGAATCTTCGCGTGTCACCAGTATGTTTCTCTAATACTCCTCCATTCTACCTCCCTCCAATGTCCCATTTTCTCAATCCATTCTCAATCCATTCAATCCACCCCCGCGGTGCGGTGGTCCTTTTCCCCGGTCCCCCACTACGCGCACGAAATGTGGGATCCCACTAACTCCATGACAGTCACCCCGATGTGCAAAAATTTAAGCCCACGGCTTTGCGCATGGCCAAGGCGTGAGTACCTTCTTTCGAGCTTCCATTAATATCACCAATTGAGCCCTCATCGCTAACCTACCCCTCGATCCACAGCGTGCGCCACCGTGGTCCCGATTGGAGTGAGTCACAAGTTATAACTGGAATCGCAATGCGATAGACCTCCCATTGGAGGTCAAGAGAGGAACAAGAGATTAACAATTGTCTTCTATAACAGGCGGTAGCTTCATTGGCGATAACACAAGTGAGTTGAGCAAGATCGGCGATCGCCGTGGGTACATTTTGGGCTAACCTCCGTTTGCAGTTCTGACCCACGAGCGTCTGTCTATCGTCGGTGTTGGTGAGTAGAATCATTCAAGAGCTCTCTTTTTACTTCTTCGAACTTTCTTGCTGATTTTCTCTCCCCCAGACTCCGGTGCCCAGCCCCTTGTCAACGATGACTCCTCCCTCGCTCTCGCCGTTAACGGCGAGATCTACAACCACCGTATCCTGCGGAAAAACCTGAAGACCAAGTATAACTTCAAGACTCACTCCGATTGTGAGGTCGTAATTCCTCTGGTATGTCTCAATGGATCCGGTTCAACGTTATGCATCATCTCAAAAATTGGTTTGGCTCACACTTCTCCCCCACCAGTATATGGAGTACGGCATTGATGCCCCCAAGCACCTCGATGGCATGTTCTCCTGGGTCCTCTGGGACAAGAAGCAGGACCGTGTTGTTGCTGCCCGTGACCCCATTGGTATCACCAGCTTCTACCTCGGCCGCTCCTCCACCACCCCCGGCGCCGTCTACTTCGCTTCCGAGCTCAAGTCTCTGCACCCGGTCTGCGACGACATCATTGCCTTCCCTCCCGGCCATGTCTACGACTCCAAGACCGACAAATTGACTCGCTACTTCGAGCCTAAGTGGTGGGATCCCACCAACGTCCCCACCACCCCCGTCGACTACAAGGTGCTCCGTCACAGCCTGGAGAAGGCCGTTCGCAAGCGTCTGATGGCCGAGGTTCCCTACGGTGTTCTGCTGTCCGGTGGTCTAGACTCCAGTCTGGTCGCCTCCATTGCCCAGCGTGAGACCCTTCGCATGCAGGAGGCCTCCCGCAAGGCCACCAAGGCCGAGCTCGCCGCCGCCGCCGAGCTTGTCGGTATCGACGACGAGAACGAGCTTTCCACCGTCACCACATTCCAGCAACTGCACTCCTTCTCCATCGGTCTGCCCGGAGCCCCCGACACCGCCGCCGCTATGGACGTGGCCAAGTTCCTGGGAACCAAGCACCACGCCTTCACCTTCACCGTCGAGGATGGCCTGAACGCCCTCTCCGACGTGATCTACCACCTGGAGACCTACGACGTGACCACCATCCGCGCCTCGACCCCTATGTACCTACTCAGCCGTAAGATCAAGGCCATGGGTGTCAAGATGGTTCTCTCCGGCGAGGGTAGCGACGAGATCTTCGGCGGATACCTGTACTTCCACGCCGCGCCTAACCGCGACGAGTTCCACAAGGAGACCGTCCGCCGCGTGAAGAACCTGCACTTGGCCGACTGCCTGCGCGCCAACAAGTCCACCTCCGCCTGGGGTCTGGAGGCTCGTGTCCCCTTCCTGGACAAGGAGTTCCTCGAGACGGCCATGGGCGTCGACCCCGCCGAGAAGATGATCACCAAGGGGCGCATTGAGAAGTATATCATCCGCCGCGCCTTCGACACCACCGACGAGCCCGACGTCGAGCCCTACCTTCCTGAGAAGATCCTCTACCGCCAGAAGGAGCAGTTCTCCGACGGTGTCGGCTACAGCTGGATCGACGGTCTCAAGGACGCCGCCGAGGCCCACGTTACTGATGAGATGATGAAGAACCCTAAGCCTGAGTGGGGCTCTGATATCCCCGATACCAAGGAGGCCTACTGGTACCGCACGATGTTCGACGAGCACTTCCCCCCTTACTGTGCTGGTACCGTTGAGCGCTGGACCCCTACCTGGTCTAAGCAGACTGATCCCAGTGGTCGGTGAGTAAACCAATCCCCCTTCTTACTCCTTGATATTTTGATTGCCGGTGAAACTGACTTCTTATTACTAGTGCCATCTCCACCCACAACGCCAAGTACGATAGCGCCGAGTAAAAATTGTCTGTTTTTGATACAAAATCGCTTTTTTTTCCTTAGATTAGTTCTAGATAGAATCGAGGTGTATATATACCCCCTTTTCAAGTTTCTTTAAAGGTAGACGACACAGCAGGGCAAGGCCCTTGAAGTTCAATTCTGTTCATTCAGCTTGTTCTTCCAAGATTCTATAGAGCTTGAATTCCTCGTAGGGCTGTACTAATAGTACTACAAGTATACTAGTAACTGTAGAATCGGCAATTCGAACCTCCAACTTCAAGTTGGAGGGTCCAGCTTGAATGTTATATGTCGTCCAATGTTATTCCGAGGCTACTACAATTGCCATATAGATATCCGGGCGACTACTACTACTACTAGTAGTACCCACTAACTAGTGCAATGTGGGCAATGCCATAGATCTAAAATGCAGCAACAAAACACTGAGACCAGAGAAACGAAGTTGCCGTAACCTGATAACTAGAGCCATGAGTCGGAAACTGACTACATGCAACTAGTATAGGGGGATTGTCAGAAGCCTGGGCACACGATAGGGCACTAGCGCATTTTTCGAATCGAAAGGAATCAATATGGTGGTCGTCAGGGTAGCAAATAGGAAAGCTCTCACCTCTCGTTGGAAAGGTGGGGTCCTGAACGTGTCCTGGCACGCATCTCGGAACTTGGAATTTTCCTCCTCTTAGGCGCAACCACAAAATCGTCCTCTTCTGTGAAAGATATAGCTTCTGGGGCCGAATTGCTTGAAAAAGGAGGGAGTACTATATCAACTTCATCATTAGGCGACAGCGCCGAGTAAGACGGCCTTTGGTAGAAGAAATCGGAACTTGAAAAATTGGGCTGAATACTAGTACTAGATTCAGCCTGGAAGAACAGGAAGTCTGGAGGCCATGATATGGGGTTTGACTGAAAATCGAACATATATCCAGGAGCTATACCAGTAGTAGCAGCGGGAGGAATGGGCTCTGTAGTAGGAAATACGGGCACTGAAGGAATTGCGGCCCCAGGAGGAAACATGGGTTTTGAAGGATATATCGGCTCCGTATGCCATGTCTGACTTGCGAACCCCGAGGTATCACCTAGGTGCCCGGCTGAAGGAAACATGAGTGCCGAGTTATCACTCATGAATCCCTTTGAATTTTGAAAATTAGGAAAGTCGGAGTTGAAATGAACCTGGTTGCTCCATGGCCGCAGCGCTTTAGCCATGTTACAGGCTTTGCGCACTCCCGCATGCTGATCAGCAGGGAATAGACAGTATGCAAGTTCCAGGACCCCATCCGAGAGGCCGGCTATGCTATCGAAATCGCCTCGGTGTACTTCCTTGTTCGCCTGAATCATGCCATCGACATCCAATTGCACAACTTCCAATTGAACAGGGCGATTTACTCGCTGCCAAAGCCCTGTCTCAAGTTCGACGTCTACCAGCACTCTCTGGAAGAGCAATAGGTCTTGTTCGCAATTGTTGCTCGGTGCTAAAGAAAAAACTACCAAATGGGAGTTGGATATGTAAAGCTCTCACCGACGTTTCTATACGCAGGACCACTACTAATGATTGCGGTAGGCTTAATACTTGTGGATCCTTCAACTGCCGATATCATCGCTGGCACTGGCAGAACGGGAACTAACACCCAGTTCGAAGACATTGGAATTAGAATCCCTCAAGCTCCGAGACGAATCAACACTGAAGACTTTCGCGAATTGCCTACTTATTCTCAATTCCAAGCTTATGGGAGTGCAGATTCAAATTCGAGATGTTCGGATTTGCGAGAAGAATTGATTGGACTTTTCCAAGAAGCACCTCCGGATTGGAATATAGAGGATCCTTGCATTTTATCCCTAGTTTATTATCTTTTCAAACTTGTGGCGGGGGAGTGGATGCTTTATAGCTGGCTAATGGGGAGATATGTCAAGTTCTATGAATACTCATTCCACACAGCCCAGTCAAGAGGAGACCATTTTGAACACGCCGATATTCCCGGGCTTCATCGGTGGCGGCGCCGGAGTCAACAAAGCTTGCACAAATTACGAATGATGAGATATTTTGTAGAAGACTGGGAGAGATGAGCCCGAAGTCTATCTGGCATCAACTCGTAATAGATTTTCAACAGATTTTCAACACCCGGAGGAGCAAATCAACATGCACGCTCGCTCGAGTCATTGAACCCCATGAACACTTCACTGGTGCAACTGATAGACTCGTGTAAATCGATTTCCCAGGCCGAAGACGTCAAGCGCTTAAGCTTCATCGCTCTGGTGTTCATTCCTCTATCCTATGCCACTGGAATTTTCAGCATGGCGGATCAGTATGGCCCGGGTAGTGATCGATTTTGGATCTATTGGGCTACTTCACTGTCCATTGCCGTCGTTGTTGTGTGCATCTCATTTATGACAGACAGTATACCAAAGGCTTTCCGGTTCAGAGGGAATATAGTTTGAAACAATGGGAATCAGTATAATGGAGTTATAATAGTGAATCCGATTTCAATTTCAACTTGTCAATTTTCCCAAATTTGCGGTCTCGAGTCAACCAGGTATAGTTCAAGTCAATATGTACTGTATAGTATACTACTAGTATCACACTATTGAATGCTGCTGCTGCTGTTTACCGGGGAAAGGTGCTTACCTAACCCGGGCTAACCCGGGAGTGGCAGCAGCCAATCAACTGCCGACGAGCGTCCCGTGGTTGGAGTCCACCCGAGTGCCCCCCCCCCTGCCTGCCCGGCCCAACCAAGTCGATCTTTCTCTCTCTCTTCTCCCCCATCGCTTTCCTCCTTCTTTCACATCCTTCGAGACCTATCCCCATCATCTCAATTCACAATGTCTGCTCCTGCTGCTTTCTCCGATATCGCCAAGGCGGCCAACGATGTATGTCATCTCATTTATACTCCCCCAATCCCTCATCCATGCTTCTCCGGAATCCCTCAGCTAATTTCCCTCTCCGGATAGCTCCTTAACAAGGACTTCTACCACGCCAGCCCCGGTTTGTCCCCGCCGCCATAACCTCGCCGATGACGAACCCATTCGACTAACCAGCTCTAGCCAACCTCGAGGTCAAGTCCAAGGCCCCCAACGGTGTCACCTTCACCGTCAAGGGCAAGTCCGCCCACGAGGGCTCCATTGCCGGCCAGGTGAGTTTCTCTCTTCTCTTCTCTTCTGCTGTTCCCACTACAGCCCCACCCTCGCTTTCGCATCGGAAACAGATCGCTAACCCAATGTCCCCCATATAGCTCGAGGCCAAGTACGTCGATGCTCCCACTGGTAAGGGACCCTCCCACTGCAGACCACCCGATCCCAGCGCGCGCGAGCTTCGGCCCATGAGATTCACCTTCTTATGTGGTTCACTCGTGTCGCGCCAGGTGAACTTCTTTGTTTTTTCGAATTCCGCCACGCACACAATCAAGCTAATGTATCGCCCTCGCCCAGGCCTCACTCTGACCCAGGCTTGGACCACCGCCAACGCTCTCGACACCAAGCTTGAGCTCGACAACAACATCGCCAAGGGCCTCAAGGCTGAGATCCTGACCCAGTACCAGCCCGCTAAGCAGTCCAAGGGTGCTAAGCTCAACCTGTACTTCAAGCAGCCCAACCTGCACGCCCGTGCTTTCTTCGACCTGCTGAACGGCCCCACCGCCAACCTCGACGCTGTTCTCGGCCACGAGGGTTTCCTCGTCGGTGCTGAGGGTGGCTACGACGTCAACAAGGCCGCCATCACCAAGTACTCCGCTGCCGTCGGCTACAGCGTTCCCCAGTACTCCGCTGCCATCACCGCCAGCAACAACCTGTCCCTCTTCTCCGCCTCTTACTACCACCGCGTCAACGCTCAGGTCGAGGCCGGCGCCAAGGCTTCCTGGGACTCCAACTCCGGCAACGCCGTCGGCCTCGAGGTCGCCAGCAAGTACCGCCTGGACCCCTCTTCCTTCGCCAAGGTGCGTAGCTTTCTACCCTGCTTAACATTATCCTGAAACCCAAACACTGACAATCCTTCCGCTGTATAGGCCAAGATCAACGACCGTGGTGTTGCCGCTCTCGCCTACAACGTCCTGCTCCGCCCCGGTGTGACCCTCGGCCTCGGTGCCTCTTTCGATACCCAGAACCTGAACCAGGCTGCCCACAAGGTTGGCGCCAGCTTCACCTTCGAGGCTTAAATGTCTTCCATGATCATCATGGTATCCAGCCTAGAGAGCAATCGCTTCCCGGGTAATATCTAATTCTTCGTTCAATCGATTCCCGATCTCATTGGACTGGTAACAGGTGAACGGAGGTTTATGGACTTTCGCAGATAACCTTGAGTGTATGGTAGTCTTGACTCGATAACACTTTGTATATCAAATCTAAATTTCCTTTGTCTGGTGGAATCTTCCCATGTGGACGTGATTGTAGTAGTAGATATTCATTCATGGAACACAGCTCAATTGTGTAGCTGTTGAATAAAAGGCACTCTGATGTCTGCTCTAGTATCACACACGCGACGTTGCTTTTTGATCCTTCGATGTCGGCTCTTCCTATCATACCGAAGCAGAAATCGGTAAGCGTTGGATTGTTCACCCACTAATAGGGAACATAGCATCATAATATGTACAAGCTGATTTCACACTGTCTGAGGTTCCCGACCTCAGACCACCTGGGCATCCATGGATATTCATCTTCAGAGCAACAGAAAGAATCAAAAAGCTTTATAGCTCCACACTCTGCAACAATCACTCCTTCGAATCGGAATCCTTCCTCGATCCCCCACCGGCAGAACCACCCCGAACATACTCCGTCAAACAGATGACGCCAAAGACAATCCCCGTAAACCCAACCAAACTAGCAATATCAAGCCCATACCCGGTCCAGGTCCACTGGCCGACGCAGTCCCAGACCCAGCAGTACCAGCAGCAGCCTCCTCCCGCTCTTTAATAATAGTATGATAAACCTCACTCCTCCTCCTCTCCCCCCTTCTCATATCCTCCGCCCTCTGCGTCCGATAATGAGCCCTCGCATTAAAATGCCGTAACGGATTCCTCCGAATAAAATCAAACGGATCCTCAGGATCAACCTCCCCTCCCCCGTTTATGTTCAGCCGTAAAATCAGCCCACTCATTTCCAGATCCCGCACCACCACCAGCACCACCAGCACCGCCACTACCCCCAAATCCAAACGCACCCTCAAAACCCCCCTCACTCGCCGTCCGCCCAGTCCGCCCATACCCCCCATTCGCATAGAAACTCGGCGGCGGCCCCGTAAACGTTCCCCGCCGTTTACTCAGACCACTGGCAGGTCTTGAACCGGCATAACTACCCCCACTCGAGTGATGTGCATGGGCGCTGTGGCTACTATGACTCCCGGCGGGTGTGGTGGGGTGTCGATGAGCGTGCTGCGTGTGATGAAAGCCATGGTCTCGATCGTAGGATTGGCGCTTCGAGGTGTTTCCTAGGACGTTGTAGGCGGCGCTTAGTCGGGCGAAGCGTTGGCTGGAGGATGGGTCTGAGCGGTTGCGGTCTGGGTGGTGTTTTAGGGAGAGGGCGTAGAATTTTCTATGATGGGGGTTAATTCGGGTTCGAGTTCTTTGTCATTTGTTTGGCGTGGGGAGGATGTGGGTGCTAGTGAGTGGCTTGGTGGACGTACTTCTTTATCTCATCTGCGGTGGCTGTTACGGGTAGACTGAGGGTTTCATAGTGGTTTTGTTCTTTCGCGGGGCGCGAGGCGGTACTTGTGAATGATGCGGTGAATTTGATGAGGTGTGTTATTGAGTTTGGGTGGGGGGGATTGAGAGGTTGTTGCTGTTGGTCGGGGTCGTTTGCGGATTGCTGCGCTGTGGTGGTGGTGCTGATGGGTGCGGAGATGGTGGTGTCGACAGGTTTGGCCGGATGGTGCTAGGTTCGGTTTATGTATTGGGTGAAATATAGATATTGAGGAGCGGAGGGGAGGCATTGCACGGTAATGTGTGTGCAAGGTCGAGCGTTGTTACATTTGAGGGGGTCGTGTGAGAGTTGGAGAAGAAAGGCAGAGGAAAGGCAGAAAGTGGAGCGGAGGTCGGAGTCGGGAGTGTTGGCGGCGATCGGGTGGCGTCATTGCGGGATTGCTTGGGCGGGTGGGTGGCAGTCTTTGTTAGGGCAGTACTGTGAGAGATTTACAGGAGAAATAGAGATTATCTTTGTTTCCCTAGTATTTTTATTATTATTTTTTTTGAAATTTTGACTCAAGTAAATTCTCCCTGAGCTGGGGCATTGCTGGTACCTTAAGGTGGTTCGATTGGGCACATGCACGCTGATGATCAGATTAGATAAAGCCGGCCCTACCCTATGGGTACCCTCTGGAAACCCAACTTGAAGTGGCTTAGGGTTTCCTAGGGCCTAGGGTAGAGCTAGCTCATCTCCAATACTAGTACAGGCTACTCAGACTGCTCGGACTGCGGCCTTCAACCCCACTCATACTGTCATCTCCAATGACGCCACCTACCTAGAACACTCACCGTGATTTGGGAACCCCTCCATCATATCAGAGAACTATCCCAGTAAGTTAGCCTAGAAATCCAAATCTCTAGGTATTTTTAGCTATGTTTACCTGTCGTCTGGCGTCGCTCTTATGAGTGGCCAGGTGAGACCGGAAAATATTGTTCTTTGCAAAAAAGACATTCCTCGATTTAGAATTTCCCATTGATCGTGTGCCCATCGGGTGACCGAACGAGGTGAGATGTATTCACACGCCATGAGAGTTTACCCTGAATGTCTCAATCTGGCTATGCAATCTTCGTGGAAGAAGGCGGGTGGAGGTGCATTTTACAGCCCAGGTTCTACTGTCGATCCACGTGGATAGATACCTACTTTTCTTACCTCAAGGCCTGGAGACAATCGAATGTACTTTTATCTCCGGAGTTAGTAGCCGGAGAAATAACCAGTATACCCCACCTTTCAGCTCCTCTTCCTCTCATGTGTGAATTCGATACATAGAAAGGAGCATTCAATGGTTTATGTCGTGTAACGGTAGCCCGTGGGGCATTTTCCTATTTGATTGGCCCTCAAGCACTTCGTGTCACTCAATGAGGCCACTAGCGCTGATCTTGTGAGCTAGTCCGTCTGGTTGGTCAATATCTCAAGACTCATGAACGAAAAGAACAACAAAAGAAAAAAAAGATTATGTGGAATGCAAAATCCAGATGTTTTACATGTTGGCTAGAGTCTAGCATTGGTGGAAATGTCTTGTGGCTAGCTGCCCTTGCAGCGTCGCCGAAAGCTGCGGGTCTCATTTGTGCTTCAGAGCTTCTGCAGGCTTCTGCAGATTGATTCATGACCAGCCGCCATAAATATCCATGCATCCACTGGCAACAAGGGGGCGCTTCCTCTCAATCTATCCGAGTCTTCAACGAACGCTTTAAATTGCAGACCGATCGTTTTTCTCCTCTAAAAGAGTTCGTCGCATTCTACTACTCACTGTCCTTACCTCACCAGCCCTAGTGCTTTTGGTTTCCCCTGTCCTAGCCCGAGATACTTCCTACATGATTTCATAGGCGGTAGTGCTTTGATCTACACCTCTTTCTCTCTCTTACCAAAATTTCTACATCATCGCAATTCGACGAGAATATGGTGGACTCAACTCCAATATCATACGTCCTACGTAGGCGCGATGAACATGCCTGGCTTTCGGAGCTCCGTTCTTCTCAGAGATTCATTCTAGCGACGGTCGGACTCTCGTTATTTACAGTAAGTTCAATGATAAAATTTATTTTTCTATGGATGCACCCAACTAAGTGGCTTCGGCTCAATAGGTCATTTTTCTTTATGGAATGGTGGGTGAATCTGCGCTCTAGAAATCAACAACCCCGACTCTAATATCTCTGAAGATAATCCCAATTATTCCAGAAGTGCTCGTCACCCGAGCTGAGATTGCGACTGAAAACCGTATGTCCAGGATTATGCTAGTATAAAAAGCCCGCAGAGAGCTGATCTAGAGATAGGTGAATATTGGATCAGTGTGATGCTCATTATTGGAGCAGTCACTTCCTTCGTTTTTGCACCTATTTTTGGTCACCTGGTTATTCAAACAGAAAATATCCAACGGTTTTATCTACTTGGGTTAATATTACTTCTCACTTCCACGCTATTGTTCACCTTCGCCGATTCCCTGCACTTGTACATCCTTGCCGTCGTCCCTCAAGGTGCTTCCATGTCGATGGTGTTCGTGACTGGACTCTCTATCATGGCTGGTTTAACCCCGAAGGAGAAAAAGAGGTATATCTTTGGTTATCTGCATCTTTTTGTGGCGACCGGGCTCATCTTGGGACCCCTTTGTGGGGGAACTATCTACCATTACGCTGGGTACTATGCTGCATTCGGAGTGGTCCTTTTACTACTTGCCATCAACCTCATATTATGCTCCGCAATAATAGACAGACTCACTGAAGCAAATTGGTCAAATGCACCAGAGATTGGCCATGATCCTGAGGTTGAAGATTCAGAGACCCCTGCTTATGGCTCTGACGGAAAGACAGATGCCTCCAGCGAGACACTCAAAATGTGGCATCTGATCCGAGAACCTCGGGTTATGATCTCAGCGACATCTATCCTCGCTTATTTTATTGTCATCGCTGCTCTTCTGAATGTTAGTTGTCACCATGTTACCTGCTTGCAAATTCACTGACCGTAATAGACACTTCCAATCTTTGTGGCAGACCACTTTCAATGGGACTCACTGGGAGCTGGCTGTACAGTTTTACTAGTCACCGTGACTGTCATTCTCGGACCTCTGTTTGGTACCTTAAGCCATTTTTCTATTCACCGTCGTTGTCTTTCGCTAACGCAAGCCCTGGAGGCTTTATAGGGTCGTTTTCTGATCGATTCAGCATACGTACACGTGCAGCCCTCGGCTTTGGGCTCGCCACGCCCTGTTTGATCTGCTTGCGTTTTGTCCAGTGCAACACGATAGAGCACAAGCTAGCTTTCTTCGTGCTTTTATATCTGATTGGTGCTTTCCTCAATGCTGTGAATCCAGCTATCACGGCTGATATGCAAAATGCTCTCTTTGAGCTCGAGGAAAGAAGCCCGGGGACTTGTGACAATAATGATGCTATTGGAAGAATGCACAGTATTCATTACATGGCTCAGTGTGTTGGTTTAATATTGGGACCAGTACTCGGAGGTCTCATTGACCACCGGTTTGGCTGGGGAGCCATGACCATAGTTCTTGGTGCCGTGAGTGCATTCACTGCCCTGGGATTCTGGCTTCCAGGACAAAAAATCAAGCTATTCTCCAAAGATGATATCTTCGAAGAACGAGAGCCACTGCTGAAAAGATCTGAGGTACAGAGCTCCTTTGCCACTTTTGACGAGGAAAGCTCAGGAATCATGCACTACGAGACATTTCCTTCGACTATTTCCTCCAGAAAAAGCCCCGTCAAGGGAAATTCAGCCTCGATTCCATTAGGACATCGGTTCGTGACAGCAGCAGAACGCCCAGACCTCTGGCACCCCACACATTCGGACCCAAACCACGGTATATTTAGCTTTCCACAATGGAGCCAGGGGGCTGTTTTCAAACGTTATTATCGACAGCTGGGAGAGATAGAAGAATTGGCCCGCTACCAAACAATGATTGTCCGAAATTCGGATGAGAGAGTTGTTGCTACCGGTGTATGTACGCCTTTCTTCTGGCCAGAGCTGGCTAGAGCTCCAACTGCCTCACTCTATTCATACGATACTCCTGAATGCGCCTTGACTCTCCCAGATGGAGGCTGGGAGACAATATTGACCAGGGGAGTTCTCCAAGCACGAGCACGACAAGGGGAGCTCCCATCCGAGGAGACTTCGCCTCTCACCGGAGATCAAAAAAAGGATGAGGCGACGGCATGGCTACCGAACCGACCAAATGCTATATCAGGGCTGCTGGTTATTGTGGCAGATAATTACCGAGGCCAAGGCCTTGCTGGCATCCTCTATCAAAATTTCAAATATTTGGCTCGCCAAAACAATCTAAAGGCGTTGGTTATCCCGGTCCGACCGACGCACAAGTCTCAATATCCGCACATTTCATTCGAAGAATACTTTAGTTGGATCCAAGAGGGCCCTTTTCGCCATGGGTTTACATGGCCAAGCTCAAATGCATCCGATCAGCCACTTCCCTTTGACAGGGAGTTTCGAAAGCATATACGAATGGGAGCAAAGGCCGTCAAGCCAGCCATCAGAAGTTTCACCGTGGTCGCCTCTGCCGCGGAATGGCAGCAGCGATTCGGCGATAAGCTGGCCTTGGATGTGTTCATCGATGAAGATGGCAGCCGCTGGCTTCTAGGTGGCAAATTGAATGGGTTGCTGTTGAAGGATGAGAATCAGGCTACTCCTTTGCGATGGGATGCGAAGCGTCAAGTTGGTATTTACTCGGAGACAAATATGTGGATGTGGCACCCGCTGTAATCGTGAGCGCGGAAATTTCAAATTCAATACATTTGTGCTATCCTTTTCGCTTGCTACAATATTTTCTCGACCTTGAGTGAATATGCATATAGTATTCCAGTATTGCTATATTCTGCGGCAAGATCCTCTTACTACCTGGTGTCCAACCAAGCCCATACATGAAAAATCTCCCCTCTGGTTTGCACTGCTTTACAAGCTTGCTGATCAGGTTTATTCAACGACCTTGATGCAAACCTTGCCAATGTGTGTTCCAGATGTTAGATACTCAAAGGCCTTGATGGTTTCCTCCTGGGAGAAGCCAAACTCCTTCTCGACAGGCAAACGAAGGCCTTTGCGGGCAACAAAGCGGACAACCTCCTGTAAAAGCTGCGTAGATCCAACGATAACACCGCGAATCACGGCTCCCTTGGCAAGAGCTAGACTCGCGACATCAGGCATCTCCTTTGCTTGGGAAAGGAACCCAATGACTGAGACATTGCCGCCCATTTTCACAGAGTTGATACTCTCGGCGATAGTTCCGGAACCGCCATTTTCGAATACATAGTCGACACCTTCCCCGTTGGTCAGTCTCAAGGCCTCTTTGGACCATTCGGGATGAGTTTTGTAGTTGATGGTATAGTCTGCACCGAAATTTTCTTTGACGAATGCGAGCTTGTCATCGCTGGAGGAAGTCACAATAGTGATTGCTCCAGCAGCCTTGGCTAGGATCAATCCAGTGATGGAAACGCCACCAGTTCCTAACGGCAGAACGGTCGTTAAAACATATAACTCATTTAAAAAGATTTCCGGCTTCACCACATACCTTGAAATAGCACAATTTGTCCCGGCTTCAGTGGGGTAAGGGCGTAGAGGGCATTCCATGCAGTCACACCAGTGCACACCAGAGTGGACCACTCCGAGAAGCTCTGGGGTGAGTCCTTGGGGACTTGGACCACGGAAGTAACGGGGACCGTAATGTATTCTCGAAGGACACCATCGACTGGTGCACCATGGCCGTTGTTCCAATCCATTTGCTGGCCATAGAGATTGGTAGGATCGAAGGTAGTGATAACATGATCATCCTTTGAGACATTCTTGACGCCTTCGCCAACCTCAACGATAACACCGGCAGCATCAGAACATGGAACAACGTTGTCCTTGACAGGGAACGGGTATAGCGAGAGAGCGACACCGACATCCCGGTAGTTCAACGACACGGAATGAACCTTGATTAAAACTTCGTGCTTGGCTGGAACTGGGATGGGTTCCTGGAAAGCCCTGAAGTTTTGGATCGAGTTCCGCTCACCGGGGAGACGAATAACAGTTTGCTGCGACATAGTGCGTAAAGATTTGATTGATTCTTTGAGAATGAATGATTGAGAATAATGGAGCGATTTGCTTTTGGTTTATATAGTATCTTCCAAGTTGCCCAGTGGACTCGAATAGTGGACTCCTCTAGGTCAATTTTGTTCCGTGCTTAATAAACTTGTAGAAGGACCCGTAAGGCAAGGATAACGTCATTAATGCAATGCAAATTTGGGTTTCATACGCAAGAAAGCGCAGTCTATCCCTAGTTGCTGCTATATGGCGGTTCAAATTTTGAGGGTGATCGAATCAAACAGCTCGATCTCCGACACGACGTGGAGAATCAATTCGCGCTATGTGGGGGAATATCCCCAAATCCCCAAATGGACCCACTTCCCCAACACACCCATGAATATAAATCATCTTTTTATACTAGGCCATGTCAGTACTTCATACGGATTAGAAAGATGGGTGGATCCCGGAGAGATGTGCTGCTTGGTAATTTGAGATCTTTTCGGTACGAATAGTCATGGAATTAGAAATCTCTTAACTTCGGCTACATTCAGATTGTGCAGCGGGACAAAAAGGCTCCGACGGGTGAACAACCAGGAGTCAGACTTGTCCCTGAGAACTCAGTGTTTATTTTCTAAAAGAAATTGGAATCTGATAAAATAATATTTCATTTCGAAATTGATATGTCTTTTACTTTCTTCTATATGCAACTAGTGTCTCCCCTATCATTTTTATGAAAGGAAATGGGGAATTGCCTAGCATTATGTGTGACCAAATTGCGATGGTCTGATCTGGTAACAGGAAGGGCCCCGTGTTACCCTCAAAAGAGGAGTCATTAACAGACGATAGGCCCTCATGAACAACCTCTTGGATCCACTGTATTAGTCGGATTTCATGATCTAGAAAATATAAGTATCTGACTTATCCAAAAGGGAGTTGAGGATGGGAAAGGGATGAAGAACCTGTCAAAGGGCATTCCTGCCTGGTGCCCTGGACATGATATAGCCATTTCTCAAGAAACACGCAGGACTCGAGGCCGCAGAGAGTCGCCTCAATGCTCCAAAGCACAGCTTGATTATGTTTGAAATACTGAACACCAAGGTTGACCAACGTGGCAAGGAAATTTGTTGCGTGATAGGCGGATAAGAGGGAACTCCATTTGCGGTCCACTTTCAAAGATGTTTGAAGTGATTCCGCGATTTCGGTGGGTGCCCAGGAGAATATACTTCTTGATTTCGAAACACCGGAGCAATTTCGAACGTAGGCAAGGCTGAGAAGGGCACTAGATTTGAATGGCAGAGGGCCATTGGGATCCAGAGGCTCGAGGTTTGATTCTGGTGTTTGTTGCCAGCATGAGGTCCATCTACGCAGCGCATTCCTAGCAAATTTAAGTCATATTAGCGCAAACTCTTTGAAAAGAGCAATGAAGGTTTATTAGTGTGACAGACTTACTCAAAGATCTCCTCATAATCCTCTGATGAGGCCAATGACAAGGTACCAGATATAGAGCGTCGAGTCGAAACAATGATTTGCAAGAGTCCATGAATCAAGACATAATTTGCGACGGGTGAATTGCCGTGAGTCGATCGGTAATCTGCAGATAACAGGGCGTCCAAAGTATCACGAAACAATCCTTGTTCATTTGGAGTGCTCTGTCGCAGTAAATTCCAGGTGACTGCATCTGGCGCAGTCCACTCTGGACAAGAGCATGGCAGCTTCAGGTTGATTTCATCACACAAAACGCTAGGTGGCGTATCATTGGCAATGTTTTGAATTCCGAGGAAACAGAATGCGAAGAATTTTGTCCGTCGTGCTGATTCTTCTTGTGTCCATTTTTCCCAGCTACAGCCTTCCGTTCCTTCCGAAGCTTCGTCTAGCCCGCTCAACCGTAGGGACTGAGAAAGAAGGCTTTGTAGAATGCAGGCCTCCGTTCTCAGGCTTGCGTCACTTTGCCATGTCGCAAACTGGGCGAGGCAAAGTAAGCAGCCCAGCTGGTCGATTGGCTCGAAGCTCGACGTGCTTCTCTCTGATGAAGACTGGTCACCATTAGAACCCATCCTTCTCTGTTGACTATCAAATAGCAACGCCTTGGAGAAATGGAAGAGCTGTCTTGCCGAAGTGGTCTCAAATCTGTCCTGTGCCCCCACTGTCATCATAGCCAAGCAAAGCTCTGGCGAGCATGCTTCGAGCTTGAATGTTGGGGAGTGCGTGAACGGGCAGTGAGGATAAAATCCAGTAAAGTACCCAGCCAGGAAGCGAGTTAATGCATTGGCTGAAGGTAAAATCGGATTTGGAAACTCTTTTTTCTACCCTTCTTAATGACAGGAGTAACCTAGATCGATCTGAGATTGTAACGTTTGGGCATGCAAAATGTGGAACAATTTGAGTGGCTTTAAAATGTCAGCTTCGAGTCTTCAAATTAATTTCCAGGGCGAAGATTAGGGATGCTTACCTAGTGACAGCTGGGGAGATGGGAATATGGTAGGACACTCAACTACAGGAGGTCCATCTTGTTCTGTTGGAGGACTTCTTGAAGGAGCATTCAGTGAAGGAGAGGAGACACTGGCTTATATTAGCTGTCTGTTATATTAAAACGGAGATCACATCGGTCTTTCTTTGTATCGATGAACGGGAGCGATAAACTTACGGAAAAGAGTCAAGATGTGTGCTAGAGTTCAAGGAAGGAGGAGTTTGGTAAGCGGAAAGATCGGCATGATAATGAGATTCCTTCCCATGCCCGATAGTATGTCCATCAATCGAATGCGGTGGGTTACTGTGATCTGAGACGACGAAAAGTTGAGCACCATTCACGGTCTGTGCAAGTGGGTCATTAAGCCTGTCCAAGTGACATGAGACACGCTCGTGGCGACGTAAAAGATCACGACGAGAAAATGAAGCACCGCAATAACAGGAAAACGGCTTTTCATTGGTGTCTAAATTGCATGAATTAGTGCTACTACCATGCACCATGGTTGAATACATACGTCGTCTCGTGTGCCGTTGCAAGTGTTCTAATCTCCGAAAGGACCTCTGACAATACGGACAGCTGAATTCCCTCCCAACGTCTGAGCTACTTGCTTGGGCAGCTGACATCACAAAGCCAGACCTATGTGTTGGTAATCGTGAAAAATCCGAACCGATGTGAAAAAGACGACTCACAAATCAAGGGACGTCAAAAATGCGGGCATGACGCCCTGTGATTCTTAGTCAACTCGTGGCTGACAAATCACATTATAACCACCACGCAACAATTTCTAGAGAAAACATAACAAGTTAAAGATTTAATTGCTACCTGAGGGTATTCAGGCCAGAGCTCTCCAGGGTTTGCGACATTCTGTTTAGGTTGAGGAAAGCATATCTCTCTTTCTCCCGAAAAACCGGCGTACTTGCCACAAGGCCAACACATACATCTCTATGCCATCGTCATTTGCTTGGCTCTGGTGCGCCTAATTCACAATCCGGGCCGCGCCCTGGTTATCGTGCTTGACTTTAAGTTTGAGGCCACCATGCCACAATTCTAGACAAATATCAAAACGGGGCTTATGCGTGTTTTTGAACCGAAGAGAATAGAAAATAATCAATTAATCTGTCATGGTGTCCAAAATAGAGGAATTCGGATCTGCTAGTATTAAATGATCACCCTTGGCCAAGTGCCTTCAGCTTCGTGAATGGACCTAGATCCCATATGGAGAGGCAAGTAAACACAAATACAGACACAGACACGGCATGTGGTATGTTATAGCTTTCAACATCGAGGTTGAAATTCAGCTTCATAGTGCATATTTCATTTCCCCGTAGCTCTCGGAAATAAAATGCACAGTAATCATTTCGCGGCTAAAAACAAATTTAAGGCCAGCCCTGGCCATAGGGCGTCCGGGGCAGGCCGCAGCAGCCCCTTCCCTATTGGATGGGTCTTAGATCTCTTGTTGTCTTTCGCCACTTCTTTTAGACCGCATGTTTGGGCATCCCATCAAGATGGAACTACGTATGATGGTTGTCTGTTTGCTTCCTGCTGCGGTCTAGGCCTCCAACAAAGCCCAGCATCACCGGCTCAATGAAACTCTCGGAATATTTAAATATCGCCAATATTCCCGCTCAAGATGAGTATTCCATTCACACCTACAAGACCCAAAGTCCCCAGCAAACTCCAAAATTTCAAAGTTCAAATCACAACTACCTACCTAATCAAACGAAATCATGCACGCCACTCAAGCTATTCTGGCCACTTTCCTGGCTGCATCTGCTGCCTTCGCTGCTCCATTCACCCCTACTCCTACCGCTAGCGCCACTTCCACTTCCGCTTCTGTTTCCACAGCATCCTCCAACTCTGACTGGACCATCCAGGGCCTTGTCCGGGAATGCACCGACGATGACAGCTCTTGTACATGGACTTTCGGTATCTTTGACGGTGCCGAAACTACTGAGTGTACCTACATCGTGAATGGTCCTGATGTCAGTGGAGGCCCTACTCAGTGTGGCGACTTCACAATTACCAGCAACTACGTTATTGGAACCCCTCCATGGACGCAAATATCTGTTGTGCGAGATGGGTTGATCATTTACCCTGCCTACGACGACAATGTCCTCGCCAATCCCCCAGTTGCCGACTTCACTCAGGCTCCCCAGCCTGTTTGGACTCCTTAGAGCGACGAATGAGTAAGAGAGGCAGTCGGAAATAGATCAACTTGCGGCAGCGACTAAAGAAGACATGGCCTTCTCCTGGTGCTCATTTGACGATCAAATTTGCATATGTTCTATTACTAAGACTTGGTTTCCTATTGAAGGGAGCCACGGTTTATGCTATTTCTGGTGAATTAGAGTCTAATAAATCTTGCGCTTTTCATTTGGTATCAAACATTTTGCCAAAAACATATCATTAGTAGGCTTCCTGTAGTATCGCCAATGTTTCTCTTCAAAGATCTTCCAAGGCGCTCAGAATCGGGCCGACTGATAGGCTCAGCTCGGTTTCTCTTTTCGGTGTCTGCTCCGGCAACTTCCTACACGATGGATGGATGATAAACAGAAACTCCAAGTTATACCATCGCCACCTTAACCACTAATTTCCATTCTTCATCCTTCTCGCTTTCCCGCTTTTCTTTGGCCGCCTAGGAATTCGAAGATATCCCAATTCGTCGTGTTCTGATCAGTATCATATCTTTCTGTGACGACTCAATCATCCAAGTGGGTCCATTCTTATCCCGAAACGCTAGCTAACAGCATTGACGATCTATGTATGTGTGATTGGAACAATCGGCGTCAAATACCCAATGAATAAAGATTGCATGAAAAATGTCCGAGTGTGAAACAAGAATTTGGACCGGACCAAGCTAAAACTGCTCATGACCCTATGTCGAAGGGTACCATTCCGGCATGTCGATCGTCATGTAGCCCGTGGTGACTAATCGGGATAACGACTGGATAACTATAAGGCTCCTTCAAATCGGAGTAAATCTGAAATTCATATATCTGGCTACCCCGTATTACAATCGCCGTTTGAGCATATCTCAGAAATGATGAATTTCCTGAGAACAGCTAAATCAATGAAAATTCTTGTACCCTTGTTTTTCTCTAGGAGATTGTCTATATTTGGTGCTTGTATTATAGATTTTAAATTACTCAACATTGAATTTAGAAATGACAAGCTTTCTCCCGCGATTGACTACAGTATAGGGCGGACGTCACAAAATTACGTATGTGCCCCTTAAGACACATCCACCGTTGCGAGCAACTTTTATCGACGGTCCGCACCTTCGAATACCTTATTATTGTCCCATGTCTCCCAATAATATTCAGAGAGTTGACTCAAACGATTTAAACACAATGATTCTCACTCGCGGTTTTCTCGGTGCCCTGTTTTCCTCGTCGGCACTGGGTCAAGTTCATCATTTTTACTCCGGAGTTTTCACCGGAAGTTCATTGTATGGAGTTGAATTCAACGAGGCGTCTTCTCAGTTGAGCTTCATTTACAATGGAACTCTTGATATCTCAAGTTCCAAGTGGATAGCCACGGATGTCAGTCTCGTGGTGAAACGACATCACTCCTACTCACTGCGCCATGAACTTGAATATACTAACATTTAATGACAGAAGAGCAACAGAAACATCTACATTGCAAACGACAATACCTACGAAAGTTATGGGATTGGTCGGGCTATTCGCTAGCCCACAGGGGAAATGTTTCAATCTCAGAAAAATGTTTGAAATAATCGCAAGACTCGATCTTTGTGCAAGCGCTAACTCTCACAGGCAACAATGTCAATTATATCGTTGCATCAAATGCTGAGCCATTCACTGTTTTTGGTGCACCCTATTCAACGGGCTGTCCTGGGCAGGTCATCAAAGTTGGTTCTTCCGGAACTTTGGAATCACTGGCAGCCAATATCACATACAGCAGCGACTCCGGGATCCATGGACTGGCACTCAGCAGTGATAACCGGTTTATTTATTCTGGCGATGACATGGGAAGTTCTATCTGGACCCATTCATACGATGAAGAAACCACCAGTGTTTCAAAGCTTCAACGACTAAATGTGACCGGAAACCCAAGGCACCTTGCGGTGTCGCCGCAGGGATCATTCATCTACGTGATTCTCGAGCAAAACAATCAGCTTGCTGTTTTCAACCGTGATAAAACAACGGGCCTTATCAGTGGAAGAAATAAGACATTCTCCCTTCTTCCCTCCGGTAAAACCACCAATCCCTTAAACCAGACAAGTTTGTTCGAATGCTCATTGTTTTCAATCTCCAATCCAGGCTACTCCAACAGCTCCCTCTACTGGTCTGATGAAGTCATGTTCTCCGTCCCGCAGGAAAAAGGGAAGTACCCCAAATATTTGTTCGCCACTGTCCGTTCCAGAACATCAACCGACCCCGGGTTCGTGGCTGCATACTCGCTTGATAGCACCACAGGCACTATCAGTGATTTCTTGTTCATAGTTCCCACAACGGGATCTGGCGGTGCGTCCAATTCCATAACTCCTGCAATTTTCTCTGAGGAGTTTTTCGCGATCGCGGATGCACAGGGGAACTTTATTGAAGTTTGGAAACTGGGAGAAGGTGCTACTACAGCTACGGTTGTGGCCCATCTAGATGTTTCCGATAGCCCTGCTAATTTAGTTTGGGTTGATTGAGGCCGTTCATTGTCTTGGGAATATGCAAGAATTTCCTTGTTGCTAAACTATACCTGAGAATCATCTGTTAATAGTCTATTAGATTCGGCTATTTTGGTTTTGTCCTTGGTCTCAATAGAATGAAAGCGAGAGTAACTGTGTTCTGTGATTTCTGATGGATACGAAGGAATAAACGAATCTTAGAAAGTATGAGAAGCAACAAAGATAGTAAATGTCGAGCAAGTATTGGTAATGGAGAATCGGTGCTTGCAGGGATGAAGCGAGCTACTAGTCACTTTCGGGAGCCCCTCTTATCAATGCCTCTAAATTATTGTTCGTCTTCTGCCGTATTCCAAGAAGCTCATTATCAACCTCTTGGAATTCCCCTCCATACCCTTCTGCGAAGACCGGCCGGCGAAAAAATCCCAAAGAGGATACAAGATCAAACAATCCATTCGCATAATTCCCATGCGCGCTGGCCTCCATTTCAGCCGTACTCACACTTTTGGGGATCCAAGTTCGTTCTGGGTTGACCCCTTGAGCGATTTTCAGAATCTCTTTCTGGGTTGTCACGAGACCTTGGACAAAAACAGCCCGATTTTTGGTATCCTCCAAGTGACATAAAACCTCGGCCACGGCCTTTCCGATCGTGGATAAGGTAGTTGTGCCGAAAGGCCTGTCTCCACCGTCATACAGAGGTGTTTCCCCTCCCTTCAGGTTCAGAAAGAAACCAGTGGCAAGATTCCAACCCAAAAAGAGTCCATTGCGGATCAAACTGAATGTGAAATTTGGATTTCCTTCTGTTGTTTGTCGAAGGACGTCGCACAATTTGACCTTGGAGTGATATACTGGTAAGGCAGCGGCTTTCGGATTGCCAATGTTCGCACTGAACTCAGATGGAATAAGTCTGCGCACTCCAGCTTTCACTGCCGCCTCTACCAGTGGAAGTTGCGTATCCATTGCATTAGTCGTCAGGGCAGATACCACGGTATCTTGGGCTGCCAAAGCCGCAGTCAAGTCCGGCACCGAGTCGTAGTCCACCGTACAACTTCGACAGATTCTGGGAACTGAGACTCAGATGAATGACGCGCGAGAACGGTGACACGAAATTGTTTGCTTCCGATAAGAGCTTGCAAGATTGAGGATCCCAGTGTGCCAGAGGCCTGGACAGGAACTATAAGCAAGAACCACGCAGGTATAAGAATCGAATTCACGCACCCCTGCGATAGCAACGTTGCTGATGACTTCCATTGCCAGATGATAGATATTATTGAGTTGAAGATGAAAAGGAATTCTATGGTATTTGGCGATGAGCTGTACTTTATAAAGCAAGAGAAACAAATAACACAGTAAATCTGCCTCGGGGTAAATGGATATGCGGGGTGCGGGTGCAGATGCGGGTGCGGAGGCTAATCCAAATTAGGCCTCATGCAACAATGCTACAGAGACATCACTCTTCCACTCTTTCACGCCTCCACACAACTTGAATTATTTAAGGATTAGCCGCCGCATCTGCACCTGCACTCGCATGGACTGCTGCTCTTCGTACTTTAGCCCTGCTAGTTGCGCACCCGAAAGCCTTTGCAATAATGCCAGCTGATCGTACATGCCTTTGCTGTCGCAAACAAAAACGGAGATGTGACAAGATTCTCCCCCACTGTACTTTATGTCGAAGGTACGATACCAGATTCTGAGCCTACAAAAGATGCATAATAATGAATCAAGACTGAATAAGCGCTGTGTATATGGAGCTCCGGCGGCGGCCCCTCGCCTGCTGCCTGTGCCAGACTGGTCCGAATTAACGCCCATCAATTTGTGTCACACTCTAGAAAATCAGGTTTCCTCAATCATTGGCGATGGACTGCGGCTGGAGGAGGCTACTGCTCTTTATTTCCGAACGGTACACAGTTGGCTCCCTATCCTGTCTGAGGCCAGGTATAAGGCCCAGTTGGCCAGTGTGCGTGTCAAGATTGGGGCTACCCCAGCCGACTTTAGTCTTTTGACCCTTTGCATGTCTTTGGTATGTAAAGAACCTGTAGCAACAGTCATTACTTAATCGACTCGATCGCTCTATGCTTCATTGAAGGGTTTCGTGACTCTCTTCGAAACAATGGGCACGAAGTCATTGGAAACGCTACAGAGTCGAATTCTCTTAACAATCTTTGAGATCGGACATGCATTTTATCCGTCTTCGTATATCTCCGCCGCAGCCAATATACGCGCTGCAGTCAGCCTTGGTATTGGCCCTTTATGGGAGGATTCTCATACGGTCTACCATGACCCACAGAAAGCTCAGGAGGCCCAAAACGCGTGGTACGCAATATTGATAATGGACAGGTGGGAAGTCACCATTGACTTAAACAGGCTTTAGAATCAATTATGCTGAAACAAGATTGCATGGTAGCTATGTCTCGCTAGAAAGTGGCCAGGCACCAGTGCTCATCGAGCCCGTATGGTAAGTCCCCTTGCAAGTATTTAACATGAATTTTCATAATTTCATCTGAAAATTCAAAGAAGCTGAGTATTAACCTGGAATAAGGCGCACCAAGACCTTGCCGATGTGGAGCAGAATGCATTCACCAAATTATCCCGCGCATCCCAGCTCCTGTACAATTCAGAAAATTGTGACATACCGACGAGCACCAACCTTAAAGCTCACTCCCATTCCATACTTGAAGGATATACCATCGGTACGATTTTGACAGAAAAGGGGGCATCCTTCCCAATAATTCGTGTAACATCGTTTTGAGATTGTGGCCAAAGGTGCAAGACCACACTGAAATCTGGAACGCGAATATCCATGAGTGGATCCAAACACAAGGCGAAAATTTCATCGGTGATCCAAAAACTAGCTTCGGGTCGAGGACATTTGCCCTCGATATGATCTAATGTAATCACAAGACGTTGCAGATTTCCGCCGGCTGCTATCTCGGATAGAGCTTGGCAAGTATTTTTCCACATCTGAATGAACTTTTCGCTTTGACTTCCCAAAATAGTGCTACGCCGCATGCGAAAGCCGACATCCATTTTTCTGATCATTGCAAGGCGATGGGGCAGCATAACTTTTGAAAGTTCTGGAATTACCCAGGGGTGTTCTATACTCAATATTCTCTCTGTGTAAAGGATATTGACAGCTTCGGAGTATCTATGACTATCAGCGATACGAGTATTCGAATCTCTCATGCTCTATAGCCAGATCATTATACTTACATTTGACGGCACGAGCGCAGCAAATTCAGATATCTGGCATGCCAATCATCATTTGGTCCAGGTTCATAGTTCGGACCATGACCAACTAAATTCCAGCATCCATGGTCCCGAAACGGTCGCGCTGGACTCGTATAGTGACATTGGATTCCAGATATACCGCGACGCTTGCGTACCACGTGAAGCACCTGGTCCGGCGGCCCTAGAATATACTCGTATATCATATGTCGAATTTCAAGAGGTAGTCGGGCCAAGAAGGGCGATTGTTTCTGATCAAATGTTTGCTGTGCTCTGTGGCCAAGAGAATTCGATTTTTGCTCAGGGAGAGGTAATGTTAAAGCTCGCTTTCGATTGTGTCTCAGGTGGGCGAAGGGACGCTCTGTCTCTGTCCATTCTCGCACCTTATCTGCCCCTTTAAGAGGCAAAAAGCACCCTACATAGTAGATGAGGTAGACGGGGATGCCGGCAATGATAAGCCATCGTGGTATAGGTATGCGACTAGTCATGCTGGATGAAGACGATAAAATCTGAGAAATTCACGGCAAAAACTGCAATAATTCGAGCCCTGTTTTCTTCCCTATTTTTAAGGACATGTATGTGAGTCTGAGGCTGCCCAGGTGTTTTCGAGGCTGAATTTAAAGAGATTAAATATGTGGTGGGTCAGGCCAGATCGCCCCAGCCTTGCAGACAGAGCCGCATCGCATCTGCCTTGGATGCGCCTTGACGAATGGTGGTCAGAGTTTTATCACCTCTCCCAACTAGAACCAAGTTTGAATAAGAAGAGCCCGAGTTATGATTTCGCACACTTGTGTATCTAATGTTATCCAAAACCGGAATTTCTTTCAGAATATTTTTGCCTAGACCAGACAAATGTATTGGAACCACATTCTGGGGGTGTTCCATACCCAAGCCCTAAACGCCTCTCTCCGTTCCCCGTCATGACGTTCTCCGTCATGATAAACATGCAAATTATTGGACGCCGTAAGATGGAAGCAAATCCCTATAAGAATGACAATACTCGCTAATTCTCTCGATGTGTACCTTGAAATAATTGAATCAAAACATTATTCACTTTGTGGCCTGGGGCTGCGGCGGCGGCTGTTGTTGTCCTACGTCAGACACTCGAGGTCGCTTAGGATCGGTGGGACTCGCAGCCTGAGGGGCGGCGGTTGGATTGGAACCGGGTGAAGCATTGGTAACGTCACTCAGCGGTGGTCTCTTTCCGTTCATATTTTGTGGTGGTACATTCACTCGGTTCATGGCCGCGGCGTTGGGGGAGGCTTTTGCGTCAATGTTGGTTCGGGTCAAGGGTCGAAATGTCGAGGTTGATGGGCCTCTGGATAAGGGACTGCCAGCTCCGCCCGCGGCACCTCCAGGAGCACCGACTCGCCGTTGAAAGTCGGTGGTAGGGTTGACGAAATCTCGGGAGTTGTTGTTGGGTGCAGGAGAGGCATTGGACAGCATCGGCCTTGAGATAGGCACGCTCTTGGTATGATCCACGCCAGCCGTCTTCCGGATGGACGGACTCTCGGCATGGGGATCGAATTGGCTTCCGGGGGCAGGACCAGCATTAGGGTTATCACGCAGCATGTCTGCTACACGGGCCGAAAAGAACCCCACTGATTGAGTCCCAGTTGGTGGCTGTTGGTCTTGGTTTAATCCTGCCGTTGGTTCCGTTTTTACTGGTGGCTGCCCGTTAGGGTTTTGAAAATTGGTGCCAGGGGTAGGGCGTACTTGAGGCGGCCCCCCGGGTCTCGAATTTGGCACATTGTTAGGAAGTCCATTCGAGGGCATAGGTCGGCTTTGAGCAGGCATAGCTGAGGGGTTGGGTCGGCCAATTGGGGGCAGGGGTTGTCTGGCGCCTTGGTTCCCCGGGTTCCACCTCTCTGGCTTCGATGGCGTTATAGTATTATCAAATCGTCCTACTGGAGGTCCTCTCGGAGGTTGCGGGCGATTCATGGGGGTTGGCGGCTGCTGTTGAGCTTCTGCTTCTATTGTTATCTCGTCGGGATTGCCCGTCGCTCCCACAGCGAAATCTGCTTCATCAAAGAGATCACCTATCGTCGTTAGAAAAGGAGGAAATCTACCAGTATTCTGACACTCACTGCCAAATTCGCCATCCCCGTCGAAGCTAGCGCTTGCCACTGCATTGCTGCTCTTAGCAGTTTCAACGGGCCGCGGGGGAGGCAAAAGGTCATCCTCTGCTACTCGTTTTGCGGGAGGCGCTTGGGGCTTCGGTACAAAATCCCGGTGTCGGTGAAGTTCCTCAACATCAAATCGGGCCTGTATTGAAGATGAGCTGAACGGTCACCAACATGATAATTCCAGCCGCTCTTACCGGTGCAGACTTCACTTTGGTGACCTTTGCAAGGTAGTCTTTGTCATAAACACAATTACCGAGCACATTTCCAAAGTTTCTTAGCGAACGTTTCAAGGCGTCTGTTGTTGCTTCTTTCTTTGACTTCTCAAAGGCTGCCGCTTTGCCTTTGGCATTCTCGATATGACCGTAACCGATATCCTGGAAATAGTCAGCAATTATTGTAACAAATTCTGCTGATAATAACAGAGGTACACACCTCGTGATACGTTCCATCTTTAAGTGTGACCCGCATAACTACCGACAACCCCATGGTGATTCGACCACTGTTTTGGTTCTCATCAATCTAATTTGTAATCGTTAGCCCCAAGATTCCCTGGCTCAATACAGCATATGATGCCATACAAAGTCAATGTCAATCTTTTGGATTGAACTGGACCAGCCATTGAATCCAAAAACCTCATTGGCGAGGTTGATACACTTGTCGGCAGAAAGATAATGCACTTTCTGGCCTCCGGCACCTGGTCGATTGGAGATGTATTCGGGGCCCAGCTTCTTGTCCAGTCGCGCTTGAAGGGTCGCAATATCTTGTGCTGTGTACTCGCTTATGCGGCGCTGAGTTTCCTCGAAGGGGTTCGCGGTGGTGGATCGGGCGTTTGGCATCCCGACGGATGCGGGTCCATCGCGATGTTGGTCGCCAACACTGGGGTCAATCGATCAGAGGCCGAGTCCATTCGGAAGCGCAAGGAATGGGAATTTGGAATTCAAACTGGGAATTTGGGATTTGGGATTCTCACGCTGGCATATTGGTGTGTTGTGATGTTGATTTTGGGGGAAGTGGAGAGGGCGTGTTCAACGCGTGAGAGACGCGGGCCATCGCGATGTCACATGTTGATAAGCGCCTTATCAACAAGGCAGCCTTGGGATCCCCTGGGACTGTAATAGGAACTTGAATTCTAAATTTATGAGTTTAGTTTACGAGCTATTTATATTGGAAGTTGAATATGCGATGTTCATTTCTCATCCTTGAATAAGCAATATCTATTCCTTAGACCCGAGGCTGAATCATTGAACAATAAGGCTTGCGCTGGGCACAAGACCTAATTCCTTTAATGTCTCGCCAAAAAACTCGGAGTTCCAGGTCTTCCTAGGGAAGGTCTGAGTGAAGCTTTGAACTTCAACACCATCCTCTTGCTTGAGAGCCGCAGCAACCTCGAAAAGCGTTGTCGTAACAGGAAGTCTTTTCATGATGTTTCCTTGAGGAGTTTGGAAACGTAGACGAGTCTCGTTGTGTTCGGATGCAGGCTTGGAGGTGACTGGGCCAGAGGTTGGGGTAGGAACTGAGGCGGGCTGTTGAGGAAGAGCCTTGCCTTCTCGTTCGGCCTTTGCCAACTCGGCTTTGCGGCGTCTCTCCTCTTTATCCGCCTGGATCTGCGCCTGAACACGCTTCTTGGCATCGATCTCATCCTGCTTGTCCTTCTTCTTCTGGGCCGCTTCCTTCAACCTTTCCTTCTTCTCCAGGGCTTCTTTCGCGTCTTGGCTTTCTTTTGTGGCCTTCATTCGGATTTGCTGCGGAATTTGTCAGCGAAGCCATACATCTGAGTTCAGGAATGTCACTTACTTCGTTTCTCTTGTCATCGGCCTTGTCCTGCACCGATTGCACGGCTCGCTTGGCAGCAAGTCTCTCTCTCAGTTCCTCTAGCTTCTGCTTCTTCTGGTCCTCGGTCAAAGGAGCGATCTCCTCCGTGGACTCTGAGAAATCGACGTGTTGGGACTTGGATGCGTGGAACTCGGCCTGCGCTTGACTTCGGAACTTTTTGCCACAATCATTGCAGACTAGGCTGCGAGCTTCCTCGCCGGGCTTCAGAGCGGGCCCCTCTTCCTCCTCTGCCTCTTGCGCGGCCTTGATCTCATCCAGCGGTTTGTCTTGGTTTTCCTCGAGCCATTCCAATGCCCCTTGCACTAAGCGGTTTATTAACAAAGGCAACCAAGGTGGAAATTATCGGTAGAGAGGGACCCACGGTTTCCGGCTTTGGCAACGGCTAGTTGGGCTCGCTCCTGGTCGAAGCCCATCTCAATGAGCTGATCAAGGTCGGAGGCCATGTTTGGTGGGGTACGGCGGATCGACTGCGGGAACGAGAGTGTGGCAGGGAGCTAATCGATGGTAATTAAAAAAAAATTATCCTATCGATGAATAGGCGTCAGTCTGAGTGATAGTGCGGTAATCGACAAAGGGCGATGCAAATGTTGTGATGGTGTCGGTGAGTGGGAGCTTAAGAGTTACGGGTGACGTATCGTCGATTTGCGAAGGCGGCGTGCGATAAGTGCGGGTCCGCGGGAACCTGAGATACTTAAGGTACCTAAGGTACTATATTGTTTCAACAAATCTTTTTACTTCTTTGGAGTTCTTTCATTAATACGCAGAAAGTCCAACTTGAATTCAAGGATATAGTCTACAATGGCGCACTGGAAGATTGCAGACCCACAACCCTCACAGCCCTGGAGCATGATATGCTCCGAGTCGATATATAGTACTAGTAATACTGGAAGACGCCAACTGAGTCAATGGAATGCCACTGGCAGTTAGATGCAACTATCAAAGGGAACGATTGAGCGAAAACAGAAATGAAGCAATTGTGGGCAAGTGAAAATCTATCTCCTACTATTACTAGATGACAAACGTCTCCGGGCTACAAACAACAAAACAGAGAACCTTGAAACGAACTTAGCCGCAGTAGTACTAACTCTTCTGGGTTGAGTGACTTGAGTTTACATTGAGCAGCTCACCTATATAAGCACTAAATTATATAGGAAAGATCTCAAACCCAATCTGAAGCATATCTGGGGACCCGGTTAGAATGATACTATTAGTACTACTAGTAGTTTCCCGTCGGCAGCACATACTGCCAATGGCAGGCCGGAAGAGTAAGACAACAAGTTGGATTGGCTGGATATTTCCTGTTCCTGAATAGAATTTGAATGCAATTGTATAATACCTAGTATATCCACCACAAGGGTATATTTATCATCACTCAAGTATACTATACTACATATGTCACTTTGAGTTAAACCCCACTGTGGAGGTTCACATGCAGTGATAAGGGACTCACCACCGAGGCCTCCTCCGAAGAACTTCAGAATATTTACCGAAATAGTTCTCCCCCACCTCAACTCTAGTCTCTAGACTTCTCCATCAAATCTTCCCACCAGACCAGACCCAGTTACCACCTGGGCAAGTCGTGATAGCAAGACCGTGACATCACCTGATCCGCTGAGTCAGCCAACCAACCGCGCCTCAGGAGTTGATTATTGTCCACTTTCGGACTCCCTTGACTCGATAACCACACCTTTACTCGCCTCACACCTCTCTTTCGCAATCGTATCTCTGTCGCGGGATCCTAAGCCACCGCCGAATACACATACCCCTCGCCCTAGTCCTATTTCGCGCTTACGATTACCATGTCTGTCGAAATTGACCCCCCCCGAGCTGGGTTTCAAACGTAGGTGCCTCGACCTCGGCCACACGGTCCAGACCTCGAACGACCTCGAAAACTAATTCTCGGGGATGAACAGGCCCCTTCAACCAGGAAGTATGCCAGGTTCTGCGTTTGCGCAACGCCGGTCAGGAGTCGGTTGTCTTCAAGGTATGCCCACGTTTCCTTCCCCTCGGCATTTGTCAGGCACGAACACAGCTGATTCCATCTCTTTTCTGCCCACTAGGTCAAAACCACTGCCCCCAAGCAGTATGTATCCTTCCTATATCGACTGCGCGATCTCGATACTGTCTTCGATATCTAACTTTCTTTTAGCTACTGTGTGCGCCCTAACTCCGGCCGTATCGAGCCTGGCCGGGCCGTCGAGGTCCAAGGTTCGTTCCCCTCCCGATCACCGATATCTGCGAACCAAAACTGATGGGCTTGAATAGTCTTGTTGCAGGCTCTGAAGGATGAGCCCGCCACAGATGCGAAGTGCAAGGACAAGTTCCTGGTCCAGTCTGTGGCTGTTACGCCTGACATGGAACACGCCAATGTGACCTCAATTGTATGTTGTTTGAACAGCTTCGAGATATTCCCCTGATCCTGATGCTAACGCCCATTTTCACAGTTTGAAAAATCCCCCAAGTCCGCCGTGGTAGAGCGCAAGATTCGTGTGACCTGGCTCGCTGCGGATGCTACTCTGCCGGAATCAAAGGGTAACGACTCGGTATGTTTTGCTATGGGCCTACCGACATATCGCGCACCAAGCTTACCTTTATACAGGTCCTGGACGAAGAGCCTCCTGCTTACAACTCCCCTGGTGGAAACTTCGAAACCCCTGCTCCTGCCACCAAGAAGACCGAGCAACTGTCCCCGTTCCCGCTCCCGATTTCTCCGAGAAGCCCAAGTCCGAGTCTCCCCAGCCCTCCGAACCTGCCACTACATTTTCGAACGCCAAGGCTGCCGTGGCCAGCGTACTTCCTTCGAGCGATGAATTGAAGGCGCAGCTTGCAGATGCCAATGCGCAGATCCAACGGCTGAAGGACCGACTGGCGGACCAGGGTCTGCGACAACGCAAGACAGGTGGCGATGCCAAGGCAGCTCCAGCGGCCATGCAACAATCGCACCAACAAACCGAGTCCGGCGTACCGGTGCAGATGGTTGCTGGGCTTTGCCTAATCAGCTTCCTGATCGCCTACTTCTTCTTTTAACCGCGCTTGTGTGTGACCTATGATCTATTATGTCCTTGGTATCCGTGGTGTTCTATCATGCCTCTGATCACGTCTCGACGTTCCTCCCATCTAACCGCGCGTGTCTCTTGAAGAGCCTGCCGCTTTGTTTCCCAGCATCAGCCTTTTTCTTGTGTCTCTTTTACAACCTTCTTCCCCGGTATCCATATTTCCTTTTATTCCACCTCCGTGTTTGGCTCTCAGCTTGCAGATTTCGAGGCGCTTTGTCCCCGTTCTTTTCTCCTTTTTCTCTTCTCTTACCTCCTCACCCTTTTCCTTGTCTTGTCTAATATCATGTTACGATGAACGGACTCAGCGTCTTCGATTCTTTTGTGTGATAAACGATGATCGAGCCCTCGCGAGATAACCTATGTGCTTGCTTCCTGTCGGATAATAGATGACGTGCTCCTTGATGTTGCTGCAGGTGGTTGTTTCTCGGAGGGTCTTTGAAAGTTGAGCGTTGTGTTTTTATTGCCAAATCTATCCATATCCCAAAAGCAACTCGGACTCGCCTTTCTTCCCAGTAGAAGCCAGTGCAAGCGCACCCTTGGAAATAATGGAGTAATGCTACAATGACGAAAAAGTTGCTACTAGTAGGCCGAAAGAGAGAAATATTCTTTTTGTCCCAATTGGATCACATAGATGTTCAGTATCAAATAGTTACTGGCACCATACAATCGAAAGTAAAGTAGTCATAACACAAGGAGTAACCTCCCAAAACGCTGACAGCGGGGGAAAAAAAGAAAACACGAGAAAATCTATTCTAACACTGAATCTCACTCTCCTTCCACCCATCACCTTCCTCGCCGCCCGGACCCGCCGAAGCAGCAGAGATACCCTCCCCTCCACGCCCAGTAGGCGCATTCTTACCAGAATTTCCACCACCACCGCCAACAACACGTCCGCCCTGGGCACGCTTAACTCGACACCAAGGCCCAACATCACTATCCAGAATGAACGTCCAAATCACCCAAACCCAGCTCCGATGGCAAGGAAGCGGCTCGTAGAACTCCTTCGCAATATCATGCAACTTGTGCAGTCGGGTCCAGGGAATAGCAGGGAAATCGTGATGCTCATTATGCAGACCGACGTTGTAGGTGAAGAAATTCAGCGGGCCGTAGTAAGAGTACGTCTCTGGTGGAGCGAGACCGTCTAGAACGGAGGGGCCTTCTGTTTTGGCTGCCGGCTTGAACTTGAGTTCGAGTAGGGACTCTGTGCCGCCGGTCTTGACGTTCGAGAAGAAGTAGTGTTCGGCGATGAAGTGGCCCGCGCAAGGGTGGAGGGAACCGGCGAGGAAGGAGCTTGCGATGAAGTAGTAGAATGGTTGGAGGGAGTCGGTGAATTGGGTTAGGAAGTAGTCGAAGCTAAGCTGGACAGCGAGATTGAGGAGGTGAATGGAGGTAAAGGGCGGGCTGTAGATGAACATGGGTCGGACGGCGTAGAAGAGGATTTGGAAAGTGCAGAAGAATGTCTTGCCCAGGAGGGAGTCTAGGAAGAAGGCTTCCACTGCGGTGGGGAGGTCGGTGTCTAGACCTGCCACGCCGAGGGATTTGTGGTGGGTGAGGTGGTAAGGCTGTAATTGAGAGACGATGTTAGGTGAGGGGTTCAATTGCCTTTTGCTGGCCAATATACGTGGGGCGGAGTGGACACGGTTGGCTTCTTTGAGAGTGGGAGGAAACTCGGGAGACTCACCCTGAATGCAGCACTGTAGGGCAAACCGATGGGGAGGTTTGCGAAAATTGCTAGCAACCGATTTGCTAGCGGCGAGCGGAAGGCTAGATTGTGGGAGATCTCGTGGATTGCCAGGAAGAGGTTTTGGTTGGCGGTGGCTCCGATGAAGTATGCTGTGGCCAGGAACCGCCAGTCGAGGATGGAGGTGTTGCGAAGGAGGTATGCACAGGTGATTTGAGTGGCAACGACGCCGAAAACAACATATTTGGTGAGAGGTTCAGGACCGCAAAGCTTGGTGACCTAAACATAGCGGGAAGTAACCAGGGTTAGCCAACAATTCAGGAACATGGAAGGGGAGTGCCAGGAACAAGGCCCATGGCCCGTAGGAAGAGTCAATTCCTTCGTATATGGCACATGGGGTATATGATCGATTCAATGCACAACGCACCTCGGGGTGAGCCTTGATAATTGCTTGTCGTCGAGACCGGTGCGGCTCTTCGGTGTAAGTCCAGAAGAAGTGGTCGTCAACGGCGGAGGTTTCGGGGGAGAGATTCGAGTGGAAGGGGATTCTTTGGATTCTGAGGAAGCTGACTTGGCAGCCGACACCCTCAGGTGAGGGGAGGCTGTTTGAACGGTAGTCATGGCGATGTTTAGGGGTAGTTGAAGAAAGTCGGCCTAGACGGGAGAAAAGGCGGGCGTTCAAGTTTCCAGTTTCCACGTGGGGCGACACGGGCGACTTGCGTGGTCCGATGCCAGTGCGCTTGACGGGATCTACATGGGTTGGCAAGCTTGAATTAGTTATGATGGTACGAGTCCTCGCTAATTAGCAGAATATTTAGATGGAAGCTATGATTGTGTCTGTTGCTCTTAGATATCCCTCCCACGCTCTACTCCGCTACCATGTTAACAACGATCGGTGGTCACAATTAAGTGCTAGTACTACTATATCAACCACCCCCACATTTACATGCAATGTTTATTAATACAACCGAGCGAGTGGATTACTGGGATCGTCAGGGTCGATTGTGTTGCCTTCTGCGGCTAGTTCATGGTTCATGAATTTCTTTGCTTTGAAAAATTGCTGGTGTATATTGCTAATGGATTTTAGTAGTCGTCACCACGGCTAATGACTTCCTTCACATTGGGGCGGAGTAGGATAGTCTAGTTCAAGGTTAGTCAACAAATCGCACTGAATAGAAGTGAAGAGGGAAAGATCTCACATGTTCAAATTGAGCGGTGTATGAGCCCTTAACGTCACAAAGGGGTGGGTAGTCCTGGACAATTCCAGCCTGCACCAGGTTGTTCAACTATATAGAGTTAGTGTCTATAAATTACATTCCACCAATTTAGGCTAAACTTACCCCAAGGAGATACTTATCCTGACCAAGACGATCAAGATAGCGACGGCACCAAGGCAGAGTACCGAAGTTCTTGTTAATCACGCTCAACAGATTCTTAGCGGACGAGAGACGCAGAGGCACGTTGGGAGCGTCAGGAGTAAGCGCGTAGTGGGAGCACTCCATGTCCTCCCGGACATAACCCTTTCCGGTACTACCGAAAGTCTCAATGGCGAAGGTTTCACCCTCCTCCATCTTGGTCTGGTCGTTGCTGCTCTTGACAATGGGCACACTCTTGCCACCGTGAATGACGTGCTGCTCAATGTTGTGACCGTTGAGGTTGCGAATACACTTAACGGGGTGCATTTGACCGTTGAGCTCAACTTCGTAGCTCTCCATGGCCTCTTGAATGGCAGCACCAATATCGCTCATGCGGACATCAATTCCAGCTTCCTAAAAATAAGTTTTTGTTAGCTCGATTCCAATGATACTATTCTGCGGAGCACAAAACTTACCCGAATACCAGTGTTGGTAGCGTCCTTGACAGCTGCCAGAAGCGGGTCATAGACCGGATCAAATGTCATGGTAAAGGCACTGTCCACAATGCGACCGTTGAGCTGAGCACCGAAATCGACCTTCATCACATCTCCCTCGTTCAGAACCATCTTGTTACCGGCGTTGGGGGTGTAGTGAGCGGCGCAGTGGTTGATGCTGAGACCGCAAGGGAAACCCATGCCACCCTTGAGGTTGTCGCCTTCCTCCAGGCCTTGGTGGCCAGTCAAAGCACGCACGGAGTCTTCGATTCCTTCTGCGATCTCGGTGAGGGTCTGACCAGGTCGGATGTTCTTCTGCGCATATTGACGGACTTGACGGTGAATTTCGGCACCTTGACGGTATTCGTTCAGGAAGTCGTTGTTCATGCGGTCGAGATAGCGCTTCTCTTCGTCGGTGGTACGGTAGGCATTGTCGTTCAGGTACTCGCAAATCTCACCCTCGGGGTATTGGTTGTTGGGGAAAAGATTTGAGACGGGAACGCGAGGAGGCTCGCTCTGAACCTTGGCGCCACCCTTCTTCTTCTTCTTGGGCTTGCGCTTCTTCTTCTTTTTGGCGGCTGAAATGCAAGACTGTCAGTGGCCTGTTCTACTGTACTGTACTTCGGTGTTTCGAAATGCGGGGTAGGCCCAGTGCAGGATAACACAAGAAGAGAAAATGACGAAGGAAGAAACAACTCACCTCCAGATGCGCCAGCATCTGCGGCACCCTCGCCTTCCTCTTGGTCATCATCAGAATCGTCCTCCGCCTCGGCCGGGGTGGCCTGGCTAGCCGCGGGGGTCTCGGCCTTGGCACCATTTTGACCATTCACTAGGGTCTAGTCAGTTCAGGTCGCACGAAGAGAAGAAAGAGAAGAATAAAACCCACGGTCCAGGCCTTGGAGCTTGTCTGTCGCCTGAGCTGCCATGGTGGGGTATGGGAAGATCACAGGTGGAGTGGAAGGAAGAAGAGAGGAGAAATGGGATGGCAATGGCTCGGATGTCGGGGAAAGATTTTTGCTGATAAGATAACGTTGGTGGCGGCCCCCGGGGGAGGCCGATCTATACAACCGGGGCTTACCTAGGGTACCTTACCCTGACCGTAAGGTTATTTCCTTTTGTTCTCTATACAAACACAGGAGCCACACGTATGCTGAATTTGCATGGATCATATGAGCATCCTTTCATTCGATTCCGGTGAGAATCCCCGCCAACAATTTGCCAGACAACTGTGCTATTATGGTTATAGTATTTCCAAACATTGAATGGTTATGGTTGGCTTTCCCTAATGCTATAGGTTGTTAGAACCCTGAGCCTACTTGATTGGCCAATGTATATACCTCAAATTAGAATAACCAAATGAATTTCAACGCATCCCAATGGCAGGGTTTATGATCACATCGCTTTCGGGAAGCAGCCTGTTGAGGCCTGAGGGTTCAGGTTTACTGCCCAGTCATTCCGTAACCACACATGTGGTAGATAGATTAACTAGTCTCCTACACATATGCATCATCACCATCATCTCATTCCATCCCTTTGACACCGCCATACTACGTTACAGCTTACCGTTTGTCTACCAGTGAGCTCACCAAGGTCCAACTTACCCCTGACATTAACTTGTTGCTGCTCCACGGATCAATTTACATCAAAACAATGTCCTCCACCAACAAACCAGAGATTCTCCTTCTCTCCCTTTCATACATTGACTTCTTCGATGAGACTTACGCATCGCTCCTCAACCGCCTTCTCGAGGTATTCCACGTGAAGCGTGTAAAAAACGCCACTGCCGCTCTCCGTGAGCTTTCCAACAGCACCTTTAAAGTCATAATCATCACAGACGAGGGCCTTACTGAGCCTGCAAACCGAGAAGTCCTGGCGAAGGTCAAAACCTACATCGAAGGCGGTGGTCTTGCTATTGTTGGCCTGCACTTCCCCAACTTTATTACCTTGGATCGGATGGACGGATTCTTCAAGGAATTTGATCTCCCTTGGAAGAGAGGTGACTATCGCCGCACGATCTTTCAGTTTGTGCCATCTAGCATCTTTCCAACGAGTCTCAACCTTGCCTCAGTGCCCGAGCCATACAGCATGAAGGTTGTCCATATTGCGAATGCTAGAACCCAGGAGAAAATCTTTGTTCCTACTCCTGGTGCTTTGACACAGATTCGTGTTTTTCCCACCGGGCCATGTAGATGAATCACAAGCTGCGGTTACGGGAGCGAGGATCGGACGGGGTGATCTGGTGTATTGTGGGGATATCAATGGGGAGGCTGAGTCCACTGTGCTGATTATGGCCCTTTGCGGGTTCTAGCTCTGAATTTCACAGTTCCGAGCACTCTGGCCATTCATGGGCGGCCGCCCGCGGCCTCCTTGGAATCTCACATAGCTCGAATTCCTGTATCTCTCAGCGAAGCTCTCTCAAGAGAATATCAATAGAATCATCCCTGGGTAACAACCAGAGGAGATGAGGCATTCTGCCACTATTCAAAAAAGTCAAGTTCAATGCCTGGACGGGGTAATAATATCCATCTCGGCACTCCCATTGCCACTCCCAGACTGATGAAGAATAACAGCCAGAAGGCGTATGTCCGGTCTGCCATCCTTATTTTATCTCTCCCGGCGAGTAGAACAAAGATACTCCTAGGAGTCAGGCAAAAGAAGATTAATGAGAGAAATACATAAGCGGACGGAAAAGAGAACAATCCTACCCCCACAATTCACGGGAAGAACAACAGTACTTGCGCTCCGATAGATGCCCGGTAGATTCTGTGCCTGAAGTAATTATCTAAACTTAGGATGTCATATAGGCGGTGTTGCTGATGTCTTCTTGTCCGTGGATTATTTAGGTATTACTAGTAATATTATTTTGCTAGGCTATTTTATCTCTTTACCTATTTCGTGGATCATCCTTTTGGAGGAATATTTTGATAATAGTGTAGACCTTTGATATAAATAGTAGTATCTACTAGCTACTAGTTACGGGATTGTTACATATATTTTTATTTTGTAATCTACGATGTATTTCTTTGGGTTTACGGTTCTATGTACCATATTCTTGTTCTGATTTCATTCATTGGACCCCCATCCAGATATTTACTTTGTTAGTGTTTCATCGACAGTTACTGATAGTGAAAACTTTTAAGATAAAATTACCGTGAGGCTCACGACTATCGAACCTTCGTCAGGAAGTTTAATTTTAGGGCTCGCACTGTGATGCTTGCCGAAACTTTAGATTTGGGTGGAGGTTACTCTTGATCGCTTTCAATGATCTTCATGAGTGAAGCTTCGAGATTATGCTATCGCTAGTAGTAATCATGATATGCAAAATTTCCTGGGCCATCTGAGGAATCACTTTCCGAACCATCTTCAGGGAGATCTCAATATAAGGCATCGATATACTTTTCGTTGATTTGAGCCCGATCCGTGTTTTTCGTGGCCAAGTCCCACACAGTGTGGCCATCATTGTTCCGCGAGCTCAAATCAAGATCCGCTTTACGTACCTCCATGATGGTGTTTGAATCGGTCATTCCAATTTCAACGTCCACCGCTAAATGCAACGGAGTGTTGCCATTGTTATCCCTTGCGGTAACATCAGCCAGACCACCCAGTCTGAGGAGACGGACTCCAGCGGTATAACTGCTCATTGCCGCGATATTTAGAGTGGTATAACCGTTGTCGTCTTTTAAACTGGGATTGGAGCCAGCTTCAAGTAGCGCCTTGAAAACAAAGATAAATTATCACGGGGAGTAGGTGTACACTTCTAATGATACTCGTTTTGAGTTTTGACCCTGTAAGTGGTGTATAGTCTTAAGGTCTATTTATTCAGAAAGTAACAGCCTAATTTTCACTTTCTGGGATGAGTATTAAAGTGGGTGAATATCTACCTCAGAAGAGGGCTGAAATAAAGTCGAGCCGCACGAACGGTCTGAACTGTGGGCGCCAGGTGACCACCGATTAGAAAGGCTGTTAACCGTCGACATTCATAATCCTCTGATTCTTTGGCATAACCGCCATTTTCGCTGTGTTCTGCAGCTCTTTAGCTAGTCTACTTGAGCTACTTGGTGCCATGTCATCACCAAAATACCCTCCACGCTCCAAAGCGCCGGCGTCCCAGGTCGGGAACCCACCCAGCTCCGCCTTCAGGCTACTACCGTTGCTGTGGCCACCATTCTCTAAAATTTGTCACAGTAGCAAGTGCATCTATCTTTTGGTCTTAACCAATCGTTCATGAAGCTCACAGGTGTTCGGAGATGACGAGGCACACTCAGCGGCAAGTGCCACAGATACGGACCTAGGTAGATCAACAAGCGTTAACGGACACACTCCCAAAGGCGAATGCGGTCGCTACTGTATATTGTAAACCGTTTTCATTGAGGCAAGCACGGGCAGCCTCCGATCCGCTGAACCAACATGGTCAGCAATTGAAGGATGAGACGTCCCCATCCTGATGGTTCAGGTACTTGTTTGAAGAAATACAATTACTCCTCTTCATATACAACTTCCTTATGGCCAGTGACACTACTTAAACTCTCTGTTCTTATTGATGCCGACAACGCCCCGATTTTTCCATCATCAATCACTTCTCTGATGATGCGAAATTCGGCACAATTCACACAAAAAGAGCCTATGGAAACTAAATACATCAACAAGTGCTGATGGAACCAGGGCGACCTCAACCCCGGAGCCACATTATTTCACATTTTTCAAACCACAACCCCGAGCTCTCGGACCAATTGTTTCAATCACATGTCCCCTTCCATTAAAAGTATGCTAATGGTATGATAGAGCAGGGAAAACACCCAGGTTTGATTCTCATCAACTCAAATACGCATCTGGTGGGGTGCTGAGAAGATCAACGCGGCGTAGTTACCGCCAATTTGTTGCCAAATTCTCATGATATATATAACCAAAACATCAACAGATCACACAAGTACTAGTACGAAAATGGCGACCCCAGCACCCCTAAAGTTAGAGCCCCTGACACTTGAGGATACGCCTGCTCTCACTAAACTCTGGTTCGCTGCCTTCACAGACCTAGAACTCCGCCGCGTCTTCCCCGACACACCCGCCGTCCGCCAATAGCTAACAGATGCAAACCGACACGACATTACCCACAAGCCCTTCCAAAAATACATAAAAGTAATCGACCCTATATCAACAGATTAACGAGGCCGACCCCGTATCGCCGCCTACGCAAAATAGGATACCTCTATACCCGAAGAGCACAGGGGTCGCTATCCACCTTGGTATAAGAAAATATCCGCGTCTCTGTGCGATAAGTTTTTCTATAAGGAAGAAGAGAATAGAATACGTATTATAGATAAGAAGAAGTATTTTTATAAGTTTCCCCCGCCTACTACCTACAGCTTTAGGAGATAAAATTCCTAAATTTACCCCCTTACAGTAACGATATATTAGACCTAGATACTATTACAATATATCCGGATTATCAGCGTCGTAGTACTAGGTCTATATTCGTTAGATAGGGTTATAAGTTTACGGATTCTTAAGATATTTTAGCTTATATTGATACTAGTAAAGAGGGTACGCCGCTTTATACTAAGTTTAGGTTTATAGATTATAGTAAGTCTGGTAAAGAGAATACTTTAATAGCGTATATAGCAGGCAAACAACAATAAACCTAAAATTAGGAAATTTATTTTATAGAAATACTATTATTTATCTCGTAAGTAATTTAAACTATTCTTTAAGATAAAAATCTTCCTTCGGAGGTAGAACTCTGTACTAGTCTAATCCTAATTTATCTTTAGGATCTAGATCAGACATCTAATAATATCTATTATATTACTACTAAGTTCGATCCTCTTAGATATCCTTAACAGACTGTATATCTTTAGTTTTTATTTAATTATAAACTTTCTTAATACCCCTCTATACCCTTGAAATATTTTCCCTAGCAACCTTAGCCAACTGTTCTTTTGTCGTACTATAATTAAGATTAGAATAGAGTAATTACAGGTAGTATTTTACATCCTCTAATCCTAGTATTACAGATATAATTCTGTTAAAATTAGATCTAAGGTTAATATAATCTAAGCTAATCCTGGCCTATAATATAGAAGAGATAATCAAGGACTATATCTACTGTTGCTTAAGATCGTCTGGTTATTATATACTCAGGCACAATATTACTATAATAATACTGTTATTAAAGCACACTACCTTAATTACCTTATCTAGGACGTTATATATACAGTCAAAGACTAATTTAGTATTAGAATACAAGAATATTACTGACGTACGTATTAAAGATAAAACTTATTTTATACAGTCCTCAGAAATATGTAAGTAATCGATAATTATCCCTTCGGTTCTTATTAGCTTTATACTAGCAGAATATACGTTTCTCAGTATCGATAGAATTATTGCAAAAGGATAATATATACCTAATCTGTTTATCTTAATAACAGCTAAATACCTAAGCTTTAATAAGCCGCTATAGACCGGTCCTACCTTTAAGGTTAAGCTATTAACAAACGTATTATTATATATATAGATAAGAGTATACTAGCTCAGACTAGAATCAGCGACATATTTAACCTAATAAACTTATATTTGCTAGTACTTATATATCGTACGCCTAAACGATAAAATACTCGAATTATCCTAATACTATTACCCGCCATATACAATCTAAGAAGGAAGAATTAGATATAAAACCCTTTCAGTCTTAAAATTCAAAAATATACCCCTTAATCCTAATCAAATATATAATTTTGCCGGACGAATAAATACTTTTTACTTTATCCGACTCGCTAACAAGTTAAAAGACATACGGATACAACTCAACTAAGCAAAGCGTAAGATTAATCTGCTTAATCATATTCTGAGCTATATCCGAATACTCCGGCGTCGAGAAATTCTCAGCAGATCTTAGACACAGAACGCAAACTAACCAGAATTAGCCCCCAACAGCTCCTGTCCGTGATTTTGGTCAGTGCAATATAACTTAAAGTTATTATATAGTTAGGATTCTTGAGTCTCGGTAGTATCTTTATATAGGTATAATATATACGTCATGCCTCTTTCGAATCCATTCCCAAGGTTGAATTTGGGATTGTTGTGTATTTTCCCAAGGAAACATGCTCTTGGTTGTTGGTGTAGGTCATTATGGAGATTTGTCAACCAGCATTTCATTTCGCTTTGCAAAGCTGGATTTGAACAGTGAAGGTTTCTGTAGAGCCCAGGGTAGCAGCTATGCAGTAACCTAAATATGATAGTACTAGTACAACTTTGGAAACTCCGTATTTATGTTTTTGGCCGCGGTGCAAATTTTGGGTACCCGTATTACGGCCTCAGGCACCAAAACCGCCATGTCCTAATTTCGCGTCAAGATTTATCTTTTTATTTGCATTTTCCCAACAGTTTCACGATCATTGCGCTTCTTCACAATTACCAGAAGTCAACATGGCGCGAGCCCCAGCCAAAAGGCCCATTTTACCTCGACGAATCTTCAATCGCCTATCAGAACAGTCCAAGACAGTGTTAGAGTCGCGGTCACAGCCTACCGGACCAGCGAGCATAGCCACCGACACAACACGATCAGTCTCCGTCTTTTTAGAGCAGACAATACGAAACTATGAGTGTGAAATAGCCTATATAAAGGCTGCGCGCGACGGGCTCGTTGAAGCCCAGGACCTGAAAAGAATCACAGCCGATGAGTTTCGCACGGAAATCGTACCTTTTCTCCAGCAGGCACAAGAAACCCAGCAGAGATTATCTCTTGTAAAGCACCAGAAAGAGCTCATTGAAGAGGACCTCGAAGATGCTATTTCGATCAAACGACAAAAGCAGAGCGGCGGTCCCAGTCTAGAGCTTCTAGAAAATGCCTATACGCAGAGCATCCTCCCCCGCGTGATGGCGGCTTCAGCGAGACAAAGGAAGTCTCGATTTGATCAGAGCGGTTTCCGTAAGGCTGTTCAGACATTTTACGATGTTCCTTTGAACAAGGGCTATTGCCATGTGCTCGGGTGCTGGCTCCCCAAAGACTATATGAAAGCCGCGCATCTAGTGCCAAAGAGTCTGACATGCGGCGAGATCTCTTACCTTTACGGTTCCAAGTCGGACCCCACTACACGGGAGGATCCGCGGAATGGTAAGTCTATCTGAGCTACCTTGAGTTTTGTGATGCCATTGAGCGAAGCGCTAACTTCCCCAGCTGTTTGCTTGTACAGTACAATCGAACAAGGTCTTGACAATGGGACCATCGTAATACTTCCCATCTACCAGTCAGACTCCGAAATCGGATCACCCACGCGATGGAAATGCGTACTCGCCAACGAAGGCGCCAAAAATGACATGATCATCGGGATTGAGAAATTCACCGCTCTGATGAAGGAGGAGTTCCCCTCAAAGAAATTCTTAAGATGGGGAGTAAGCAAATACCGTATGCTACAAGAGATAAAGTCCTTGCTAATGTATTATAGGACATCGATGGCCGGGAACTGAAATTTGTCGGTCAAAATCGACCTGCACGAAGATATCTCTACTTCCGGTTCATAATTACATACCTATTCCACAAGAGGAATGGGGAGGCTCCATTTGCCAAAAAGGTTGACAACCTAGAGACCTTTTGGCCCACGCCAGGGCCATATCTTCGGAAATCGATGCTGGTTGTGCTCGCGAAGAACGTTTCTAACTGTAATATCCCGGACAGTATACTTGACACGACGACGTTCGAGGACGATGAAAGTTCTTCTCCCATCACAGATGGGTCCCCTAAGTGGGACCCTAGCCTCCCAAGACATCACTGATGTCTATGAGGCGATGTATGCCAGCATGAAAGCTGGCCGGGAGAGATCTACCGAATGTACTACCAATTCCCCTGATTCCGGCGAAGATGATGAAGCTGTATTCGAAGATTGCGTTGAATTGCTGTAATAAAACGTTCAAGTGGGGGTTAATCGCTTATTGTTATTTATTAATACTTGAAATATTTAATATCAAAATCTCAACGTCCTTTCTTTTTCGAAACTGAGCAAGCGCCTATTTATCCACTGGGCGTTAGCATGAGCTATTCTGTTTCGGTATCCAGATCCTATCTCTTACAAGTATCTGGCTACTTTTGTTGTCCCGGAATAAATCTCGAAGAGCATTTCACGCCGAGCTTCAGGAGAATAGCCGCCGTGCTGAAGCATTCGAGCGAGCGTTTTGGATGAGACGAACTTGGAAAACAAAAACTTTCAAGTAAGCACAACATATACAGAAAATTCCCCAGCCACAAGAACTCGTCAATTTCAAGAATGCTAATAATGTGGGCAGTATGTATACTAGGAGGATTTCAGAAGGTCAAAGAAGAGAGGCACTAACAGTCACGTATTTTTAACACAATTAAATCTCTATGGGCTTGAATGCAGTATGAATTAACATTCGTACTTTAAGTTTTTGTACCATAATGTGACACAGTTTTCATTCAATGAAAGCGGCCAGATTCAGAAAGGTCTCGATGGTGTGATCTGATTACAAAGTGTGCTTCAACGCAATCCCAACTCATGGGAACATTGCAATTTTTTAAAGCCGAGTAAATATTTCTTCCGAGCCAGATCCGTATCCGTCCACAGGGTTTAGAATCCACTCATTGGGCATATGACTATACACGATCTCGGAGATCAGGAAAAACAGAGCCAAAAAACAGATCTGAGGTCTTGCAGCCTATTGCTAGTGACCTCGGTGTTGTCTGATACGAGATAATTAAACATTTCATTGTCCATGAAAGTCGACGGTGGTAGGGCTGAATCGCAATCTATCTGTTCCGGCCCTACATTTATCAAGGGAAGCTGTATACTATTCGTTAGAAGTCTTGATGGGATTGAGCAAATACAATATTTGCTAAGGGACACACACCTATCTCTCTTGGGGTCTTTGAGTATCTGATTGATAATAGATAACTACACCAGCGTTGGCCATCAACAGCTTGAACTGCAGAAATTAGTGTTATTTGAAATCTGAAATGCACAAGGCAGTACGAACTTCAAAAAAATATTTCTTTTGTCAAATATTTGGCTATTTCAGCTTGTCAAAACCCTCCCAGGAACCGCTAACAATTCGAGTGTATGATTGATTCTAAAAGAGTATCCATCCTATGATCCTGTTGAGTATGATTCACTATAAAAATACCATGGCAATGTAAAAAAGGGCGGGGAAAGCGCTAGATTTAAAGATAGTGGTGATTTACCCTTTCTCAGATTGACATCATGTCATAAGACCAGGGCACAACAGGTAAGATTATATAACATAACAAATAAACAGACAAAATGCAGCATTTGAGGTGACAATCTGGATATACAAGGTATACGGTGGTTACGATCATAATTCGATGGCCAAGAGGTGACTTGAAAATGGATCTTGATCACAACTCTACGTCACTGTCTTCTGGCATAGGCAGTTTACACGCCTCCTCCATTTCTCTCTTCCATTTCTCAAGTGTACCGGGAGAAGGTGCATTCCAATACCCACTGTCGGGTGCAGGAGGGTAATGGACGATAAAGCCCTAAGATAACGGTCAGTTTACCTTGGGCGAATAGGATATTCAAAAGAGTTCGAAGCACATACTACTTCGGGTTGACCGGTTAGTTGCTCCAAGATTTATCCAAAAGGTCTTGCCATAGATTCATCCGCTCGAATCACCTCGTAATATTCAGTCTTATCCGTCATCCAATTTTCATGCTCACCCAGATATTCATTGTAGTGAAAGGGCGTGGACCCCATCTCCTCAGGCCAAGAGATCTCTGTCGGCTTTATCTTGTATTTGGCATCATCTTCATAGGCCTTGTAGCCAAAGATCATGATCGGCAAATGTTTCAGGTTATCGGAGTGTTGCTGGAATGATATAATTTCTCCTAGAATATATAAGTTAGTTATTGATATACGTTGCAATAGGATCCAAAGATGATAAAAGGGCCCTAGAAAACGAAAGAGAACATACGATACCACAAGATTGTGTTATTGATACTCTCCTGGTTAGCGAGATCTACCATAATGATAGCGGCATCGCTATCTTCGATCCATTTTGCCCTATCCTGGGGTGTACTATACGATCCAGAGATATCCCAGATATCAAAGGTACAACCACCAATCGTCGAAGAATGACTATTAGGGAGGGTTTCATAGTGTCACATGATACTATGTATAGCAGTTAAACGGAACCTACAGAACTAAACGCACGCAGGCGACTTTGGTAATTCATTGTTGGAATATAATCATCTGTATCCTCGCCATCTATCCCCATGTTTACCCAGTTCGTCTGCAGGATATGGTCAGTGATGTCGTTGATGATCGGGGAAATGGTTTTTCTTTACCTTGCCAACACGCGCATCACCGACCAGTGTCACTTTGATGTTTCTCTCGAGGATCTCCATGATTGCAAGGGCGCAGTGTTTAGGAAGTATGGGTTGACTGATTGCGCGGCCGTGTTTGAGTGATGGTCGGGTGTAGAACAAAAGGTCACGAAAGGGAAAAACGGGCGAGCGGGTTTTTCAAACATCCCGACGGTCGTGATTGACGTAACTAGCGCTAGTCGGTGTGAGTGGGACACAAGTGGGTAGGGCAGTGGGGAAGGCTAAATGGGGGCGAACAAGGCATACTCTACTCTACTATTCTTGTATGTGCCTCTCTACTCGAAGGTATTTTATTTTGTTTTGATGTAATGGAAGGGCGGCACCCACCACACTACTTGCTGTGTTTTAGCCACACGCCGGCAGGTTAGTAGTATGGTGGGTGACCACATGCGAATCCCTGCTGTTGTATGTTTTTTTCTTATTCATACAAAAGTCCTTGTTGATCCTAGATCAGCGAAAACCTGGATTGTATTACTAACAGCAGTCACTTCCAAGTCGCGCTCCTTGCTCGCCCGATCTGAGCTACTAAATGGAAAGTATATTTCTTTAGTAAAATAATGTTGCATTGAACGACTCGGGTTATCTTGAAGTGAATTAATTTGATTACTCATAGTCGATCACTTTGCAGTCCCGAATATCCATACAGCTGAAGTCCCTGTATCTCCAAGAGAAATCTCGAGAAAATAAATAGGACCATTTTCATGTAACATATCAGAGGGCGTGATGCTTTTGACCACGACTAAAAAGGGCCAGGTTGATTGATTGAATAGCATTACTATCGAACTGCGAGACGAGCAGCGTGTTACCATCTGGGCTGAGAGAAAATGAGCGCGGAAATAAACCAGTGTGTACACGGGCGAATTTTTGCTTCCCGGACAAAGCTGAATCAATATCAACAACTGTCAGACCCGTTGTAGCATTTCTGAAATTATTCCGGTTTGAATCAGCTGTGATTATCTGCCGGCCACCGTTGACAAAGACGAGTCCAATAGGTGAAGTTCCGACTTGAACGGTAGCTATCTGTGCATCATAATGCTGCATGGTCGTGAGCTTGGTGGCATCAAAGACAACAAGATGATTGCTCGCTCGGGCTGTCACCCATACCGAGGATCCATCTGGTGACACTGCGACGCGGACAGGCTCACAACCGGCATCGACACTGACCTTTAGGGCCTTAGACGGGGTGAACTTTAATCTTTCAACATCCAGGACGCTCAGAATCCCGCGGTCCTTGTGGTGCATTAGAGACGCTAGTGTGGCTTCGCTGGTGACGTAGATATTTTTCCCATCAGCGGAGAGAGCCATCCCGTTCACAGCATATTGGAGCTCCGTAAAGCCAATGTAAATGCCGGAAATAGTCCCATTTCTCTCTCTATTCACCTCGAACACTTGAACTCCACCACGTCCTCGCGTAGCATTACTCCCATATTCTTGACTAATAAAAGCATAGCTCTCATCAATGGACAGGACAATCTGCGTCGCACTAGAGAACATAGGAGTGATGAGCTCGCCAATTATTGCATCTTCGTGCCCGCATAACGCTTTCTCGACATCGAGCACAATTGCCCCGGGCCCAAGTGACACCCACACCTCTTTCCGATTCTTGGACATAGTGAGCTCAGCCGCACCATTGTCATCGGTGGAGCCATCACTATGAATGCTATATTTTGGTAGCTTGATTGTGCGAATAAGATGTGAAGTGCATGTAGACGTATTCAGCACACCAACGAATGCTCCCAGTGAGATAAAGGCAACGCCGTCGCTCACGTAGGCGAGTCCCCAGGGTGACGTTGGGACGGATACATTGGCGGAAGGGAGATGCAAAACAGTCTGATTCGGAGCCGCTTGTTGACAAGTTGCAGGTGGTATTTGCGCTGCAACGAGTATCTGCAATGCAGCAAATAGGGAAAAAAAAAATACAGATCGTTGCATGATTAGATAGAAGAAAATGAGGATAGTGAGTGAGATCTGGAAATGTGAATGAAGAGAGACTCAGCTTTAAATGTAGGACTTTTAATTTAAACTTTGATCAGCTTCTCGGTACGAGCTGATCGACGACACTGGGCTGAAGGAATAAATTTTACACAACAATGCGCCGGAGCATGTCTCCTCAAAATTATCAATTTCCCACCATGATTACGGGTTTAGGACTAATCTAGCTTTCTGGGTTTTGCGAGAGCTAATTAGAAGAGTAAGATGCCCCACGCCCCGGTCAACATGAATAAGTGTCAAAAAGGTCCAAACTGATAGCAAGTACGGAGTGGTATTGAAGCAAAATTAGACGCAGGCTCCGAAACCTAAAATATACGCTAGGCCTAAAGTATGCGATTTTGCGAAAAGAGATCATTTTGGGGGCCAGAAATTCATCAGGATAGCGGTCGCCGTCGCTGATTTGGCGGTCACGGTATTTCAGCTTCAGTTAATTACAAGGTATCTTCATAAACCGCCACCTTTTGCTTATGATGATCGACGGTCTTGGGAGCCAAATAAATGCGAGTATGCGAATACGCAGTCAATGCTTACACAGCCTCCTGGCATTATTGGACGCCATTGTCAGTATTTAGAAAAGCAAGCTTATTTTCAAGCCCTTCGCGTCCTGGTATATCGGCCTGTAAACCTAAGAAAGCATTGCGGATCAGGTATTGCGCGCAAATAGTGGGCGCCTTGTGCCGGAGTAGGAAACGGGGCTTGATATGACCCGATAATATAGCATATTCGGAGTATGTGTAAATTTAGACACGCGAAAAGAATACGAAGTGAAGCGTTTTAAAGCTTTGCAATCCACTGGCAGCACAAAGAAGTATAAATACCTTGGTAGATCTCCGGATAAGGCCTCAACTCACAACCTTTTTATACTGTCTACTAGTAACAAACATCGAATCTATTTAGTCCGCATCAACCATCATGCCTGCCCTTAAGCTTTCAATTTGGCTCCTGGCTACAAGCACCCTGGCGTATGGAATTGAGGTATGTGATCCGCTCACCAGAACTAAGAATGAAATTCATTGATTCAATAGCAACGTGATTCCTGTTCTTCCGGGTCACACATGATTACGCAAGTCACACTTGGCAAAACCTATGAAGTCTGCTGTCCAGGCACGGCCCAAAGCATTGGTGATATTCAATACTGCTGCGTAGGGGGCAATGAGAAGCAAGAAAAAAGAGACGTCTGCTTTCCTTGGTGCTTTTCCACGGGGACAGCTCGACTTCGACAGATTCGTGTGTCACTAAAGTCCCAGTCACCGCTGCCGACTTCTCAGAACGTGTGTCTAGCACAACAGCGACCGTGACCACCGCACCGACTACAACAGCGACTACAACCGCATCCAGCGCTACTTCAACAGATTCAAAGCCCTCCAGTAACGGTGGTTCGGCGCAAATGACGACTATGGCTTTGGCTGTAGCAGGATTTAGTCCGGTAATGGGGATTATTGGTCTGCTTCTCTAGCGCGGTGGTTTATCAGAAAGTGTTTGACGCGATGGTTGATTTTCTCAGAGCATGTATCTACCCATTATCCATTTTAAATGAGCTGTTTATCAGAAATAGCCTTGGAAGTAGCTAGCGTGTATGCCAAAAATCGGCCTTTATATTTAATGAAACAACATCAACCGGGGTCAATTACAAGCAGCCCTTATGCTCGTTCTAGCACTCGGTCTTCTTTTTGGCCAGTGAAACTTATTGGTATAGCACTAGCTTTTCTAGTTCATGCCCGGACACGGATCGGTTGGGGGACTTTTTCCATAAGTTCTATTTCTATGGCTCCTTTCCTTGAGGTTCTTATTATTTATCTCAGAAACGAAGGCCTGGGAGAAGATGGTTTTATGACCTTATGGTGCTGGTGGAATGTGCATCTAAGTTTCACCAGCGTAAACTCCCATCCAGTAGTTAATAAGCCTACTGCGTCCCTGCTTGCGATAATTCAAGATCACTAGATTGGTGGCCAGAAGCCTGTACGTATTACAATGGCCATAAGAACATACCCAATTTCGTTTGCACAAACAAAACCACGTTGATTACCGTGGTCCATTTTACTGGTCTTTGATGCCTTGGATTTAACATATTCCAGCAGTTTTCTGGGTTGTTTCGGAAGCCAAGGTATTCTATTATTGGCCCTCTCCTCTATGATTGGTAGTCGGAAGCTGGTAAATAGCGCTCGGGACTACTATGGCCGAGATAGCATATTCGTATAATATCAGTCAAACGGCTTAATTCAAAAGTTGGTCGAAATCTAGCGTGGTATAGAGAATAATGCATTAAAACTATTCGGGTACAAGGATAGTGCAAAATGAGCGTGTGTCAGTCAATATCATACGGTAGAATACATTTTGACAAAAATCAAACAAAAATCTGCCCCAAACACAGATGGCCCCTTATCCGATAAGTCATCTAACAGGCTACCAGCAAGCAAGTGAAACATTACAGTTAACAAAGTCGAATTCACTGCGGCTCTAACCTGACAAAGATGGCATATACCATAGATTGAACTTGGAAGGCCTCGAAAGGTATCTTGAAAATTTACTTGTCAGCCTATCTACTTCATATGATTCCATGAATAAAGCATAGAAGGATTTGGGTATGGACTCACTTCAATTCTTCGCGGTAGGATAGAAATTGCAATCCTTCTGGCAATCTCCCGAGGAGGCGAAGCCTCCCATGATACAGTCTCCGTAACACTCTCCCGGTGAGATATCACGCTTGGTTGGATAAAAGTTGCAATCCTTCTGGCAATCTGCCGAGGAGCCAAAGCCTCCCATGATGCAGTCGCCGTAGCATTCTCCTGGCGAGACGTCGCGCTTAGCTGGGGAAGCAAAGCCAATGCTTACGCAAAAGGTCAGTAATGCTGCTGCGGTGAAATGCATTGTGTTGGATTTGTATAAGAAGAGGCTTTATAAGATGCGAGGAAAGATAAAATGATGATGATTGTGTTGGTGATATGAAGCCAACAACGGCCTCTTTATACTCCAATAAATCTAAGAATTTCCATAGTCGCAATGATCGGCTCTAGCATCAGCTGGGACGATGTGGAGATAATACTCCTAATCCAGGATCTACTTCAAAGGGGCCTAAAGCAGGATGACGAGAACACACTGCTAACATAAATAGAAGCATTACTGCGCAAGTTACTTTCTGCGCTAGTCTCGTTTCTCATCAGAGGCTCCTTATTTTACCGCCTTGTCGCAAATGGGTTTCTTTTAGGTTTAGTACCGGGTTCGGAGACACCTCTGGGCAGTGCACGATACATTCCGCTCTCCAATACTCCGTAGACTTTTCCCCTTTTCTTCAAGTTTCTTTTACATTTTCAAAAAAAAAAAGATTTACCTAGCTCATATTCTAGATTTTGATCAACGTCGTTTTAACGCGTGAGGTACCATATACCTGATTCAGCCCTCGCAAAACTGCCAAAAAGGGACTTTTTTAGTTTCCAGTGCCATTTTGTTCAGCCCTTGCAGCCTCAAGCATCCAGCGCGCCGCGCCCGTCCTTGGTCAGATAGTAACCAGCATGATCCTTCTTCCACATACATCCAACCACGCACATTTTCCTCTGATTTGATTCCCACGATTACTAGACATCGCTGGTCGTCAATATTTCATCAATACACGTGTGGTATTTTGTTAAGAACAAGGAGATTCTTACACTCTTCCTGCATGAGTTCAAGGCCTGTTTTGTCCTCCGCTGGGCCGCCTCGTGATTCGGAGAGCAGGACGAGCAACGATCGTCACCGGAGGAGGCTAGACATCCTTACCCCAGGGGTAGTAAGCCCTAAAGGTATGTTCAGGTAGAAACTTGGTAAAACCTAAGAGTCTAAAGCCCCAATACCCACGCTGGCAAATCGGGGTCCCTTGAGGTGTGTTAGCGATTATGTGATGAACCTTGTAAATAAACGCCAATGTTATTACACACCTAAATAGTTAACTCTTACTCTCGCCGATTTAACCATCAAAATTATTGTGTCTACATGGAAATAGTAGGGATTCTAGAAGAGCCAATAGCTTAGTCTCTAAAATTGTAATCTCAAATTGGCACGAAGTCTGCAATCTTTGTCTAAACGGTGATTTATGACAGTCCTGTTTTGGCTGCAAGAAATTGGAAGCCCCGAAGAACATAGTTCCTATAAGCCTCATCCTCTGGGTCCGTCAAGAACATATCAAACATGTGGTTGGCCCCTTCAACGAGAATAATATGACTCTCGGCCCCGAGACGCGATAATTCTTGCTGAGCACGTTCACTGATCCTGGATGGGGTCACCGTGTCCTCCGTGCCATGGATGAACATAGTTGGAGGAAATTTCGAAGAAAAGGCATTTGATCCGTCTATGAGTTTGTGATCCGCTCCATCCGCAACAAGTGAAAGATGCTTTCCAGACTTGAAAGCATTTGAGAGCCAGGCATCACGAGGTGAGGCCTTTTCTGTCCCTGCGGCCGACACTGCGGCCGAGATCTGTGGTCCTTCGAAAATCTTTTCAGCGAAAGATACTGGATAATCTGGAGCAGAAGCAAAACAGGGACTTGGGGACTGCCATATGGAATCGTCAAAATATTTGCCGCCATAAAAGTCAAGGACTGCCCGCACAGGAATGGAAGAATTTGCCTAAATAATTGCTCTGTCAGCTTGTTCTCAGAGCGAAGGCATATCAGTAGAGAAAGGCAGCCTCACAACCAATAGAGCGAGGGAACCTCCAGAAGAATGGCCCATTAGAGCAATTCTTCCAGCATCCACCTCAACATGATTAGGCTCTTTGCGCAGAATTGCAGGCATCAAAGAAGCCGTCCATTCAAGACTGTCTAACGAGTCTTTAACGGGCCCATCATACAAAGATATTTGGGGGCAGAGTCTATAGTTTGGAACGACTGCAACAAATCCCATATGACACAGGGATTCAATCTGCATTCGAGGAATGATGTCCTTTGACCCCTGAACGAAACCTCCCCCATGGAAGATGATCACTTCGTATTGTGAGAATTGAAAGCCTTGCAGTTTTTAGATGCACGTACCTATTGGATGGCTGGCGAGGGACGCACTTTCAGCAGAGTCCGACAGCCAGTGTACGTCAAGTAACAAATCCCCCGTCTCTCCATTAGGCGCCCTCCACTGCTTGTATGAGAATTCTCGAGACTCCATAGATTCAAAATGGTCCTAGATCAATCGAAAACGGCGGACAGATTGAAAAGAGCTTTCAAAAATTTGAACCAAAAATATTTTCAAGGCTAAGAGGGAAGCCTCCCGTGTCACAGCCTTGGAGTTTATGTTGTTAGTCAAAGTGTCTTGCTCACCGGTATTTTCCGTCTGGCATGGCCCCCACATCTCGCATTTCCGACCGAATATGGAATAGCCCTGCCCGAGGCTGACTACATCTTGGATCCCACTTCGGAACCCCAAAGCTTCATGTATTCTTCTCGCATTGTCGTCTACTTTAGGCCGACCATATACTAGTACTATAGAAAAGATTCAAAACTATATTCCTGCTGCAGCTATAAAGTATGCGAAATATCCCATCATTTGGTGTGAAGGAATTCAATAAACTTATTCGCTATCTTCTAAAGCCTGTACTCAACGGTAATTCAAAATGCTATTTCTTGGAAGTATATTGGTGGCGTCTCTGTTTTCTACCTGCGCTTTTGGTAGAAGCGGGGACAATTGTTCGCCTGCAACCAAGACGTTCAAGCAGAAAGTCGATCACATTGGAGATTCGAGAGAGGTTTTTCAGCAGCAGTACCAAGTTATTGACGAATACTTCCATCCTGGAGGACCAATCATTTTTTACCAAGGTGGCGAGGCGACCGACATGATCTGCTTGGTAAGTCATAGTCAGTCATGGAACTCTAGGAGGAAGAGAGAAAAGGAGTTGCTGCAAACTTCGGGGTGTTTTGGGGGAGCGGATGGAATAAATGATTTAGAACTAACCTCACATGTTAGCATGACCTGATTTTACCAACATGGGCCAAAGATCTCGGGGCATTGGCAATAACCCTTGAGCATCGCTTCTTTGGAGATAGCAAACCGAACAACCACGCAAATCTGACTAAACGCTACGAGACATTGAACTTGGAAAATGTGATGCAAGACTCTGCGCACTTCATCAAGTGGATCAAGAGTACCGTCAATGGTGCAGAAAACAGCACTGTTATCGCAACTGGGGGTAAGTGACCTAAGACTGAGAGCTGATTTGTTGAATTGCCTTCTTATTGTTTATCGGCACAGGCTCCTACGCAGGATATCTGAGCACCATGCTTCGACAGAACCACCCTGAAACATTCCATGGAGCAATTGGCTGGTCCGCTCCATTGAGAGGATTTGGATATTCGAAATCCAATTCCCATTTGTATGATTGGTACCGAGCGGTTCGTATTTAAAACTCCGGATATATGCCATCGTTATAATAACAGTCTACAGGTCTCTAATATCTATCGCGAACACTCTGCCGAAGCAGCGCAGAAAATAAAACATGCTATCATATCATTGCAGGATAGTATCAAGAAAATGAAAAGCAGTAAGTCCGGTCATTATATTAAATACAAGTTTTGGAGTCTAATAAATACCATAGGCAACGATATTGAGGCCTTGGCATCAAGGTATAACTTGTGTTCAACCCCTCAGAATGCCTCAGACCTGTCTGCTTTTCTTGAAACTGTCGAAGATTCTTTCTCTCAGAATACACAATTAAGCTGGGGAGCTAATGCCCCTATTCTGCCGGGGAGGAAAGGATTTCCTTTGCAGCGGCTGATCAACACCACCCTGAGTGCGTCATCTTACCAGGAGATAGTCAACGCCAGTTTAAGTCTCCTCTTTGAGGGCAATCGTTGTGTGGATTGGACAGACACTAACGGAACCTACGTGAACAACGAATTGTTACCCTACCAGTATATCCTTTGCACCTACGTCCCTATTGTCAACCCCGGGATCCCAAATGGGACTATCTTCCCAGCCCATGAAACTCCGATTGACGAGCTCATTGCAAGCTGCCAGCAAACGTATGGGATAAGTCCTGAAGATGGGAAGCTTTTGGAAGAGAAACATCACTACTCGGCTGCGGACCTAAACAATGCGACTCGTTTGTTCTTGACATATGGTGGAATCGACCCTGTGATGAGCTATGGCGCCGTGGAATTATTGGGCCGGGTTGCAAATATACCGAATGGCGCAGGGGTTGCTATTTTGAGTCAAGCTGGCCATGCGGAAGATATGAGTGCTCCATATCCGGGGCAAAGGAAAGCGTTCGAGATATGCAGAATCAGGAGCTAGAGATTATTAAAGGATGGATTGGGGATTTGAGTCAATAGTCTAGAAATCTGCTGATGATGCGAGAAAAGATCAAGATAATGGAAAAGGAATTGTCGAAATCTCTTTCAACCGGTCCAATACCGCGTAGTAAAACATATATGAAACGGCATAAGAATTTCAATCAAATGATAGCCATTAAGTGCCATTCATCTTGGGTAAAGCTGACTTAGACTCTGACTAGCTTTCGCTTGCGTGTGGGGAAAGGGGAAGGGGCTCGTATTCTCAGCCGCGCCTCAGCCCACTCTCGCAATTTGGCATGCTTTAGGTTTAGTGTGTGGATGCTTAGCCACGCTTAAGATTCAAGGCGCAGACAATCATCCCCACTCCTAATCTTGGAACCAATATAGTTACCAGTAATTGAAGGTTTCTTTTGAAGCAAATAGTATAAAAGCACCAGCAGCCAGAGAAGTAAATATAGTATTGCCAATAGCCCATACGCTCAACTAAACCCCCACAAGTCCGAACTCATCTTACATTTGGCAAAATGTGTCTTTTCCTCTTACCTCTCCTTTGCAAAAAGCGCAAGAACGCACAGGACAATGGCCCCTCGCCACGGTCCGTACCAGTCTCACAACCGGAGGGTGGTGTGGGAATAGGGCGGAAAGGCAGAAGATATCGGGAAGATTTGGAAAAATATGGGCCTGAAGTTGCGGAACAAAATCGAAAGAGAAGAGTCGGTATCGTGGTAGCTGCGTGAGTTTTTTTCTTTTTCTTTTTCTAAAGAGAGTAGGATAGAAACTGACCAAAACCCCGTTTTCAGGGCTTGTTAAAACAATATTTCATCAAAGCTTCTGATGCAATTTCCCGTGTGATGAATGTGGGGGTCTGGGAAGCTGTTCTACAGTTTCAGCGATCGACATGGTTTGAAATTATCGGCAAGGCAATCAATTCCTGAAAATAATGTTATCGCTCATTCTCATGCTACTATATTATGTCTCTCTTATAGGGTACGAAGTGAGTTATGTTTGGATATATGATAATACATCAGTTACAAGCAACCCGTTATAAATAGATCCTGTTTTCGGGTGGTTGTAAACTGAATTGCTCCATGATTAGTACAATTATTCTAGGCCCTTCTCCGTGTTCCTCTCTTCAACTTAGTAAGTGCAACTTGCTGCAGCATCCATTCCATATTCAATCTTCCACTGTAATACACCGCAGAAAGCAAATTCTACAAGAAAACTATCCGCGCAGTTTAGAAAATAGACGTGGCCCTAGTCAATTTTCAATAGACTGACAAGAGAAGTTGATACCTTACTTCGTTTGAATATCTGCCTTCGTAAATCTGACTTTCTCGGGGTCTTCAGAAATGAACATGCAACTTGAGTGTACTACTAATAGTCACCTTCGAGGCATCGAAGAGATGCCTTAGGTTCAGGAAATTTACGTATGCCGGTCATGGTGATGAGTATATACTAGTACACAAATAAAAGTCCAGTCAATTTGAATTTTACTAGTAGCAGCGATAGGTATCTACCTTTCCGTTAATTAGCCTGGTACATACGACCATAGGGTGTGGAGAACAGGGCTTCCCGTCCGCTCAGCCGTACTTAAGCCACACGCCGGCAGGTTAGTAGTATGGTGGGTGACCACATGCGAATCCCTGCTGTTGTATGTTTTTTTTTTTCAAGTTGTTTGTTTATTGTCTTTTATATCTAGGGAAGTATCATCGACGGAAACAGATTGGCATTTATGCTTCTTGGGCTGTATACAATCCGATGCTGAAACCTATATAGTCCATAGATATTTATATTGCCATGTTCAATAACCTAGCCACTGTATTTGACTAAATGCCAAGTCGAAATATAGGGTGTTGTGGAATACCGCGTTGATTTTGACACAGTTCAGACTGCCATATACCGAAACCTCAGGCGTGCGGCATGAACTGCCACCTGGCACTAACCCAACTTCTATACTTATTTGAAAAATACTTGATTGCCCTCGCCGTTTATCGAGAGACGTTGGAGTCATGTATGGCAACGATCATATTCCATCCACCCCAGCGAAGAAAACCCTCCGCCATGGCTGCATCGAATCCCGCCAGGGGACTAGCAAATAAATAGAATGTGAGTCAGGAATACCCCTGCTGTATACAGCCCTGCTTCAAGTTCTGTTGGATCGCAGGCTTTCCCTTGCGATCCCGAAAAAAAGGTCGGAAAATGTGAGACAAAAGACTTATGACAATGTAGCAAAAAGATATCTCAGGTATTTTTCTGTAGGAATAGCCGAACGGGGGGGTCGAACCCCCAACCTTGAGATTAAGAGTCTCACGCTCTACCGATTGAGCTAGCCCGGCAGGGCTTGGAGATGGCGGGCGATCTTTGGCTACGCGAGGTAAAGGAGCCGGGGTAATACGAATATCGTAGAGCCTCATCCTCCCGAATGGTATTACGAACATGACCCACTTCGATCAGCTCGCTTTCCACCACGGAAAATGCCTGTGTATAAGACTTAATATTCTAGCAATGTCCCATCTCCCGAAATACCTTGAATATTTATAAGCTAACCCGAGAATAATGACGGATCAACCTGATTCCCAGCTCGAAGTCCCAATTAACAGCCAGGGACGGCTTGTTCCCGATCTCAAGTCACATCAGCCGACCTATATTGAACCTTGGAAGGTTCTTTGCTCTTTGTTCGACTCCGCTGGCGCGGCCCGCTCCGACCGTTTCCAGGAACCCGGTCACTGGTGGGCCGGCCGCGGGCAAATAACCGGCATGAGCAGCTGGAGGTGGGCCTTTTCTTCCCCCTTTTCAATCTTGAAATTTACAGGTCTTGTCCCTCCCGATAGCCCTAATGACGAGACCGAATAGCCTTACGTGCTGGGCCGCTCGTCATGTTTGAGGCCTCTGGGTGGCACGTTGTGATCAACAGTCGTTGCTACTGCCGGTTTCTATCCACACAAGTGAGCATAATGAAGTATGACCTTGGATGAAAGAATTTGAGAGGCAACTGGTTATGTTCGGGTGCGAAGTAATTTGAGATGGAATCGAAACCCAATTCGGCGCGCTAATAAGGATCAACGAAACAAGGTGAAGGGTGAGATCACCCGAGTCAGCCTTGCCCTAACTAATCTCCCCCCGGAACAAGGAGGGGCGATGGGGGTCGATCAATGATTTTCGAGGCGCTAACGCTGTGTGGATGACATTGCCAAGTCGAGTCGGAAAATCGTGCGGGCTGCTGGACATGGAAGCGAGAGCAGACCCTGCTGGATGGATGGCCTATGATCACTTCGGAAAGTACGGTGGGATTTATTCTATCGTTGTTATTGGGTCTAGACCAAGCGTTATTTGGCTACTTCATAGTGCGATGCGAACTCCAGGTGCTCGGATTGAGTTGTCCAACAGGAAGTACACGCGGAAGCTGGATTTCAATTCCAACTGGCTCAACCCCTGGCTCACTCACCACGGGCTTGCCGGGGTGCCGGGGATGGCGTCCCGCGAGCCCTTTGTCTTTTACCGTCTATCGATTTTGGTCGATTGACTAAAATTCAGTGACAATTCCGATCGGATGGATACCCTCGAGTGCTTTAAGTCTGAGGGTGTCAGAAAGATTAGGAGTTCAACAAGTTCGTCGGACATGGTAATCCACTGCCCAGGTGTTCCAGAATCAACATGAATAAAAATGCATAACATAGAGACAATAGTACCAGTTCTTTTGCCATCCCCAAAGTACGCCATGTTTCGAGATAAAAGCCCAGAACAGAATGGAATTCTATATTTATGGCTTTCTTTCGAGAAATTTTGCGTTCCAGGTTACTAAATAAATTTCAAATCACGCACACCTGGGCATGAAGACGAATTAACTTAGTCATAATCTTTGAACGCACAGAATATGATGGATTCTAAAATTTGATTATATTGTAGTGGTCATGGTATAGAATTTGAATTAAGAGGCTAATTATTAAACTCAGATAAACAAGTATAGCTTTCGAGAGCTGCGCCATGCGGGAGAATCATTCCTGTGCCCAAGAGATGCGGAGTCAGGGTGGTAGACGTGTTCCGGAATTACCTGGACACTTGTCTCTCCGTCGAGTACGCACAAGCCACCCTGGCGCCGCAGAGAGAGGATCAGAGCTAGTAGGCTTGGTTGTTACGTACTAGACTGTGCGTTGCAAACAAGTCCATCTAACCAATCACCTCGCTTGTTCACCCGCCGAAAAGGGAGCTGGGAAAGCTGGCCAGATATTCTACTATCTGATATAAAAAGGGTTCATTATTCTTTCCCCGACTTCTTTCTCACCAGACTTTGAGCTGGAAACTGTCTACCTGACCAGCAAAGTGCTTTCTACAGACACGATGGACTCTCTTTTCCACTGGTATGCTGCGCATGCTCTCGAAATATACACCACTGCGGTCTGTCTTGCGACCGCCATCTGGATGCTACTTTCTCATGCTAGGAACGGTGGGACGGAAATCGATTTGGAAATGATGGTAGAGTTGACTATCCCTTCTGCGACCTGCCTAGACCGATCACGGCTAATAAATTTGGTGTGTAGGACAACAGCATTCCAATTCCCACCTTTCCGTCCGGAGAGACCTCAACTTCCAGCTCGTCGTTACGCCGACGCTCCCAGTACAAGTTTCTATCCCCGAAGTCTCCCAATGCGGTCTCGAGCGGGTTCTCCGCACGGTATTAGGCGGCATTGGATACTCGAAAATGTTGGGGTGAGAAAAGTCTACCGCAGAGGATTCTTTTATCAGCTCGAATTCCCAGGAAAAGGAAGCAATTCTCTGAAGTATCCTGAGGGTTCCCTGACTCGAAGATACCGGTGGACTTGGCGGAGTTGATACTTGGTATCGATCGGCTCGAAGACACTGATCTTCTTGCCCGAGAAATTGAGGCATCTGAAACCACGAGTGAAAATAGGCTCGAAGGGGCAGCCAGATTAGTGAGGCCGCGTTGGTGATATTGTGGACATAGATAAATATGTTTAGATCGTGACCGGGACTAAAAATGTAAGATGGAGAGGGAAGGTACGGTATTGCCTATAATTTGGGTAGCCTTACTTCCTAGACTCGTAAAAAAATGAATGTATACAGGTAAATTAAGCACTTCAGTGCCGTAATCCTGCTGTTTATATTCGCGGTATATAGGAAAATAAAATAGACTGATGAGCGGCAAGAGAGTATTTTACTGTTCTTATTTTCCTAAAACTTCCAAATCATATTCGGTCACAATGCCTTTCATTATCGCAAAAGGTTCAAGTTGGAAGATTTTGGTGCCAGGCTTGGTAAAGCCTTGAATAATCCTCTAGACCACGTTTTAGACCGAGTAAAACCTCCGAATGATGCATCATCTGTGACAAAGGGCTGTCCGAGCAGACCATCAAGAAAAAGGGCTAATCGAGAACTGGGGCTGGTGGCTGCGGCCTGGTGTATGCGATTCACTCGAAGGGCCAATCAAAGAATGTCCTCTTTTGTTGGCTTCTTCACCCAGGCAACCCATTATGATTTGGGGGCTAGCGGGGAATAGCTACGCGGAAGGGCTCATCACAGATCCACTCACAGGCCACAGACCTCTTGAATACATCGGGTAGGGACAGGTGATCATCTCATGCAGTTGAATAAAAGTGGCTCTTATTGTGGATTCCGATGTCATCGAATGCATAGGAGATTAAGGAGTGAAGAAAATGAAAATGAGGAAATTCGGACTGGCAAAATGAGCGCTGGGCCAGATCCGAGACCCCCTCAACCTAAGATGCAAGAACACTCCCTGTTTCTCCAGCGGCCAGTATGAATCAACGTCACCTTTGCAGCGTGAGACTCATGAGTCTTCTGAATAAAAATTATCCACGGGATGGCTAACTAGAGGAAAATCATAACCCAAAGACTAGCCCAACGGCATCTAGCAAGAAATATAAATCCTGACAGCCGGAACGAAGAAAGACGTGACGGATCTCTTCTCGGGGAAACCGTTCGAGAATGGGGCGAAATTGCCAAAATGGAAGGCTCTGCCAAAAGCAGGCACACTTTGGTACTTTTGTAACGCTAGTCTATCTGGAAGCGACAGGAAGGGTGGCGAATATTCAACTAGATGTACGAGACAAAAGCATCTGGAATCTTCCAGTTCAGCTTCAGCTACGAGCTCACCGCTATTTGGCGAATCTTCTCAGATTCCCCGTTCGGGATGTATAGAGGACGGTTTGGGTGGTCTCCACTACCCTAGCGCACGTCACCCATCACCCGGGTGAAACGGCGATCCTTTGCGATTTTAAGTAGCGATGTGAATCGGTTCTCAGTGATTCAATTGCCTTAGTCCGGGGAGAAAACTCCGGAAGCTTAGACTAAAAACTTGAAACACTATGGTCTGCGGAGGCAGCTCCTAGTAGTAGTCTGAGCACCCCAATAGCAGGCTGACATGGCGGAGAAAGTTATGCAGAGAAAAGGGGCATCCAGGTGAGAATCAGAGTACTGTTCCTGGAATAGGCAAATAGAGTGTCACTAATGACGCTGGCCCAGTCCGGCAATTAGTCCAATGCTACTGATTAAGCTATGGTTGTTTCAGCTGTTCGCAGATCAAAGTGAAACTAGCGCCTTGCCGATAGATCGTTTGAAAATGTGCAAAGTACTCACGCCTAGAATCTGAAAGCCTCCCGGAGCCGTACGAGTAGATTTTGATAGACTACCACATCTTCACAGTAATGCAACGCCCATTCAAAATAATTCAATAGCTTAGTAGTGCAAGCCACTATCTAATTCCGAAGATAGCCGCGTCTAAGCAATTTGTCTAGTAGGTTAGTCGGCTGATTATTCCTGAGGCAGGACGAACCCTAGCTAGCCCAAAATAGTCATCCCTGTTAAGATAGGCTGCCAAAGCGTCCTTGGCAACTTGCCTTCCGGGCTCTTTCCGTGAGCCCCTTTTCCATTGCATATCCGGGGGTTGGCTCAGTCTGTGTGAGTCACAGCGATGTGGGTTCCCACATGATTCGAGATGTACCTGAACCTGCGGGCCATGGAAGGATTGTATCCGTGCCCTATCGCTACAATAGCGTACTTTTGAATCCACCATTGTCCTCTTTCGATAGAGCCAGTACCGAAAGACATAGTGCGGTAGAAAGTACGGTAAAAAGTACCCTTGGAAATGTGGACTTTATCTCGAAGAAGTCCATCTATACTAAGCCTGCATGGAGTGAGACGCCCAGATCCATCACCTGGGCAGATTCAATGTGATAGATCACCCGGGCAGTGGATGATATGTGGGTCGGATACGAAGAGGGAAAACACTGGAGGGAAAACCTTGGAATCTGGAGGAAGATCCTGGATGAGGGTCGTACTTTTGCAGGACGTTTATCACTCTATTGGGAAGAACATGATAAAAAACAAAGAAAAAACCGGGATGAATGAAATGAAAGGGCCGACAAAGATGAGGTAAGATCGAAGGATTGACAAAATGGGCGAATGATCTTTTTTTTCTAAAAAAAAAATCAAAATCAAATAGTTGTTTACACCCAAATGAAAATAAAAATAAAATTATAACTACATATGAAGGCAAGCAATTTTAAATGCCGATCCTTGTAAGCTTCGAGCAGAATGGGCAGACTGGGCAGACTGGGCAGATTGAGCAGATTGAGCAGATGATAGTGACGAAGCCATTTCTGGGCAAACAGAACGAAATTGAAGTAAACTTAAGCTCTTAAAAAAGTACAAACTACCACCGTATCTTCCACGAACGTTCCGGTTCCGCGGGCATTTGCCGGGACGGGGAACCATTGCCCCAAACTTTTGAATTGTGACACGTCGCGGACATAAGTACAAATCGAGTAAGGAAGATCCGGCAATGCAAGATGGGCCGCTTTGAAATTCTCCCTGGCATAGATCTGGTCCACCTATTACAGCAGAACCTTCTATAATCTACTTAGCCGGTAGAGAGAAGGTACCTTTTCTCATTTGCAAAATAGCGGCATTGCGGCGACAAGACTTAGAACACTAAGTGGGATTTGAAGTACCCTCGATCTAGGAACTCGTCCCTCCGGACTGATCGCAGAATTAAACTGAGCGATCGTTGAGGCTAGAGGCGATACGTACTGCCATCAGGAACACCCAAGGTTTCTACCGTTTAAAATCAAAAAGGAAATGAATGGAAGAAAGAATTCTTGATGCCGTAAAATTCCCGAGGGAATGAGGGGCGAAATAACTAATTTGACAAAGGCGCAAGATAAATTGCGACAGTGGAACAATACGAGATCGATAACAATCACAACAGAGCTGATGGAGGAGAGATGACCTAGATACATGTCGATGTCACGATCGCACGGTTACAAAGTGATATGAAACCGGAACTCCTAAGCCAAGCGATGACGAGACCTGAAAGAAGCTTGAGGCTTAGGCACCGAACCTTCCGCTGTGGACGCGGCATCCACCTTCTGATCGGTGGCATAAATGCTAGCACCGAGTCCGGATGGTTGATTCATGGGAGTCGATGTTCCTGATGGCATACGACTTTGAGTGCGACTAGCACGTTGGATTTCGATGGTCACCTGGTTGTTGATCTTGTTTGTGTGCGAAGGCTTGACGCCGATAGTACGGGCACCTCCAATGGTTCGAGCGTGTTCCACGTCGACGGCGTGGATTGAATCCGCGAGCATGCCAATTCCGCCATGCCTCGGAGCGGGACGCACATCCTCTTCCCTCGGCTGTGTCCGCGAAGCAGTAGTCTGGGGTTCATTAGCTTGGAACTCTAATCCTGGGGGCTCGGAAATTTGCAGTCTGTCGAAACCTTGGAGAGGTGGTTCGGAGACAGCGGGTCCTGACTTTCGAGGAGAGAGGTTTTCTTCTGGCAGAGTTTCCTTCGCTCGCTGTGTTGAGTCGCCAGAAGACAAGCTGTTCTGGGGTGAACGATGATCGATAAAGCTGCCGGCTTGGCTCTTCTTTGATCCGGGAGGGGTGAGAACTATTGAATGTCAGTTGATCTCGCTCTTTAGAGAAAAGGGTGGCAGATGTTTTGGGGCAATCCTTACATTCATCCTGACTCGAAATATCTTTGACGGGGGTTGATATCCTCACTGGCTCTTTGGAAGAGGAAGAGGTCTCTGATTCATGAAGTGCACTGGATATCTTTTTCTCGAGAATTGATAAGCACTCACTCAAGCCGTCAATCATAACTGTAGCCTGAGAATTCACAGTCCGTAATTCCTGGGGTACGGTCTCATGCTCGGGATCAGATTGTTCGAATTCAAGTCCTGAAAGCTGATTTTCGATCGTTTGGCTTATTCTGGATCTGTTGGGAGTCAATAGTCCAAGACCATTGTTGTCTTCGAAATCCAAAAGATCCAAGAGAGGGCCAGTGGGAACTCTTGGTGGGACTTGCGTGGAAGGGCCAGGCTGAGGCTCGGGGGTTTCATCTTCTGACGAGAAGTCGATGAGCGAAATGTCCGCAGATGGCTCTGGCGATCTATTCTTGGCAGCAGGGTTTGTCTCAGTAACAGACGGTTTCGGGGTTGAAGAAAGTGTCTTTTGGATTTTGGCCTGTTCCAGCGACCTCTCTTTGAGGGGGGGGCTTTGTCTGGGGGCGGGGGGTTTCGGCACTGGCGCGAACGGCTTCAGGGTTGTGGCCTGCGATAATGGCTGTTCCAGTGGCCTAGCTTTGGGCGCGGCCTTTTTCTCAGCAGCGGGTAGCTTCGAAGCTGGAGCGAACGGTTTGAGGATTGTCGCCGTAGCCTGTTGCTTTTCCGGCGGTGCTTGCTTCACGGCCTTTGGAGAGGAAGGAGGGAACGATGATCGAGCAACGGGTCCTGTTAGAGTCACAGAACGTCGGCTAGGAGATACGGATTGCGAGGGAGAAGACCGTCGTGCTGGGGATGGCGAAAGTCGAGACGGGGAGGTCGATGTGACATGTGAAGTCGGTTTGGTGTATCCCTGGGCCTGGGCCTTTTGCATGAACTCAACGCCCGACCCCAGATTTTTTGAAAAGTCCTCCCTGTTCAAAAACACGTAAGTGAGCGACGTAACGAGAAGAAGAATCTGGAGACATGTCTGAATACTTACATAGGTGCCGGCCGTCGGAGTAGTGGGGTAGGTCTCGTAGGATGGCCTCCTGTGTTCTTGTCAACGAATATCCCATACAAGCGGAATTGATGATAGCTTACTTGGACCTCGACCTCGTACGCCACGGTAATTTCTTCCAGCTGTGACGGGTCCACCATTGTTCGAGTCCAGCGCAGGGTCCTGTCTAGTCAACGCAGCTCCAGTTGGCAGTGCCACGGAGTGCGAGCGCATGGCGATTCCCTCGGGAGCTCCACGGGGCCCCAAGCCACTGATTATGGTCAGCACAATATCCAACTAATCCAGGTGAAAAATCGAAGCTTACCGTCCACGACCCCGAGTTCTCGCAATGCCACCTCCACGACCAGACGAGACGGGGGAGAATGGATGATGGTTTTCCGACTTTGCTTGGCTGTTTTTGCCGTATCCTTCACCATACTGTTGGCCACCTTGCTCTTTGATCTTCTCCATGAGTCGAGCTCGGTGGCTTTGGCCATGCATAAGCGGATCCAGCTTTTCGATACTATCGGTATCATTCACCTTCTGAGCGAGTGCTGTGGAAGAAAAAAAGAATCAGCAAGTATGAATAATTGAGCAACTGGGAAACAATGCAGAACGAACTCGACCAAGCATTTAGCGCAGGCTGATGAGCCAGGGCCTGACGTCCTGAGGCAGTTTTCTCCTTGTGAAATGCTCGAGAGGACTCGATCTCTTCGTATGAATATTGCTGTCCGTAACGTTTGTCCTCACGCGTCGAGATATACTCACGCCGATCAGATCCCAAGTCTGACTATTCACGCCGTCAGCTCACCGATTCGGAGACGAAGGCCATGTCGTTGAGAGTATCCTTACCATCTGCAGCTGTTTCATAAGTTCTACCTTCTCATGGTCCATGGTGGACGCCATGTTGGCGTTGATGTGCGATTCACAAAATCGAGGGAGCTTGGAGCTGAGTGAGAAGAGACTGCTCACACTGATCTGGTCGGTGAGGCGAGAGTCAGTCTATACAGCTTCTCAGAAAAGCCTGAAACGAGGGTGAGAAGCGAGAAGGAAGTATCCAGTGGGATGGTTCCGGTGAGCGATTCGCAGAACGACGGGGTTCTTTGCGAAGTCGACGGCACCGAGATGATTGAAAAGGGAGAGGAAACAGTGGGTTGACGAAAATACAAAAAAGAGGGGGAGGATTATGGGGGTCAATGAGAGAGAAGGAGAGGGAGAGAGAGTGTGTGTGTGTGTGGTGAAGGAAGAAAAGAGGATGAGAGAGAGAAAGGTAGAAGTGAAGGAAGGAGCCGCAGTGGGGGAACGGGCCACCTCAGGCAGCAAATAGTACTAGTAGTATACAATCAGATGGTGGAATGGGATGGAGAAAGTGAATTGATAGGGTGGATTGACAGAGTGAATGGGGGAAATGGAGGAGGAGTAGTTAGAGGTCCACAGTAGGAGTTAGTGCAACTGAGTATGGGCTATTGAGAGGTGCGATCACCCCTTAGACACGAATAGAGAATTGACCTTGAACCAAGGCATTCAATTCAGAGATTGGTGATTTGTTATATTCATTTCGATATGCTGCTTAGGAAAGTTATGTACAGGGACCCGTGCTGAGGGTCGATATCTATGGGATGCAAATATTCCGGGGGCAAATGCCATTTATGAGACACCGCAAGTAGATCCCCCTCCTTCATCTAGAAAATCGTTAGTCGGGACATAGATGAAGTCCCCCAGAGGGGGGGGCGAAAAGGGGCGGGGGAGACAGTGAGGCATTGTGGAATGGCAAAGCGACGACCAGCGAAATACTTACTCGTAATGGCATTCGCGACGGCTTGCACGACAGATACCCCCATGACAACAAGTCCAAATCCAACGCACACATAGGCTGGTATCTTTTCTCGGCGGCTGGCACTGCTAAGTTTAATATAACATAGCGGAGGGAAGATGTACGCCAGAGCCGCAGCACTCGTTGCGCCAATAAGCTCAAACACCATCCCTAAATCGCAGGTAATCAGCGCCAGTGTCATAGAAGTAACTATCAACGAGGTCGTGAAGATCAAGTGTCGATTCGGGTTGAATGGTTCGTCGGGGAAGTAGTAGGTAGTCATCACGGATCGGCAGACAAAGGCCTCCAGCGGGAGGGTTGTGAGCATGTTCAGGCCGAAACAACTATAGTTCAAGTTAGCGTGGTCGTCACGAACGATGGGATGGACAAGCCGCGTACAATCGAGCAATGTTGACCAGGATATTTTCCGACGGAAAATTGTTCAGGACATTGCCCTGTGTCTTGGAGCCGAAGAATAGAAATCCTGCGATGCCCATCGCCAGGCACATGACCAGCGACACGCCGGTAGAGTAATGGGTCACTGTTGCAAAGCGGTCAAGAGTGGGCCTCTTCAAGGATCCATAGATCAAAAGGCTGTTATGGTCTAGAAGGCATTAGCTCTCATTATAAGTAAGGCGCATCAAAAGTAACATACGGCAAACAAATGCTATGAAAGGTTAGCAGCATATTCGAAAGACTATGGTTTTTCGTGGGTATACTAACCAAATGATATCACGCCGACTGCCTGGAAGAATCCGGAGTTTATGATGAGATGGCTCTTTACTTCTCCTCGAGACTCCGCTGGGACACGGAAACCCTGCGTGAGGACCGTGACAACAATAACAACCATACTGACCAATGCAAGTGCGGATGCTTTAGCCAACTATAACGTAGTCAGCGCCCGCAAGGAGTAGTTGTAAGAAATCTCTCCCGATGAACTCACCTTTGCAATGTCACGATATAAGGATAGCGGGTATGAAATAGCCAGAACAAAAAGCACAATCACCGCTCGCCGATCCGTAAGCAGCCAGAGAAACGCCATATTCCGAAGCGACGGGAAGAGAGCGCTCAGGACATGGGGGATCGTATCGCCGACAATAATACAGAACGCAACCATGCCACCGAAAGCAAAAGCCCACTGGGCAACGGAAATCGCGATAAGTCCACTTTTCCCAAAACAATATTGCATGGTAGCTTGGAACGAATCGGCCCCACTCATTTTCGAGTTGATGACGATCAGGCGGATAGTCCAGTCCACCGTAAGAGTCAATGCTGTCAACAGCAAAATGCCCGTTACCAACCCGGCTTGGCGCAAAGCATACGGTTGGCCGATAATTCCCGCCCCAATGATGCTGTTGGCCATGTTCATAAACGCCATTTTCATGCCACTGCGCGGCCGCGCGTGTTCAAGGTGATCTTCAGGAAAGAAATCGTCCGATGTCGCAAGCGTCACGCTTGGGGCTTCGATATCTGTGAGCAAAGGGATGCTCTGCCCTGTATTCCTTCTTCCACCCTGTGTACCGGGTTCGCCAAGCTCGTAGTCCTCCTCATCAAGCCACGGCGCGTCTTCCGGGCTGTGAGGAGCGCCATTGGACACAAGGTCATCTTCGCCGCTTTCCTCGTTTAGATCGAATCGAACGCGGTTGAGGGTACGTGGTGTGCGACGCTGTCCATCGGGTGCAGGGTGTGATATTGACGATTGGCGCTTTCCATGTGTTGGGCTCTCCGCGGGGGCCGGAGGTGAGGTCGCTGGCCCGGGGTGAACTATAAGATCATCAGGTTCTTCGTGTGGGCTGGACAAGAGATTTTGCGATTCGTGTGAGTGATCTTCATCTTGACCAGATAAGAGGTCATTGCCTCCCTCATCCCTGGGCATCGTTGGCTGTGAGGTTTATGAGGAAAGTCGCGCGTTCCTTTGAGGCCACCTGCTCCGGTGCACGTGACTGTCGATAAGAGGTCTTTGTTGATAACGATTGGAATGTATGGGGAAATAAATCCTAGGATGGGGAATGGAAAAGTGTACGCCCGTAACTATTATTTGACTAATAAGAGCTCATGTTCAAATAATAAACAACGGTGTGGAATTATGACTGCCTTATCCGGTCCAAATTGGTGACGTGTAGGCTCTCTATGGAGATGCCCAGCAATATGGGACTCACCCATACTTCAGCTGCTAGGTAACTATAGAATCCCCTGTTCTAAAAATAAATTGGTCCAAAACAAAAACACTGGACTTCCGATTATTCAATTGAGACCCAATGTCAATAAGAAATGCGAATTATTAGCAACAAGTCCATGGTTACACTCCAAAATGCATAAGAGAATTCGATGCAGACAAATATATACTAGGAAAATCATGTGCCTTCGCCGCATCAGACGAAGCTTGGCACAACTCTGACTCGGAGTCACCCATTGCACTCCCTCAGCCCAAGGACAATTCCAAGTTCCACCGTTTTGAGTATCATTTTTGTATTCTTGTCAACTTACATCCATTTCTGGGACGGCTACCGTTTCCACCATGTCGCACCGTGTCAACTTGGGTCAGGCTTGCTTCCAGACAACTGACTCCCCTTTGAAGCTTCAACTCACAGCAACGGCTCACTTCAAATTACCAATCAATTCTTCAAACCAGATTCCACAGATCCATGATATTCAATTGCTTTATCTTCTCTCCTTCTGGGTTACAGAAGCACCCGAACTCGAACTCCGACTTCACTTCGACGTCAATCCACGCCTGGCGTGGACTCTCTCAAGCCTGGTCTCAACCTTGGGCGAAAAGATGTGCAATTCAAAGGTAAGATCTTTACCCACATTTTGATCCAAGAGCATCTTACTGATGATGACTCCGATTGTAGGTTTGGTCAGATCTTGGCTCCACAATCGTCTTCAAAAGCTGCGAACCCTCGGAGACCAATGGCTCTCGTATAAGCTGTCTGATATTTGGACTTTGCAGAGGAACGCACTCGCAGAACCAAATCATCAGTCGGAGGGTCCCATCAATTTTGAGAAACCCTCCCGGGGCTCACCCGCCAACCAGCCATCCCGTGATATATCTAGCGGCAATTGACATATATCTGGAGTATAGCTTGCCACTGGCAGCGCATCCGGAAATAAAAATGGAGGTGGATGAGATTGCCCCCTCAGGTGACTTTTTGCAGATTTTGGAACCGGATCCTGCACTCTACTCCATGCCATCAGAGATATATATTCCAGACGACAGACTCGGAGATTCGGAAGACGCTGAGATCCAATTTGAACTTGAAGTGCCAGGCTATTGGCAATTCACGGACTTGAATCTTCTCAACCCTAACTTGAACCAGCATCCTATTCCACAAGAAAACGACGGCTCTACAGATAACTCGGACCTTTCAGCGACATACCAGCTACTCGACAAATCTCTCCGGAGATTGGTGTTAGCAGGCCCATTAAGAGCCCATCCAACAGAATCCACTCAATCAGACTCGCTGGAAAGGATGTCGGATTTAGCGCCGGCCATATTCAACCCAGTCTACCGTCAGGTCAGCCTTCCCTCCCCTGCATGATCTATGATTGACAGCTAACCCCATCTAGGCCATGGAGCAGCGAGCAGTGTCCATACCAATAATATCAAAAGCGATAACCTCGATGGTGGAGGGCAGTCAGAATGCAGAATTGAAGCGCATGGCCGAGATTCTTCTACAGAGCGTCGATAATTCGATCCCGAATGACACAGCCAGCTTACCCGGTCAAAGAAGACTGAACCACGCTATTCAATCATCCCTCTGGCGCATCGCACAAACAAAGCTTCGTGGGATCAAAAATACCATGAAGGCGACTTCTTTCTTTGATATTTCTGGATCGACGTCGCTGAATGCAACTGCCGACGCGGGGTTCAATATGCTCCTTGAACACGAGATTTATTCTAATGATGAATTACTTGATTCCACTACTTATAACGACCTCAGTCAATCAACCTATTACTCAGGAGAAGCCACCATTTGGCCTGATGACTGGATGAATGAAGATTATGATGGGATTAGCGACGCTGCAAGTTACTTTGAATACATTTCCGACTCGGATCCGACGATGGTGGACAGTCTCTTCTCGCATTGCGAAATTCCACAGTCCCCATGTAGTTCTTCCGCCAGTGGCATGTTACTTTACGACGATGATGATGATGATGATGCCAAGGATGGATTTGTTTTTCTTTTTGATTTCTAGATGTTTAAATATTGCACTAGTATTCTGGAGTCCGCTTTGATGACCAGTTACCAGACAGACACTTCATGAGGTATATGGATATTCTATTTATTTTGCATTAGTAAATGCCACAAGCGACTTCAAGCTTACGTCTCTCCCGCACAGTTCTATAAATTCTAGGCCGCACGCATGACTGTCGAAAGGTAGACTAAGGTTCAACGCCGTTAGGATTGAATCCCAAGACCAAACATTCTTGTAGAGTTATTCCAAGCCCTAAAAGAAATCGAAATTAGCCAACATTGCACCCACCGATCAAATTCAAACAGCAAATCTTACGCTTCGCAGACCTCCTCCACCGAAATGCCCTTCACCTGCGCAATAACATGCGCAACCCGAGCAATAGCAACAGGCTCATTCCTCCCCTTAACCATGAACCCCTTCTGCCACTTCTCCTTCTTGAAGGACTTCGGCAGCTCTGGGGCACCAGACAAAAATTTAGCCGAGGCATGCGAGGGCCGAATCTCGCACTATTCGACGCGTCGCTGGTTAGCTATAATCAAAAGCAAGGCAAGGCGGGTAGGTAAATTGGGGGTCTGATGGGATGGGGCACACATACCCAAGGACCATCCGTCTCAATCTGAAGCCTCTCCAACGGAACAGCCTTGACAACTTCCAAATTCTCCTCCGTCTTCATACTACACCCATTAACACCGATATCGACACCCAGCGCAACAAGCCTCTGCATCTCCTCCATCGTCCCGGTAAAACTATGCACCAGACCACCCCTCGGCAAATGGGGCAATCGGGACGCGAGAAGTCGCTCGAAGTCCTCGCTCGCGGCGCGAGAGTGGAGGAACAAAGGCATTTGAATCTCAACGGCGAGGTCGAGCTGGGCTTCGAAGTATTTCAGCTGTGGTTCCTTGGCGCTGTGGAATAGTCTGTCGTAGTCAAGGCCGATTTCGCCAAATGCAACGGCCAGTCCGGCTTCTTTGGCTTCGGTGGCTAGTTTGCGTAGCTCATTTATCATTTCTGCTGGGCCGCCTTGGTGTTTGTCGAATAGGTCTGCTTGACAGGGGTGGACGCCGACTGTGGCGTAGCAGAATCCGGCTGCAGGAGTGGTTAGTTGGGGGTGAGTTTTCGATAGAGGGCGAGGGAAGGGGAGACTGACGGTGGTCTCGGGCGATTTGAATGGCTGTTTGTGACTCTTCCAGGTCTGAGCCTGTTACCATGAACTTTTCGCATCCGACGTCCTTGGCGCGTTGGATGACATCGTCCAGATCGCCCTCGTGCGCCTGTTTGCCGTGGTAGTGGCCCTGGAACATCGGGTCACTTAGGTTGATGCCAATCTGTACGTTTGGGTTAGCAAGTGTACTTTGTCAAGTTCCAATGGAATTGTTGAGAGCACGCACATCGACATAACGGAGCGGTTTGCTTGTCTCGGACTCAGTCATTTTTCTCAGCGACTGTCTGGGTGCAAACGTGGAAAATGTAGCAGCAGCGCTGAATCGGGTTGGTTGGGTCTGTGATTTCCAAATGACCTTGCCGCTTAGATTAGGAGCTATAATAGAATGGTTAGCCAAGTAGTTCATCTTCTCTATGCCTTACCAGGCACATGGTGGCATACCGTAAGTGTTGTGAATAAATCCTTTTGTTCGTCCAATGGATGTACCGATGTGGCCCAAAGTTGTCGAGGCACTGCGTCCAATAGAGAAAATGTGCATGGGATGATAATTGAATATCAAGGTGGCCGAGTATGCTGATCTATGAATTGAGATGCGCCGGGCAATGTCGAAGGCTGATTTTGTTGACTCAGGTGATCTTCAGCCACAGCCACAGGAACATTGTGGCGCAGCTGTGATTTATGTGGATGACTAATCAAGGGCAACCCCGGAGAGAAATCCGCGATACCTTCGGGGCTGCCCCGACGTTTGGACCGCTTCAGGGTCTGAGGGTTCAAAAGACACACACGTTACAGCTCATGCCGTCGATGATCGACTTGATCCGCTGCAGGGAAAGTGGGTGCGATTGGCAGAATGAACATGAGTATCCAAGAATTGCCTCTGCCAGGCCTGTGATCCTCTCTATACCCTAGGGGAGCTGACATCTAATCAACATGCGATGTTTAGTATGGAAGCTGCACAGAAGCACGAAAGAAACAGAATGGCTATGAACATTTCAATGGTGGCCAATCATCTCAAACCCTGACAAAAGCATTCGGTACAATTTGACCCGAAGCAGTGTGAGTCCAGCAGTCCGGGGTAAGTCCGGGGACATTGCCGTGGTGGAGACAACTCGCCGCTACGCGGAGAACCACCGCGATAAAGGCCCTTGCTGAGTATTTAGACATCTCTGGCTGGTCAATTCTGCCTTTCTATCATTTTCACACGTCTGCCTCATTCACTCACCTCGTCACTGTCTGCTCGGTCCCAGTTGGCTACCCTCTCCACCATGACCGATCAGAAACTCCTCTCGACCCAACAGATCTCGACGCACAACTCACCAGATGATTGCTGGGTCGTTGTAGACAAGCAAGTGTGGGATGTTACAGACTTCTTAGAAGAACACCCCGGCGGATCAACCAGTATGAGTACCCATATCCACCGACTGGCCCCGACCAGCGACCCCAAGCTCACATACTACAATAGTCATCCTAAAGTACGCCGGCAACGACGCAACAGAAGCCTACTCCGAAGTCCACGCCCCCAGTGTCATGAAAACCAACCTCCAAGCCGACAAATTCAAAGGTGTCCTCGATGAATCCACAATCGACGCCGAATGGGCCAAGCCATCAACAGTAACAGCCAAGACACTCCCAGACAATGAGAAACCCCCACTAGGCACACTGATAAACTCGCACGACTTCGAAGTCGTCGCATCCAAAACCGCCAACAACAAAACCTGGGCCTTCTACTCCAGCGCCGCAACAGATCTAATCACACGCGACGCTAATAAATCCTGCTTCGACAGGATCTGGTTTCGACCACGGGTTCTGCGCAATGTGCGCGCAGTCGAAACTCGCACCAAAATACTAGGCGGCGACTATAAACTCCCGCTCTTCGTTAGTCCGGCGGCAATGGCAAAGCTGATCCACCCGGAGGGCGAGTGCGCGATTGCACGAGCTTGCGAGAGTAAAGGCATTATGCAAGGTGTATGTCTATCCAATTCACCCTACCATAATGAATCTACACACATCCTCCGATGAAACTCTAGATATTCTGACTAACATCTCGGCAGATCTCAAATAATTCCTCATACACCATGGACGAACTACGCACCGCCGCTCCATCCACAGACTTCTTCTTCCAACTATACGTAAACCGCGACCGCGAAAAGTCCGCCGCCCTCCTACGCCAATGCTCCGCAAACCCGAACATCAAAGCAATCTTCGTCACCGTAGATGCGGCCTGGCCCGGCAAGCGCGAAGCAGACGAGCGCGTCAAAGCCGACGAAAGCCTCTCAGTTCCGATGTCGCCGTCGAAAGCGCAGAACGACAAAAAGGGCGGCGGGCTCGGCCGAGTGATGGCCGGATTCATCGATCCGGGACTCACATGGGAAGATCTGAAATGGGTGCGTCAACACACGCACAAACCGGTTTGTTTGAAGGGTGTTATGAGTGCGGATGATGCGCGGATGGCGATGGAGGCGGGATTGGACGGGATTCTACTGAGTAATCACGGTGGACGGAATCTGGATACGAGCCCGCCGTCGATTATTACGCTGTTGGAGATTCAGCGGCGGTGCCCGGAGGTTTTTGAGAGGATGGAGGTTTATGTTGATAGTGGGATTCGGCGCGGGACGGATATTCTTAAGGCAGTTTGTCTTGGGGCGACGGCTGTGGGGATGGGGAGGAGTATGCTTTTTGCGACGAATTATGGGAAGGAGGGTGTTGAGCATTTGGTTGATAGTAGGTTTTTCTTCATACCCCTTTCCTTCATATGATCTGGCCTGACTAACTGGCTCTACTCTAGTCATGCAAGATGAATTGGAGACGGCGATGCGGAATATCGGTATCACCTCGTTGGACCAGGCTTCGCCGGATCTGTTGCACACGGGGGATGTCGATCACCTAGTGCCTACTACGGCCTCACACCCGTATGCTCGGGGGGTTGCAAAGGGGCGACGCGGTGCCAAGCTATAGGCCAGTCAATATTTGTTAGTGCGATGTATAGTCGGCTCTTGGTTAGTATACTAGTAGATCTGGCTCATGGCGATATACACTAGCAGTCATAATAGAAGAAATCTACTCCGTACCAATCATCGAATTAGATTGAAAGTCTAAAGTCTAAAGTACTAGTATTCTGGCTATGAAGTACCCTAACGAAGTAAATACTCCGTATCCGTACTCCGTACTCGTAGATAACGAAGGAAAGAAATAAGGTATCTCAACAGATGGGAAGATCGCCCGGGCGATCCACCCGCCCCTGGGTGCCAAGGATTCAACCCAATGCAGGGGGAGGAATCTGAATCTAACCTGCCAAGCTGGAGCCAAGCCGATAATGAGAATCACGATCAGAAGAATCAGAATCCCTTACGAACTGCGCCACGGGTGATCGTCATGTAGTACATAAATAGGTCGGGTAACATGCCTCTCCAACACCGCGGGTTTGGCGGGAAGGGGGTCACTCGTACGAGTAGAATTAAGCATTGGCATGTACCACGGAGTACCCTGTACCACCTGTACCACCTATACTACGGGCAGACTCACCGAATCTCAAACCAATCGGGGTGGTGACCGTTTGTTCTCCGTGGAGGATGGTTTCCAAGAGTCTCGGTCTCACCGCCGGGAAAGGGGGAGGGACAGGGGAAGAGTCATGGGACCCCCGATCAGACCAAATCCACGTCACCCCCGTCCAGAACGTTGAGGGCGATCGCTCCACACGGGGGGCGTCCTATTTTTGTGGTAGTCCAGGCTGAGGTGATCCATCTCATCTGGATTCACTTGGGATAGGACCGGTGAGAGAGGGTGAGGAGAAGGGACGGGATGCTTGTTTGGCGGGAACCAGTCAGCGGCGGGGAATTATGGAAGGTGACAGCTTGTTGGTGGACGAGAATTCCTTGGGATGATTCCCATGACTGCATTGTGCAGGAAGTGGGAGGATGGAATGAAATGGGCCAATAATGGGGGGAGGTGGAGAGGGGAAGGTCGATCTCGGAGGGAATGGAAGACTCCGACAGAGTGTACATAGTGTAAGGAGTAGTTACTGTACTAGAGTAAGTAGTCTACAGCGTAGGGGAAGTACCGGTACGGAAGTGTGCTGGCGGGTACGGGGTAAATGGTGTCCCGCACTGCGGGTATTAAGTACCGGTACGTACTGACAAGACAGTATTGGTATACTATAGTCTAGAGTAGTCTATAGCATATACTAATATAGTATGTAGTATGTAGTATCTTTAGAGTAGTATTCTAGTATCATCTACATCATGAGTAGACGTAACAGTCAGTGGTATACATATACTGTAGTAACATAGCCCACGTCAAGACTGCTCCACTTGATCGTAGGCTAGACCGCCAAGAGTGGACCTCATAGCTTCCCCCAACCATTCCAAGGTGCTCCGAAGTACAGAGTACTCTCTGTACTTACGATACCCTCTGAGTACTTCCATCCTATAAATCCCTCTATTGTCCTTTCTCCCCTTCCGGTTCATTTCTATACTTCCTCTCCCCTCTCCTCCCACTTCCCTCTCCCATCCACCACTTCCACTTCCACTTCCACTACCACTACCACCCACCTATCACCACCACCACCTCCACGCTTCATATACATACATCACTCATCATGGCCGCTCCTCGTTCAACCTCGCTGCGTGCCCTGCGCCAGCTTTCCAGCCAGCACTCGGCTCTCCCTGCCCGCCGTGGCCTGCACATCACCGGAGTCCAGTCCGCTCAACCCGCCAACCCCGCCGACAAGGCCTCTCTCTACGCTGCTCGCACCCTGCCTGACCTGAAGCTCGAGTGCCAACGTCGCTCCATCCGTGCTGCTGGCAGCAAGTCCGAGGTAAGCAGATCATCCTCTATCTCACCATATCAATATCCATTTAATCTAACATGCCTAGCTCGTCGAACGCCTCTCCAACCATGATATCCTCCAGACCCGTGCTTTCAGCATCGCCATGCGCCGCATTAACCCCAATGCCTTCGCGGAGTATGTCCTATCCCAACACTATCAAGCCTTACTAGAATAACCCCTTCTAACAAACCCACAGAACCCGTCAATTCAACACCTCCCGCTCCTCATCAGCCGTCGGCGACTCCTCCACTGTCGACTTCGTCTACATGCCCACAATGTCCGACATGGACGCCACGACGATCCGTCGCTCATCCCCCCAAATCCCGGTCCTTCCCGACATGCACTCCATCCAACAACCATCCACAATCCCCACACAGTCACCCATGAAGCCCCAGATCTACACGGTCGCCGGCTCTGGCGCTGACGTCGCCGCCAGCGCCATGTCGGAGGTAGTTGACAACGTCGCCGTTGACCTCGACCCGTTCTCCCTGACCGAGGCTGTCGGCCGCTCGCGCGTCGGCGAGGAGATCCAACGCACCCGCAATGGCGGTCCCACCCAACCTGGTGTTGTTTCAGAACTCTGGGCCGGATTCCTGGATGATGCTTTTGGTCCCAAGGAGCCGGCCAGGAAATAAGATGTGAAGCATGTGTTTGCTTTTGTGACGGCCTCTCCATGACGAACTTGTTTCTTTGCGGTGCGATTCGCACCACCTTTCTCTTCCCCTTTCCCTTTCTATTATTCTTATTTCCTTATATCGGGCTGTTTTTTGTTACCCTGATCTAGCGTTGCGATGTAATATCTTTCTCTTCTACCATTGAATTCACAGTGCTACCGCTATTGCCAGCACCATGACAGATCCAATCCAATCAATCTTCAATACTAGTAAATCATACGTCATGATCTTTAACGTTCTCAATTATAATTGCACATCATTGCATATGAACCTGATCTACTCCGTAGTTCTGACTCACCCAATGCCGATATTCTTCCTATTTTCGTTTTGCCGAGGTCCAACCACCAGCCAACCCTAGTACGCGGTGACGCCTCCCGCCCTGATCTGCATGACGAAAAAGCCCGATCCACACTAGCCCGGGGAGGATATGATCTCTTCCGATCATTTACACTCTGTATTGATTTTTTGATTCTTCTCCGCAGACTCTTCCCTTGCGCTAGTACTAGTGGTTAGGAGCTATGTGCTCCGTACTTGTGTCCCGACTCTCCGGCTCTTGCCTCCGACTATCCCGAGGTCATGAGACTGGGTCCGATTCCGTGTCCGAATGGTCCTCGTTTATGGTCGGTTTTGAAGCTAGTGGACGCGGGGGATATCGGCTGATAAGATCGCGTGATGTGTGATGGCATTTCTGTTGGTATATGGAGTAGTAGTATTGTTTTTTGTCCCGGCTGGTAGGAGGGGACTCGGATGGGGTTTGTTTTATCCACCTGAGGTTGAGGGTATTCAGACCAGCGCTTTATTCTAAGGCTAGAACTACTCTTGCTTCGATAATTTATGACTTCAATTGATTGATATCTTGGTCTTCAGTATTCCTTCTGGCGGGAGTGGGAGTAGATTTAGGCACTGTATCGCACCACTTTACTTTCATGATTTATTCCATGCAATTACAATGAGAGTCTAAGATAGCTTTCGATCTAACTAGATATTCACTATTAGTTCAATTGATTCTAGTCAACTATTTCATGCATCCATTCACCCATTGATCAACAATGAGAATGACAATGGCAGATTTTGCAAGTAGCCCGACGTGCCTCCGATCTTCCCCGAGCTTGAACAACCTCTCATTTCCGACACCAAATCCCAAGGCCTCAACGCCTTCAGCCTAATTTGTGAACTTGAAGGGTCAATGGTGGAAATCAATTGCAGTTAACAATGAATCATTTGAGTCATTTACTTGAAACATCTTTTCAAATTCACTGGATATTTGTGAGCCTTGTACCAGTCACTTATTCACTATTTACTACTGCTTTGATGATCGGTTATCTCCTTGTAACTGAGCTATTCCACCATGTTATTTTATTGTTGCTCTCTCTTGGTTCAAAATATGCACTAGAACCCCTTCATTTCAAGAGGTATATAGCTTATATTACAAGAGCCAACGTGCTATAGTTCGGGGAACAGTGCGCAATCTGTTCGAAGAGACAAAACCCTGACAGATGTTGGTGCTTGAGATCAAACCCCCCATCCAAGGACTCCCGCGTTTATTTTTATGGGTCTGCAGACACCCGACTTACATTTAACCTCTTATTGGTACTTGCCTCGTCATTATCAAGGTTGATTGTAATCTTCATCCTCGGCGCTCGGACCGCTGAAACGAAGCTAATATGTAGTCTATTGACACAGACTGATTGGCTTCTCTTGCTTCGGTCAGTCAGAAAAGTCTGACAAACCGCTGAATAACCGATTGATTGAGCAATTGCAGAGGCCAAGCGTCGCTTCCCCGCAAGTGAGGAAAATGCGGGGTTTCCATCGGCCAAGTTGGCTCCAAGCTCAACAACCTTTTGGCCACTAGGAGCTTTCAATCGCGCGATCTCAGATCATAGCTGAAGCTGGAGAGAAACTTGTAACCTCCGGACACTCGTATTTTGTTTGGGAAGCAAAGAGGACCGATTCTACAGTTGACAAAACGGCCGTCTGGCTATATTCACATAGTCCCGCACATCATGGCGCCCTCCAGGAAGTCTGCGAGGCCGCAAAGTTCCCATGCCGACCAGAAATCCGTCACAGATACTAGGTGCTTCCCCCACCAACAAGAAATTCAAGACTCAACTGGGCTAACGAAGCAAATTTTAGAAAACTCCGCAATCGAATCTCCCAGCGTGCTTTTCGAGCGCGCCAGTCCGGGTATATCAGGGAACTCGAAGAAAAGCTTCAACGAGCAGAAAAACCTGGTCTTAATATCACTAAACTAGAAGAGGAAAACCAGAGGCTTCGTGGTCAGCTTTTGAACTGTCACAAAAAATTAGAAAGTCTCATCGTGTCGATGAAAACAGTCTCAGCAACTCTGTCCGAAGCGACTGCTATTGAAGTGAGAAATTCGGCGTATCGTGTGTGGGAGGCCAAGCTTTTGCTAACCGTGTCTGTTATTAGCCGTTCAATAATGAATTGCCCGGGGATAGAAGTTCGAGTGATGGATCAAGCTCACCGGGCGTTGATCCACTTCATACCACTCTGGCTGAAGATGTGACCGGGTGGGAAATGGATAACATTCTACAGTTTCAGAGCTGCAATATTCCTTCGCAACCCCCCATTATCCTCAACCAGGATGACCCAGAGCCTCATTTCTTGGGATCGATAGTCGATGAATCACAAGTGAAACTCCAGGTTCAAACCAGAACCGCAGCACAATGCCAACCGGCTCCACAGGAACTGCTTTTTAACTGTCTCCAGACAGTACCCTTTGAGAAAATGATGGGAATTGAACAGTACGAAAAGCTCACTAGATCAAAACAACTTTCATCTTGCGATTTGTGTCTGCCGACCACGAATTCGGTATTTTCTGATCACATCTCAAGCTGGGAAATGTATCTCAAGCAGAAGTGGGGCGCCACCGCGCCTTTCTTGAATGGAAGGATGGACTGGTACTTCGCCCTGCTTCAGCCCCCCCTCTATAGAGACGCGGCGAACTCACATTGAAACAGTCTTATCACTTCTGCCTACTTCATGACATCTGCTTTCATTTGCCTGTCATGGCCATCAATGACATCCTGGCATACGTATACCAAAGCACATATACCAGTTATGAAAATAACTGCGTGGCATATCGATCCATCAGTCGAAAGCTATAGCAACATGAGCCAGACCTGGAGGCCAACAAAAACTCAAATCTCGCGGAAGCACCCCGCTATTATTGATTGGATTCCATGGCCATCGATCCGGGATAAACTGATCACCTGTCATGCTGCTAATCCTCTGATCGACAATGTCATTTGCGCCATCGGACATTCTTATGTCATGGAAATTGACCTTTCTAAACTTATCGCCAACATTCCTCCAACACCAGGATATGTGTCTGTCTGGGATCTAATTCGGACAATCTCCCCGGAAACGTCGAAACAAAATACCGAAACAAGTAAAAATATCAACTTGAATGCTTGGGACGGTTTACGTGGCTCCGGAGTGCCCACAGATGAAAGCTTCCAGTTTCATCGACACAAGGAATCTTTCGGAATGCGTCTTCCTGCCCCTGATACCAATAGTCTTTTTGGCTCCCACACAATGGCCTTACAAGCTTTCGAGTTGCTGGGTATGGACAAAGGGGCATCACTATTTCGTCTAGACCCTGCGTTCTTTGAAACTCACCCTGAAATGTATGATCACCGCGATAACATCATGGCCAGCGGTGTTCATCTCAAATCGCCCTACGGAGATACAATGATTTCACCCCGACCTTTGGACATTTCGGTTTCAACGCAGTACAAACAATTATCGTCATGGACTGTAGATCTACTAGTAGAAGGGGCGTTGCCTGTGCCTCGATTGCATTTGGATAGCGAGTGATAATGTTTCCCAGTTTGAGTAAACACAAGTGAACCCCCGGATGATAGCTTGATTTTGCCAAACTACAACAAACCCAACTCTGCCTAGATCTCCAGGGCTCTCAATGGCATTATAACCTTACTGGATTCAACAGTGCCAGCTTGATATATATAGAGTGGCTAAGATTCCTATATATTGGAACTAGAAAAAACCGTCAAACATCCAGATGGCTTTCAATTTAAAATTCCCCGGACGCATTTTGAATTAATTAATTCTTGCCCCTGTCTCAGCCAAACATACATAGAATCTCCTTAGACAAAGGCTAGTGCGTAACAATGAGACAAAAGCAAGTTTCATTTCCAGGAGGCGTGTATAAGGAGCCAATAAACAGCACACTAGTACCCTCCATTAGGATTGATAGGGTCTGCTTCGGAGCCAAAGCTAATATATGGCGATCAAATTAAGTAACATTGAGTCAAGCTTGCATGGTTTGCCGAAGCGCGCCTGTTTCCTCTGGAAATATTGACTCTTCTGGAGAAATCATAGATCGCACCCCCGTGAAACTCCATGCCTTAAAGTACTGCGAATTTTAGAGAGGGGTAATATTTGCTGGCCTTCAAGAGCACTCATAGGCTCTTCCTTGCACTGTTAGTCAATATTTTCCTGGTAACGAGACTCACTTGCTGAAGCCCCTCATATGCACACCTCATGCAACATGATGGTTTAGGAATCTTGCGACAGGGGGCAATCCAGATTCTGCGGCGGGGTTCTAGCTATTCTTTCCTCAAACGACTTAGTGGTTTTAATTGAAGCCAATATCTCCATCCACACGTGCATGCAATTAATTTCTCACATCCTTTATTCTCAGTCTGATATCATTTTGAACTGACTATCACCCAAACACCGAGAAAATGGCTATCCCTATGAAGGGCCTCGAGGCAGAAACCCTAGCCAAGGCTCGAGCAAGTCTTGATGAAAATGGATTCTTTGTCGCCCCGGATGTCCTTGACGAAAAAACTGTCAGTTTCGTACTTGAACGGCTCTGGGCTGCAGCCGAAGAGAACAAGAGGCGCGGCGCAGAGTTGTTCATGCCAGCATTGGACCCAAACAGTTCCAACGTTCGAGTCTTCTATCTCATGGAGTTAGACTCTATTTTCCGAGAATTGATCCAGCACCCAGCGGCTCTCGAAGTTGCCAAATTGGTCATCGGACCCAAGCTACTCGTTTCCAATTTTACTGCGAATATTGCAAAGCCTGGTTCCGGTTCGATGGCCCTTCATTCTGATCAGTCTCTCGTCGTTCCCGATCCGTGGGAGAAGCCTTGGGCTGTAAATATTATTTGGTGCTTATCTGATGTGTATTTTGAGAATGGGGCGACCTTATTCATACCTGGCAGCCACAAGTGGAAGCGGAAGCTTGAGGTGCCGGACAACGCAAATGAAATGCTAAAGCCCTTTGTCGCAAAGGCTGGCTCGATCATCGCTATGGACTCCCGCGTTTGGCATACATCGGGTGCGAACATAACGAAAGATCAAGAGCGTGCCCTCCTCTTTGGGTATTACACTGCCCCTTTCTTACGCCAACAAGTGAACTGGACAGCAGCTTTTTCGCCAGAGACTAAAGATTCTCTGAGCACCGATATGCGAGAACTCCTAGGGTTAAATATTACAGCTAATTCAGGGTCTGCGTCCGACGTCGGCACTGGACTTGAAAAATACGAGGCGAAGAAAAATATGTAAATGAAGGCCATTTTAAACTAGCCTGATTGATTTTGAAATGATTATTTGATAAGTTAACTTGAAACCCTCTATGGCGAAGCCCGTCTACCATTTAGCATTAGACTACACTACTCTTCCTGGATAACTCTTCAATGACCCAAGGCATTCGATGATATATGGAACCAAATCAAGGACTTTTTGGCCAAATAACTTAGGAAAAATGTGGGGAACACATGATAGTCAGGATTTCGTGACTCCCCGATGGTCCGTGCGATCGGGGAAGCACAGACTTCTACAAACGGTGAATAATTTGTGTGATGGGAGCAACTTGTAATATTCAAAATTTGGACGCTGAGATAGATAATTACTTCCAGCATGGAGCGCCCACATAATCTTGGGAGCAGACGGGTACATGTGTGTTCCGAATTCCATGTGGGATGAGCTGACCTTTCCATATTGTTTCAGGGAAGGGGACGTTGCAGAACAACACAGATTGATTCTCCAATGCGGGCTTTGATCTCAAAGACATCGAATCTTTGAAACGCGAGATAGGCACGACTTCTTCGTTTGCGAGCCCAGGCCTGCCTTTTCCAGATTGCCTTTTGACGTTGAAAATCAAGTTCAAGCGATTGACAATCCTCAGCCATGGTCTGATCAGGACCTTTTTGACCCTTTTGACATACGAGATGCGAGTGACCTTTTAGGTGAATTGGGGATTGGGGGAAGTGAACGGGACATCAGGCCATTCATACTAGGTGTCCGGACCAGCTTAAGCTGGAAAGACTACATATAAGCTACTAGTAGCTTCTTAGTTTCCAATTTCTTCAGCTGGTCGGTGAGAAGATGAGCACAGGTCTAGTGGCGCAGAAAATAAATCGTTGAAAATTTCTGCAGTTTAGTTACCTCGATCAACTTTTTCTAGGGTTACGGTATTCTGTGTCTTGAATGTCCTTCTGCGATGTTGTGGTCGGGCGCGGGAGGCTTGTTGAGCTGCAATCCCGATACCCATACATGTACTCGTAGGATCTGATCGATCACCAGCTTCATATAAGTGGATCCAGGGCGCGACTCGACGTGGCAGGAGGGGGTTTCTTCCACCATTTCAAGTCTTGCAAGGAAACGCGCGTCCATTGCCTGGTTGGATGGGGATGTTCATGAATATGCAGGTGTCCGAGGAAGCCGAGGTTGGGAGCGGAACGGAGAGAGGCAGGGCCCAAGTGCAAATAGAATCAAGACTCGAGGTCTATTGATTGACAGAATCAAGCAGCTGGGTGATCGCTGAACCCATGCTGGTCGAGACTCTAGCATCGAGAGATGGAATGATTGAGTCTAGACCAGCCGTGGCTTGAAGGATGGTGGACTTATGTATTGATGTTCTCTGTGCATGTGCACCAAGCTGGACCGTGCATTAGAACTGACCAGTGATAAGCAGCAGCGCTAGTGATTCCCCAAAAACGGTTCCCCTGAGTTGTGCGTTCGATAGCAGGATTCTCCGGCCACAAGCTCTTCCATTTGTCGATAAACGAACCAAATTTCTCAGTATCAGATAGTAAACTCTGCATAATAATTTAATCCTTCACTATTTCTTAATCTTCCTTGAAGCGAAGAAGAAGAATGCCGTGGTCTTGACAGAAAAGGAGCAAGTAACCTGACTCTAGCGTGCAGCTAGTCTCGACCCAAAAGCCGATCGCAACCGGAACCAGGCGAAGTGGAGCTCAAGGTAACCCAAGATATCCAGTTAATCACCTAAACTGGGTTAGCACTTGGCAAGAACTGGGCAGAAGTGTCTTGTCAGGGGAGGATTTTCCTCAGAGGTTCACCACCGAGTGGGACCTCCCCCCCAGTCTCCTGCCAGTTCATCCGCCACTTCTTCCCCCTCACATCATCTGCTTCTTTCCAACCTCCCCAGCTCATTGTCCTTCCTTTGGTTGCTCATTTTTCGCTTATTTGTATCTTCATATTTGCTGGGTTTTCGGTTTTCGGTTTTTCTCTTCTTCACTTTCATTCGCATACGCCTCTTTAATTGACGAACCCCGGATTTTGCTGATCACCCCCCAATCCTTCGCCCATCTTTCAACAACCTATTTATCGTCAATACAACGCCAATTGATCAAACGGACAGCTGTCGAACGACCGATTCTACGTCCTAAATCACGGAATTCAATGCGGTCTAATTTTCCCTCCTACTAGATCCGCTGTGGGATCATGCATCTTTCATCATACTTGGTCATTGCCGGCCTCTCAACGAGTGTTCATGCTTTCTATCCCTGGGAGCTTAAAGTGGCTACAGGCGCCACAATCTCTTCGAGGCAAAATGGTTTCCGGCGTTTCATGCCATGGATTTTAGTCCCGGACAGCTCGGACTCGGACTCGGACAACCAGGGAATAACGCTCGACATCACGAAGGCTCGCCGGGCCGATACCTACCAAATTGTCGAGTCGGAAACCCCCACTTTGCAGAACAGTGCGGCAGTTAATCAAGATGGTGTGGACTTTTCTTACTTCGTCACCGTCAAGGTCGGTTCACAACAAGAGGAGATGTGGTTAGCACTCGACACCGGATCGCCGAGTAGCTGGGTATTCAGCTCTAAGTGTACCACTGAAACTTGCACAAACCACCACACATTCGATATCTCCGAATCCAGCAGCTTCAGTTCAAATGACTCGACCTACAGCCTCGGATACGGTAGCGGTGAAGTGAAGGGTGATCTGGGCCAAGATACCATGTCCATCGCTGGAATGGATATAACTTTCACGTTTGGATTCGCCAAGTCTGCAACCGACCCATTTGACAACTATCCTATTGATGGAATTCTCGGCTTGGGCCGATCATACACCGGCGGTTGGAAGATCCCCTCTTTCATGGATGTTGTCGCCGAGAAGGCAGGGCTTAGCTCTAACATCGTCGGACTCAGCCTGTCGCGCGCCTCCGACAACAAGAAGGATGGCGAGGTGAATTTTGGAACTGTCGACACAACAAAATTCGACGGGGAAATTTCCTACACCAACACCACTGCCGAAACTTGGACTATCCCGCTGGATGACGTCTACGTGAATGGCAAGGCTGGCAATTTCACTGGCAAATCCGCAACCATCGACAGCGGATCGACATATGTTTTCGTTCCACCAGCCGACGCTGCGACTTTGTTCGGCCTCATTCCGAACTCCAAGCAATCTGGCGAGAACTACATAATTCCATGTGACTCCACGGCCACTATCGAATTCGAATTTTCCGGAGTCAAGTACACCGTCCAGCCCGATGATTACATTGGTACAAAATCAAAGGACGACTCGAAGCCGGGTTGCATTTCAACGATAGTCGGTCACCAGTCCTCCGCATCGAACACATGGCTTCTTGGTGATGTGTTCTTGAAGAACGTGTATTCGGTCTTTGACTTCGATAGTGGGCAGATTGGCTTTGGAACAAAGGTGTCGAATTCGTCCTCCGGAAATGGGACATTTGTCGCTCCCAGCGCGACTGCGACCGGTCCTTCAGCCGCGGTCACTGATGGCAGCACTGAAGTCTCCTCTGCGGCGATTTCAACCACAACAGCAGACCCATCTTCGGATTCAGCGACAGAGACCGATTCGCCCACTATCAACTCCGCTTCTCGCATGTCCGGCGGGCTAGCTCTGTCATTAGTGATGACTTTTGCTGCCGCTCTCATCCTCTAAACCTTTCTATCACCAACACCTTATATCGACTACGCGTCTCACACCACAATACCCTCTTTTGCTTCTAAGCCAACCTTTGTCCCAGGCGTTCTTGTTCATACCGTCAAACTGGCATACATATCATCGCAGACCGATTTGCCATCAACCATACATCCCCGACTTTCTTTGCATTCAAGTGATACCCACTTGCACATAGTACTCGCTTCGCGCTACCGTGATTCATACCCTTCGCTTCTTGCATCTAGAGTGCAGTCTGATTTGCGCGTTTTTTTTATCTCCGCCCATTGCCTCCTGGTTCTGAAACATGGAATGGCTCCATCTTTGTACAAATAGAATACGATATCTGTGGCAGAAAACCAAGGAACCATAATAATTGATCTCATTAAGAAATATCTTCACTTCCTCCAGGTAGACTCTCGTGTAGATCTTGACGTTTCATCTTACTCAAGCTTTGAGCTTTGCAGGGGTAGACCCTGGTTCCCGAAGTCATGTTTCAGAAATTCAGAGAACTGTTCTAAATCATAATCTAACTCTTCTGGTCCCTAGTTTACTTTACTGATAGTAGGTTCCCGCTAACTTTACCCGAACATGCCATGCTACACTCATCTAAGTCACAAGCCGGTGCTGTTATAGCTATTTTCCTGGGTCAGACTTAGCATCAAGGAATTCAAGTTTATGCCTCAGGCCTCCAAATGGCAATCATTGGGATACCTTTCTCCAAAAGTGACACCCAGAACAGCATTACTACTACTAATACAGACTCCAAGATATGCCTCTGGTCTAGGCACGCCATATAACCCAAGAAAATAAATTATTAATAAAGTTCCCCGCCAGATTACCCCAGCCATCAAAAAGCCGCATTTTCGGTATTGGCAACCCGAGAATGTCTGGGACTAACCCGACCGGGCCGGTCCCTCGGTAACCAACAGCGTCATTGCTGATACTAATCTGACGCTTCTCCAGATCCTCAGCCTCATCAAATTCCCCAACATCTACATATTCCGCCATGTTTGGTCTCGCAGGAAGAAGGATAGCCGTCTCCGGTTCTAAGTCTCTTGTATCAAGGACTCTGCCTGCTCGCGCAGCCATCGCCGCGCAATCGCCGAGCGCTTCGCGTGGATTCCACGCGACACCCTGCAATGAAGAGGAGAAGCGCCGGGTCTGGGCTGGTCGAGTGAAAACAGCCTGGATAGACGCTCTGAATGAGAGTCGTGAGGTGGCCAAGGGGGCTAAGGAGGGAGCTCCACCCCCAGCTGTTAAGCCCGATGTGACGCCGAAGAAGATGTCGGACAGTTACTACAGTGCTGTATGTATCGATTTACAGCGTTGATCCTGTGATATTTCGCAGCTAACGAACTGTCTTTGCGTTATTTTTCAGATTTTGCCTTTAGCGCAAGATAAATGGCTGCTTGATACTTATCTCAATGCCTCTGGACATATTCGGTGAGATCGACCTAGGTCTTGTCATAGGTGCATGCTTGTGCGACAACTAATGCTGAAATAGCTTGGGATCATTGCTTATGGATCTCGATGCCCTTGCTGGTGTCATTGCCTACCGTCATACCGGCGAAGGCGTCAGTACCGTCACTGCGGCCGTGGACAGGATCACCATCGAGCACCCGCTCATGGAAATTTGTGATCTCGAACTTAGTGGACAGGTTTCTTACGCTACTGGTCGATCCAGTATGGAGGTATCGTGTCAGGTTTCTAAGCTTCGCCCAGAGGGTCAACCTGCTCAGCCCGAGGATGTGCTGATTACCTGTGCATTCACGATGGTTTCCCTTGACCCCGCTACCAAGAAGTAAGTTCTCCGTTAGAAGCTGGATTTGAAAACGTGCTAATCGAAACTATCCAGGCCTGTCCCTGTCGCACCTCTGATTTTGGAGAACGCAGAGGAAGAGAAACTCTTCAAGAAGGGAGAGGCCAACTACCAAGCCAAGAAGGCTCTGCGCACACGCAGTCTCCTTGAGAAGGCTCCTGACGATGAAGAGAGTAACTTGATCCACTCCATGTGGACCAAGGAGATGTCATATCTGAGTGAGTACCATTATGTGCTATCTATTTCTCACCTGCCTCAGCTAAACAACCCCCAGGCCCCCAAGTCCCAGCCATTCGCCCGGACAACCAAGTTTTCATGAGCGACACCGTCCTGAAATCGGCGATGATTATGCAACCCCAAGATCGTAACCGCCACAACTTCATGATCTTCGGTGGGTTTCTCCTCAAGCAATCCTTCGAGCTGGCCTTCTGCTGCGCTGCCTCTTTCGCCCACGCCCGCCCCAACTTCCTTGCCCTTGACCCAAGTACTTTTGAAAATCCTGTTCCTGTCGGAAGCGTGCTCTACCTGCGCGCAACGGTAGCTTTCACCGAACCCGAAGAACGCGAGGACGGCCACTCCAAGTACACAAAGGTGCAGGTCCGCGTTGATACCAAGGTTCGTGATGTTGAGCACGGTACCAAGAAGTCGACTGGTATGTTCAACTACACTTTCTTGGTGGAGAAGGATATCAATGTTATGCCCAAGAGCTATGGGGAGTTCATGCTTTGGACTGATGCGAGACGTCGCGCTCTCAATGCTGCTGCTATCGACCCTGCACATAAGATGAGTGCCCTGCGGAGTATCCAGGACAGTGTCACTGAGTAAATTCTACTCCTCGCGTCGTTTCGAAAACTTGCATTTGTGGGAAAATAATTTTATTCGGCATAATTGGGTAATGTACATAGAGCAATTCCGATCGGTACCAAAAAAAATATTCTATTTTGATATGATTCTTCATAATCCAAATTCCCGGGTCTCTATGGCCCACTGGCAGCCCTGGAGTATAAATAAGTAAAGCAACCTTGCAATTCCAAGGTTCATGGGCATTTATACTAGTACTAGTATATGCGAGCAATAATATGGCCTCCTCAGAAAATAACAATTTGTAATAAAGAAAATCCAATTACAGGTCAAGTTGAGCTTGTACTAAAGGACGATGCCTGAAACACCCGCGGCGCTGTACTGATTCGTGTAGGAGATTTTCCAAGGAATGTACGGTTAAATGCCCCATTCGGACTCCCTAACCTTCTCAGAATGCTAGCCCGTGTGCTGTCTAGCTCTTTGAGTATGATTTCACCATCCTGTCCCAGGCGCGCATCTATCTCGAATATCCTCGAACATTCCTCTTCCGCATCAGCGTATCCGGGATGCCATTGTGGGAACCAACGTAGATCTTCGCCAGTTTTCAATGTAATTTTCGTCAGGTTTGACGGCCCTCTGCATTCAAGAAATCGTTTTGCAGAGGATCTTGCGATTTCTTCGGTCAATACCGATTTGAAAGCCTTCGTCAGTGGGAACCCCTTTTGAGCGTTCTTCATTGCGATTGATATTCCTAGACCGACATGAATTATCAATTCACGAAGATTTCCGAATTTGGTTGCTAGAGCCTCCATTGAGGTTTTTGGCTAGAAAATTATTTGTTAATGCTGTGGATACTTCTGATGGGACACAGCTCGTGGCTTACCCATGTGCCATTTGGATTGATATCTAGTTCCAGGTTCGTGAGATTTGGACAATGTAGATCCAAGTCTTCTATCTCTTCCAAATTCAGAGTTTTTCTCTCCTGATCGGTCTCCTCAATGGCATGGAGACAAAGGTGCTTGAGATTGGAATGGTTCATCACAGAATTCAACGAAGGGACAAGTCCCTTGGCAGTGAGGCTCTCTAGGGAATTGAAAGAGGACAAGAACAAGTCAAGCTCAGGGCTCGAATTCGAGGCAGTATGGCGGGTATAACTTGTAATTTGGAAATTCTTCAAGTTATGCACGTTTCCAGTAGCCGACTCCAGCACGCCATTGTGGGTCTGAACTCCCAGCGTGAGAGATTCTAATTCTCCCCAAGGGAATCTCTGTTTCCAGAGAGGTTTCTCTTCATCTGTGATATGATAACCGCTTAATGAAAGATTTTTCAGCGGTGGAAAGGTGAATTTATCGGGTATCGAAAGCGGTACTATCTCTGCTGAATCAGGGGAGTAATCTATCACACAGCCTCCCCGTAAAAGATTGATCGAAACTGATAGGTCCTCAAGCTTCGGATATGCGGCGAAAATCTCATGCAGAGCTAGTCTCTGTGGCTTGAACTCTTGCTCCCATGGCCGTAATTCTCTATTAGGAGTAGGGACTGGGGCTGTTGTATCCACAGAGATACATACTTCCGGCACAAATGGAGCGCAAATTTCCCTCTGGATGAGTCCCTCTTCGTGTTTTAAATAAAGCTTTGGGAATTTCTGATGAGCGAGAAATGCATCCACAAGGGCGTCGGATATGGGAAGCTCTCCTATAAAGCTAGATATAAGTGTGAGTATATCAGCGGTGCTCACGAGGTCATGATGATATCAATGGGTCGTCTGGGTCTCTCTCTTACTATACAGCTTCTAGATTTGGAAGCTTTCTGACCAGTCCAGCCAAGAGGTCCTGGGGTGGCCTCAATTTGTCCCAAGCACGAGATATATCCTCCTTGGTGCCTTGAAGCTTGAAGGTCATCTCACGCACAAATGCTCGCAGTACCTCATTCCTATCGTCCAAAAGTCGATAGAAAAGACCGAAATAAAGATCTTCAAAATGTTTCGGCCGCTCAGTGGCTTCAAAATCATCGGGAAATAGCGACCAGTCGTTGCTCATCCGGCATAAAATGACTGATCGGTACAGTAGTGGAGTGGCAAGGGTATCGAATAGTCTGGAGACCGAGCAGACATTGGCAAGATCACTTCGAGTGGGTAGCTTGTGTCGTTGCTGGGGTTAGGTTCTGGAAACTGTGATATGGCAGCACCGAGAGGAAAACATACGGCTTTGAGAATGAGATGCCAGATCTCGGGAGGAATTTCGGGTTGACTCATGGTATAGGCAGCTCAAGCAGCGAGCTGGATTCAAGAAACAAGTTGGATCGAAGACGGTAGTTGTTTGGATGTTGTTGGCAATGCTTCTGCGGGGTTGTTTTGGTGCCTGCTTTTAAGCCCCAATAGACAGCTTACTCAGCCTCAGTAAAATGGAAGAAGCCTGGTGGAAATCATTGGGAAACAGAAAATGGAACCACTACGTATCAGCAAGGCTGAGAGATCGAGTTACCAGATCACAGAAACTAGAACAGTAAGTTATGCGCTTGATATGGTCTAAGTTTCGGCCTATATACAAATGGGGATATAGTATGTATGATGGAGAAGAGCAAGAGCGGAGCAAAGCAGGGGCCCAGTATAAGAAACAAAACATAAATCAGACCCCCAACCCATGCACCGACTCCAACCACCAATGGGACAATTGAAAAGGAAAAAGGAAATGACCTGCTCCGGTATCATGAAGAATGATAAGAGATGTAACCCCAGCCAAACCACCCAGGTAATGATGCACCAGGTACAACGCGCAAATGGCAGTATCCAAAACCCAGGAACAAACAGAAACTCCCTGCCACCTTTCGAAAACCTGAAACAAGAAAAATAGAAAGAAGAAACAAAATATGTTTGTTGAGATGTTGAGATGTTGCGGAGAAGGGGAACGGAGGATGCAAAATTGGTCAAAAAAGATATAGTTATAAATCGTTTCACTTCGTTATGTCCAGTGCCTCCATGCGCTTTTCGAAAGTCACTTTTTTGTTGCATTGAGGGTTGGGGTTGAGAGATTCGGAGGAAGGAGCTTGAATAATCAAGTTCGATGATAAATTAGGCTTGGAGAGAAAAGCCATATAGATGTAGGTGTTGAGAGGTTTGATGGGAGATTGGGACAGAATGTCGCATGGCGTATGTATAACGAAAAAGAAGAGTTGAGTTTTCTTATTCCAGAACCTCATCAATTGTATTGGATGTCAAAGATCCAGGATTGATTTGTGGGCCATTACTAGCCCCAGAACCACTTCTATCTCGTGGCTCCGGTGGCTGCTCTTCCTTCATACAAGCATTTTCGAGGATATTGGTCCACTTTCCACTAGTCCCTGCATGGCTGTGTTTCAAGTGTTGACGGAAGTGATCCGCACGGAAGAACTTCTTCGCATTATTGCATTCGCCGAACTTGTGCACAGTCGTCAAGTGTTCAAACCGACGATCCCAATCCGGTCGAGGGTAGTTCGGGAACTCCTCACCGCAATAACCGCATGTATCGTGCGATGGACCGGCGTTTGTTTGGCAGGTTGGCGATCCCGAGCCATGGAATGCTGACTGGAACGAGACAAGTGATGCACATGACCACGAATGACGTCGCAGATGGAGCGAGTTTTGGTGCCGTTCCGCCTCGTTCTTGTTCTTGAAGCGGTTGTTGCAGTACTGGCACGAATATTGCTTCTCCATCTCGTGGGCGCGTAGATCCTCCGGGCTATCGAACTTCTTGGGCTTCTTCGGACAACAGTCGCAAATGAACAACCCGCCCATCTTCGAGGAAGCAGGCTTGGGAACGCTCAGGGCAATCGGCATCGGCATCGGCATCGGCATCGACATCTTTCCGGTGGAATCTGTGGCGGGAGGTTCGAGGGTGCTGGCTCCTGGTAAGGGCCTCGGTACAGGAATAAGTGGTACTCCGGGGGAACTTGCGTTGAGAATCGACTTTTCGTGATATGCGTCGAGATCCGAACAAGGGAGAGGCCCCCCGGGGATGGCCGGTCATATGGCGAGAGGCTGGTCATGCTACTGCCACCGATCGAAAGAGCGGAAGAATAGGAACCAGAGGTTCGGATACTGAGCGAAGAAGCCGCTGATAACGTTCGTTGGCTCGGAGCGTAGCTGCTGTTTACCGTTAGATTGTTGGTGAAAGGGTGACCACTCGTCCTCCGCTGCGACAAATCCCCGTTACTCGTGACTGTATGTAAAGTGTGGCGATCGTCAGTATTGATCGGTTCCCGTGGTGGAGATGATGCTCGTCGCTTCATCCCCTGTCTTGAGCCTTCGGGGTAAGGTGGTGTCGGTTCACGGAGAATGAATTGTCGGGGAACTGGCTCGTCTGTCGAGAAATCACCCTCAATATCAGAGAACACGCCCTGGTCGTAGCTGCCACGATTTGATCGACTGGGTAAACTGATGCTGTCCTCGCGCGATGGAGTTGTTCCACGATATCGGCGTCTTCCAAATTCAAAATCGGCTACCGATGGGAGATTGCTTTCGACACTCGGGCTGCGACCCTCGACATACTCCCTCCAATCTGTTTTCGATCGGGGTGACACCCCTCCTGACTGCGGACTGCTATACCATTTCACATCAAGCGTTGAACCTTCAGAGGGCCCCGGTGATGGCAGATTGCTCGATGAGCGTGAGGGAATAGATGGAACAGTAAGTGCGGAGATTGAGTTTCGGTGGTCCGAGCTGATCGATCCTCGGGGAGAAATGGGCTTCCCTATCTTGGACAGCAGATGCTGATCGTACGCATTTGACGAGTCTTTTACACTTCGCAGAGAAAAGTCACGCTCGCCTTTCAGTCTGGAGATCGTTTAGTATGGGAAAGGCTGAGAAGGAGAAGACAAAGAAGAGCAAGCCCTTTTAATCTTACATCGGACCATTGGGATTGACAGACATGGAATTCGGGAATCCATCATCTGTCGGTGGTGGCGGTTCAATCTTAATTTGAGCCTCAGAGCTGCGGGAGAGTGGCATGCCACTTTGCCTGCCTTCAAGCTCATCAAGGTCCATTCGATCACTTCTGGGCGCAGAGTCGGGACGGCTACGGCCACCACCAAATAAGCTTGAGGCTGGGTTAATCGGGGGAAGAAGAGATGCAGATCGATCAGAATTCGCATGCAACCACCCAGCATCATAGCCGTTCTCTAAATCGTGGATGCGCGTTGGCGGAGGCAACGGAGGAGGCGCAGTATGCATATTGGGGCGAGATGGAATGGGTAAAGGGCCGTAGGATGGGAATGGCAATTCGGGCATCATGGATGTTTCGGGGCGATGGCGATGACGGTCGTACTCGTGATCCTTTGAAACATAGAAATTCGGCGATGCGGCTAGTCGGTCCATTCTAGATGGTGTGTGGAGTGGCGTGGGAGTGGAAGATGTGGATGGCCAGCTGCACTAAGCATGAGCTGAATCCGGTGGCGTTTGTCCGAATCAAATCCACTTCCAAGAAAAAAGAAATTGAAAATAATAAAAAGGAAGATGGAAAGAAAGAAAAGAAAGTTGATCGGAATAAGCTGAGCAAATCAGATCAACAGCAACTCAATCCAGTTGAGTGCAGTGCGAACGTCGGTGAAACTAGGCTGGGATTCCTAAGTGGACTGCCAGCCTCAACCCCCACCTCCGATTGCTTGGGAACCAAGAAGGTCCAGCTTCTAATGGGTAAGCAAGTACGGGCGAAGCGAGGTGGAACTTGTAGAGTGGCAACAGGTGAAGGTTTTCATGCGCCTGGGATTTCTAGTTGAGAGTTAGATGTGTGGAACCGAGAAAGGCGGCAAAAGGTGACCTGATATTGCAAGTCGCACTCGTAGTTCGCCGTCGCATCCGCAAGGCAATAGGGCTGACAGGGGAGGGGCGCAATATTAAAAGAGAAATGAACGATAAAACAGGATTAAAAGGAACCTACCTCTTGCTCGGTACCCTTGTTCGGCGATTCGCCTCATGGGATGAAACGTTTGATAAGTGACACACAGCCCTGTCTGGAAGCCGTCTGTGTCCCATAGAAGCAGTCAATCGCGAACAGCGGGACTGGACATGCTTTTGGATTCTTTGGCTTTTGAAGATGAAGAGATGCGCGCTGTCTTAGGCAAAGGGTAAATTTAAACCTCAGCTATTCTCTAGCAGAGGAACCCCAAATGCGATTGGTATTCCCGTTGTTGGTCACAAGTATAAGAGATGCAATGGCAATGGCAATGGCTTCAAACCAACTAGTTGTGTTCGGGAACACCCCACCACGGGCTGAACAATTGAATAATAATTCCCCAGAGGGACACGGAAAGACCGAAAAGAATAAAGAGAGCTGAACAAGTCCAGAGAAGGCACTAGTTCAGGTTCAAGGGCAAAAAAGGAAGGGGAGAAAGGAAAGAATTGCGCCCCAGAGAGAGTGGAAAATCGGGCAGTTAGAAAGTCAGGCAAGAGGCGGTGCAGCCAAATGATTGGATCTAAGGGCTCGAGCCAAAGGTGCAAAAGTGATTTAGGACCGAGGGAGAGGAGGCAATGTCGATGATCTCATTCTCACCGAGCTGAGCCAAGAAAGGAGGAGGGGGGGGGAGAAAGATGGGTTTGTAGGGGGAGATTCTGGAACAAGGCGCCTGTAGAGGAGGGGGGGCAAACGAAAATCCCTAAAAAAATAAATGAAAATAATTAAAAAAAAAAATGGAATTGAAACAATTCAATAAACGGATGGGTCTTCGGACCTAACCTGCAGTTCGGGGTGGGTTAAGAGGGTTGACGTGGTAAAAGAGGCGAAAAACCCTCCCAGACGCATTTGTATGGATTTGTATGAATTGTATGTAATCCAGGTTGGTATCTCGTACCAGTGTAAGCTACTTACATACCATTACGGACAGTTGCGGGAAGCCAAAATCAGCCAAGGAGTGGAGCGGGAGAGGGAGAGGGGGGGCGACGAAAAGGGAATGGCATTTCTAGGATCATCATTAGATCTCAGATTTTAATTGTAGCTCCCGCGTGGGTGGCCACGTTGGGAATGAAGCCCAGCACAAGGCTGGGGCATTTAGATTAAACTTCCAGTCCTTGTTGCCCTGTTGCCCTGTTACTGTTGCCGTGGCCGTTGCTGCTAGTACAGAGTCTTGTTACTACCGAGAACTCTTTACTTCTTTCCTGTGTACTCCGGTACCATCCTAACTGTAATTAGTAGGCTATTCAGCCCACTGAATAGCCTTGTACAAAAGATCACCCGTGGTTCAATCACTGTCCAAACTTGGGAATCCGGCCTTCCAGAAACCGGGACGATCAAGCCTAGTACTGTTCGAAATGAAGATGGAGGGGGTCCAGCAATCTAGGCATGGGCCGCTCTAGTCTCGACAAATGAGATCCAGTCTAGTTCACGGCCAAACACTCTACTTTACCCCATCCTGGGGCCATTATGGGCGCGTAACGCCAACCAAAGCACCCTATAGAATGAAATGGGACCTCTCCCCCTCTCCTCTTCCCTCTCTGTGCTTGACGCCAGGGTGGAGAGTGGACTGTGAATGGAGTCTCTCGTATGTATTGGACGCCTCGCGATGATCTAAACCCCTCCTTTGAAGTCCCCGCTCTGCCTCTCTTTCTCTCTCTTGTTCTCGTAGATTCGCCGCACATGGCTGGATGCATTGTCCCTCCATGGGGCAGGGGGTCGCATGTAGTGCCATCGCCTGAGCCCTACGGTAGTAAGGTACCGAGGGCTGTTGGTAACGGCTCGGAACGACATTGGGCTAGACTAGGGTGCAACACGTTCCATGCTCAAGGAACCATGGTTTAGCGGGGTGGACACATGGGATTGCAGATACGGATAAGGGGGTATGTATGCGACCAATACCACGGAATAGACTCCCATAAGGAGGGGGAGGGATGGGGCGGCGAATTCAGATTGACAAGGGAAGGAATACAATATGCACCGGTGACAGTCTTGGAAGGGGCTTGGCGGTAGGCTTATATCTGCTCGGATTGTGAGAAATCATGTACCCAAGTACTCCGTACATGATCCCGGTCACACAAACAAAGCCAGTGTGTACATACTGTACTCGTATGTGCAGCAGGGATGCGTTCCGCTAGGAAATTGTCGCGCGATGTGATCGGAGTCTTCGGATGGTCTGTCCAAGCGTTATCTTCTGGCTGTTTTTTTCCAACTTCCCCTGGTATCACTTTTGTTTCCTCGTTGCAAAAGGCAGAGAACATTCTTTATTGCCTCCACATTGAATGGACAATGCTGAGTCGCTAGTTCGGGCCCACTGATTTCCTAGCGTGATCCACTTGGGCCCCATTCATGCATGCACTGCCACACTCCTGGACCGCCTGTCAATTAACATTGAGCAGGGGGGAAAGGTCCATTATTCAGTACGGAGTGCTCCGTACGATTGCTGCCATCCTGGAGAGTAAGACATGTTCAACAGGCAGCAGAGAGAATGAGTCCAGCCCCAGTTCTCCGACAAGTGCCTCGATGGATGCGGAGGAGGTTGCAGTAACCTCGACTGTCAGTGTACTAAGACGTTGACAAGCTGCTGAGTCATGCGAGATGCTCCACACCAGCTTCACGAACAGATGTTTCTTGGCTTCTTTTCTTCGAATTTTTTTGTGGCTCCTTTCTTTCTTCTTCTCGAATTTAACCAAGTTTCTCTGTGTAGGCTCTGTCTCAACCCGAAAGAATCACGGTATTACATTACGAGTCAGGAGGAGACGTCATCGTATATCATACTACCTCGGCCAGGTCCCACGGGGTATAGGGCTACTTACTCCGTAATAGGATGGAGTGATCGATCGAGGGGTCAGGAGGTGATGTCTAGGTACTCCGTAGTCTGACCACTGCTCAGGTGGTACGTCAATAACTCTCAACACTAAACCAATTCTGACAGAACGTTGTCTAATAGTACTACTAGTAGTGCCTCGTATACGACTAGTTACTTCGTACCTGGCACTGAAAACATACATAACCCCGAGTATAATCAATGTAAGTCCCGGAGTACGGAGTACAGACTACTAAGAGGTAGGGTCAATCACGAGGATCGCTCAGATTTGAGACATGATCCTCGTTCGGCGGTGATACAAGGGAGATCGGATACCAGGCCAGATCTCCTGCTCGCTCGGTACATACTACAGTACATGCCCGGGTTCCAAATATCTTGGCATGTCCCATCATCCCACAACCTAGTGATGCCAATGCCCATACCAATGTCCAGGATGTGGCGGATGCCGGCGACGTTCCCTACCCGGAACTAGTCTCAATAGACTTTCGCACTTATCGATCGTCACAGTCAAATCCGGTCCTTGCGATAGCCAAGCATCTCTTGCTCCATCGAAGGGGGCGCAGTTCTGCACTTCGCTTCCGGTAAGGATTGACGAACCGCGAGGCGTATCCATATCAGCCAAGTGCCAGTCGATTCGAGTGTGTATACATTGTAGTATACGCGGCGTACAGGTCGCTAGTGAAGGCTGGATGAAAAGGAGAACGCCCTTGTCAGCATCATCGCCACACCCCCGACGGTTCTCCCAGATGTCAGCCTTAAGCCTTAGAGGGCTGCAGCCTAAGGGCGCGCGCGTGCGCTAACGCCTCTCCCTTCCACCGCCAGTCACAAGTAACAGCGGCGTGACTGCGCCCCCTTTCCCCGCTCGGTGATACTTCTGCGGGAGTCTCATCCAGCCAGCAGGTCGATGTTCCTGCGATTTCCAAGCTTACCCGCGGCAAGTCAGAGCACGTCGACCCCTTGCAGTGCTCAGGACGAATCGGCAGGTCGGACATGCAGTTGGTGTCGGGAGATAATTCAATGGGCCCACTGCGGCGTGAGCCGCTCGGCTAGTCTTGTTTGTATGGAGTACCAGCATTCAGTATTCTCCTTTTCAAACCGAGATTTCCTGGCCGAGACAAAGATGGAGCTGGGGCTGGGTGGCGGGGACATCAGCCGGATGCCGTTGTATTCTGTACGGAATACGGAGTACTGTTGGATATGTATGGAGTGCAAGTGTGGTTCGGTTCGACTAGTAGGTAAGGGTAAGGATAACCCATCGTGTACTCCGTACTCCGTACGGAGTAGAGTGAATACGAGTGCTCGTAGTTGGTAGTAACCAATGCCCTGAAATGCGGAGGGAATGAGTGGGTAACTCCATCTTGGGCCCACTCCAGCGGTTTGCGCGCGCAGAACTTGCGATTGGCGGGTCATTGCAGTGAAGCCCTGGAGTGAAAGTGCAGCAAATCTAGTTACAGTACGAGTATGGGGTATATGTACTCAGTACTCATACTCAACTAGTCCGTCCTGTCTTGTCGTATTCGTCTTCCCTTCTTGAAGGCTTTCTCTTCCCTTCATTATACTATCTGGAACTCTCATCATATCCAATACATACGAGTAACATAAATACTGTACGAGTATATACTATTCACGTGACCGGCAGCCCTAAGCCCTAGTTCCTAATTAGGTAATGTGCCGAGGCTCGCAGAACTGGGGAAACGCAGAGTCTGCGGGCCAGTGCCAGTGACTATCAAACATTGACATTCAAACATTAATGACATTATCACCAATCAATACTGAAAGTATTTGACGCGGGTCAACTTGGACATACACTTCGTCTTTCAATATTGATGCTTGACTCCCTTCCCGCACCAATCATGGCTATGAACCAGATTCCCGGCCAAAATATCTACATTTCTGGGTTCGTTTTCTATCTGCTTTTTCTAGTACTACTGGTCTCTACCAGTACTTACTAGTACTTCCTGCCTGTGCCACTATGAGTGGACCTCTTCAGGGCTCTCAACTTGAACGCATCTTTCTCAACAGTATTGTTCTGCCTCTATTTCTCATTGCTAACTGGTATCACTTTACCCCACTACAGCATCTTCTGTCTGAAGAACAAGGCAGCGCTCGAAAGGGAAAATATCACTCATGTGGTTTCTGTTTTACGTCTCAATCCGGCCGAGGTCAAGGACGCTTTCTCTTCCTTTCAGCACTTTGTTATAGACGCAGATGATACCGATGATGAGAACCTCTTGCAGCACTTCCCTGCTGCTATACAATTCATCCAGTCTGGCCTTGATGCGGGAGGTAATGTCCTTGTACACTGGTGAGTTTACTTTCCACTCCACTTTTCCCCCCTTGAGTACTTCCCTGCATTTCAATATTCATCATACGATATTCCATCTGCACCTCATCCTTCTGCAACGACGTCATCACGTGCCCCTCTTGGGATCTGCGCATGGCTAGACTCTCTTCCACTTCTTCTTCCTCTCTTTGTGGGCTTTAGCCTTTTGGTTTTGCTTTTTTTCTGGTTGCCTTTACTCATCGACACGGCACAGAAATTCGCCTCTTGCAGGGAAATACGGGAACTAACATGTCGATCCAGTGCGATGGGCAAGTCCCGTTCCGCGGCTGTCTGTATCGCCTACCTGCTCCACCAGAAGCCTAGTGCACTCACACCGCATTCTGCGCTAGAGGTAATCAGGCAGTCGCGCCCCCTGTGCGAGCCTAATGACGGCTTCATGGAGCAGTTAGCGCTTTACCACGAGATGGGTTGCCCTGATGATGTCACGGAGCACCCCGTGTACCAACGCTGGCTGTATCGTCGCGATGTTGAGGAAAGCGTTGCATGTGGCCGTGCCCCGGAATTGAGGTCGGTGCGCTTTGAAGATGAGCAGCCCACCCGTCAAGAAGCAAAGGCATCGCAGGAAGTGGAAATTAAGTGTCGCAAATGCCGGTTCGTATCATACACATTTCCCATTCCCCGCCAGACCAGAATTTCGACGGCCCCTCGCCCCTCCAAACTAAGTTTGCGGTTCAACTTGACTAAAAACAACCCACCAACAGGAAGCCACTTGCAACAACGCCCTACATCCTGCCCCACGAGGAGGAAAAGCGTCACAGTACCAAGGTGCGGCCAAACGCGGAATGCGCGCATGTCTTTCTGCATCCCATGAAGTGGATGAGCCCTAGTCTTTACCCTTCAACGGATGGCTCTAAGACCTCTAGCTCCTACGACAACCCCGAGGAAGAAGCTCCTCTTGCAGGTCGCCTCATCTGCCCTACTCCTAAGTGCGGTTCCAATGTTGGAAAATTTGCCTGGCAGGGCTTGCAATGTAGCTGTGGCAGCTGGGTGGTTCCCGCCCTGGGCCTTGCTAAAGCCCGAGTCGATATCGCTAATAAGGTGAACGCTACACAAATTCGCGCAGGCGTTGGTATCCGTATGCCTCCTGGGATGCGAGCTCCAGAAACTCAAGAACCCGGATCTGGCCGTGGTAACCTTTGACAAAAAAAAATCTTTTGAAATAAGATTCCACGAGCATTCATTCGCATTAGCTGTTTACGAGCCATGATACTTGTTTTCTCTCAGCGAATTTCAATCGAACATATCGAACATTCGATTCTTTCCTAGAACCTTGGTTCTTGTTCAAATCCTATCTCCAGGTACATAAAGTGGGCGATCGACAGACCCCACCGGGCTAGACAAGACCTCATCTCATTGACGGGTAGTCGAAGCCACGACGCAGTTGTAAACATCTTCCTACAGGCTATCCACTGCTGCAGTCGTATCCGCGACGGCCACTTGCGTCAGTGGAGGCGACAAATAGCTTTCCTTCAGAGTGGGTTCGCTTCTCGGAGAATATGACCGTCTTTATTCTTACCAGTTATACTTGTCAGTAAGGAGAACACTGAGGCTTGATCTCCGTTGCGGTCCGCATAGGGCTGCCTGAAACAACTCCAGTGCAGTTCTAGCCAGCCCTACTCATGAGCCCCAATGCCCGCTCATTCGCCTGGGCGTTGTTGATTTTATTTCAGCTCCTCGAGGACCGTCACCGCCATGTTGGCAAATTCAAACGAATCCACAGATCACTTCTACAGAAGCTAACTAGTTCTGGGAACCAAGCTAATGTACTCCGTATACCACAATAGGTATGCAGAACACACATCAGCGGCTCTGTTAGTTCTTACTACTGCGTATAATTCCTATAGATAGAACCTGACCGTTCCCACGAGGCCGGGGTATACGAGATGAACAACATCAGCCCGTTCCTGGGTAAGCAAGCCATTCACAAGGGAAGTATACTTTATCCGGCCCGCCCTCAGCCAGCCCGCACAGCCTTACACAAAGCTCGCGCAAAACCACCTTAAAAGTGATACAGCATAGGACGAGGCGCAGGCTGCCAAGACCAAGACACGCAACTCATGCCACCTGATTCGCGAGGAGTGTCACCAAGTCTCTCGTTCGTCATTTAAAAGGTGCGAGATGGAGAAGGTGTGTATGTGTGTGCATGCCCAAACCAGACCAGATCCAGGCTGGGGCTGATCTTAGGGCTGCATCCATCCTACGCAACGCCCAGGGGAACGAAGAAATGCGCTTCCCTCCTAAACACACACCACGCACATCGCCATAATCGTATACTAGTAGTACCATAGTACGGAGTACACACAGTCTGCTACCCCCTTCGTGGCTGAGGACAAATCTGAAACCTTGACCCCGGCCCCAAAGCAATCCTTAGTCGCGCGCCAAGCGACCAAACATGAGAAAATCGCCGGGTGCAAATTGGTCCCGGCGCAATGCTGTTCGTCAGCCGCCACTCCCCACCTTTCCTCATTCATCTTTGGGTTCTCGCTCTGTCTCTCTCTCGTACTCCGTACTCTCGTCTGCCCCTGACAATGTACTCCATACTGTAGAGAGAGACTTTGCGTTTTCTCCACCTCTTCAAACGCATAGAGATTGTTTCATCAGGGATCGGCGAAACGCCAATGACGAAGGGGATGGAAGCCAACGGTGATTAATTGCCCCTTCAGGGAGGGAGACTTTCCAAGGTTGGGAAAACATGAAGGAGGCTGTGCAAAGCGGGTCAGCCTTCCTGTTGCTCCCGATTGGTTTAGGGCTGAATTCACCTTCATTCAAGTTTGTATTTGTATTACACCGTATTCCCCTGTAAATATACCGTAGGGCGAAGCATGAACATGAGCATGAGCATTCGATGCTGTGCTTTGCTGGTTGGTGCTTGTCTGGTGCTGTTGTGCCTGGCTGGATCTGTGCCTGATGGGGTTTATTTTATTTTATTTTATTTCTCTCATTTCCATTACGGAATACCGAGTACATTCATTTCCATTTCCATTTCCTTTTTGTTTCTTTTTGTTTCTTCTTCTCAAGTGTCCGTGTCATGTCCACCTCCATGTCCATGTCTGTGCCTGGGTAGGATTTATGGGTTGCAAATGCCGTATCTTGGGCAACGATGGGGGGGGGGGGGCAAGTTGGTTGTCAAGGGTTCAGGTCTATAGATAGAAATCATTGCAGCCCCCGGGGCGTGCATCCTACACTACCTGAGGTAAGAAAAAACTAGAACAACCAAAGAAAAGACTATATTCCCTTCACATCCGACTACGAGTAAGCAACTACTACAATTTGAGGTAAGACTGGTGAATCAGGGACCAGGGCACTTCCTCGGGTTTTAGCAGAAGGACCACTCCCGGGGACCCGTTTATGTGGTCCATCATCCATCATCAGCCCTGGAATGCGACCAGAACCCCCGGAGCCCAGCAAGCTAACAAACAGACTCGCCCTACAGCCACCGCTCATTGGCGCCATCTTGACCCTAGTGGGGGTGGGGCTGTGCACTGCCTTGCAGGGGGGGGAGCTTCTCAGCTCTCCCAGTGGAGTCGCGCGCATACTGGATGTGCTGACAATGGCGCGGTGATAATCAACGCTGATATCATAGCTCTTCTACATTATGTACGAGTACTCGTTCAACCAACGGCCCCCATCCCATCTTTCAGATCAGAGGGCGCTAATCAAATAGACTTCCGCCCTTTCAGGGCCGCCCCCCCTTTCCTATTAGGGCGTTTGTGATCGCCTTGCATATGTGACAGTTTCGTGGTGCATAGCCTGTTTCGCGACTGGGTTAGTCTTGGTGTGACTAGCGCGATCACCAGATTCGATAATGGACAGCTGGTCCAGTTCAAGTTCAACTTTTTATGTTGATCGCCGGCTGCACTACGACAAGTGCCCGGGTGCATAGCCGCTTTTTCTCTCTCTCTATAATGCAGATAAGCTACTAGCAGAAGTCAGGAGCTCAAGTCATTCGCCCGGAGCTCAGCCCTGGGAACTGCCTGCCAGAAATCGCGTATACTAGCCACCAATTTTTCTTGGCGGACATGCAGTCGAAGGACAACAGAAGTATGTATACGCGTTACGCCAAGATGAACTACATATGCATTTTTGTGCGATAGCCACAATTTTGATCCTTGTTGGTGGTTATCCAGCTCCAGTTTACTGCCACTATTTATCGGATGCGCTAAGTTGACTAGTTCGAGTCTTGTGTGGTGCTAGCCGCGTCTGTAGCCTGCTAGGCAACATATCTGACTCTCTAACCGATGCTCAAAATTGGGGGTTGGGGGATTGGTGCTTGGTGTTGGCTCGCATCTATTAACTTCAATCGGTATATACTAATGGCCGATGGGCTTATTATTAGGCAACCTTGGAACAGGAAAGTTTGCGGAGCCTCACGGGAGTTAAGAATAGATTTCAAGGCCAATGTACTTTAGTAGAAGATATAGTATAACGGTGCTGGATTTGGCTAGTCTGTCGTCTATTCTCACCGCTGCCTTCCAAGGCTCCATTGAAGCTGATAACATCCATCATCTCGACATCATACCTACCTAAACAAGTAAGAGGAACTAATAGTAGGTTTCGACCAGGCAGCGGTAGAGTAAGCAAGGAAGCTTAGGTCAGGCTGCGAGAATGGCCTGCGTGCTAGTTTAGTCCCATCACCGGAATCCACTCGAAGTCCAATTCCTCCTATGAGACCCAATATCATGGCCTGTTCATACTCATCTCACTCGTACTCCGTATAAATAGACCCATTCATCCGAAAGAGCCGCATCACCAGAGAATCAGTGCGTAAGGCAACCAGTCGAAGACTTCCAGAACCCCGAAGATCGCCATTGAATCGCAGGATGTAAGAAACCCACTCCACTACCATACACTGCCCAAACCCAAAAATGTACAACGGACCCTACAACCCAGCCCACTAAGGCTGACAGGGGAGAGAGGGGATCGTTTCGCAATGCAAAAGAGCGGGGGGTTCACGATTTTGCCCGTTGGATACTACCCTAGTGCTTATTTTCCCGATACACCCCACCCGTGCACACCTGTGATGTAGTCCTACAGGGCAGGGCAAGGGGAGGGGAGGGCAGAGAGAGGGACAAGGTTGGAGCTTTTGAGCACGGTCAGGTCAGGCCAGCACTGACCATCCTGCGATGCGCGAAAGACTGCGGGACGCCCGTTAGTCGCGCCGTATTTCCCGGATAATCAGATCAGTTGACGTGACATTTCTTTATGCAATCCATGCATGCGGGCCGGGGCGTGGGTGGCCTTGCCGGACAGATTGGGTCGTGTACATGGGACATACATTGAAGGCGGGGGGGAAGGATGGGATGGGAGGATGGGGGAGGGGTGTGATAGGCAGGGCGATGAAGTGTCAATACATGCACAGAGTTCGCCTTTCCTTGAATTATTGCTCAGCCCAACGGTAGGGCGTTGGCTCGTGGCTGTCATTCCTGCAGGATTCGGAACCTAGTCGATTAGTTAGTTCTGCTGGATTGTTGTGCGAGTCTGCCATCGTGTGGTAAGGTTTCTTTGCAGGGCGCTTTGCGGTAGGACATTGTCGTACAATGTTTATGTAGTATTAGAGCAATCCTCAACGTCGATCTTTGTCTCTGCAACGGGATTTTCATTTTCTGCTATATGCCCGTATGCCCAATTCATTGAAGTAAGAAGCCCTCCTAGTGAAGGAATAATCTGCATCAAACGCAAGGGTACTCTGTTGCTTGCCATGGGTCGTTGCACAGCGCCCTGTCTCTTTTCAGGCGACCTACTTGGTGTCAAGATTGGGTTGTTTTGGGGAAATGTCATACTTTGTAGATGTTTAGTCTTAAGGGAAAAAATGATGATTCACGGCGATAATCTTGGAATGCGGGTGCAATTGATAGGCTATTTTGGAAATTCGCTTTGCCTCTAATTCACAACTGGAAGTCGTAGTTGCCAGAATGCTCATAGGAAGAAGAGATGTCAATAAAATAAAGGGGATTCTCTCAGAAAGATCCAGGTGTTCTTCTACCAACTCCCATGAGGTGACAGAGAAGGATATCAGCGAGGTCGGACTGCGCTAGTCCTTCTTGAATTCGATTTGAAGAAGATATATTGAGACCTATTCCCGATCTTAAAGGTCTTTCTTGGGAACAGATGGGAAAAGAGACGGATTCTTCATCCTTTCT